GAGATACGGGAGGTTCCTCCGCCCCCGCTGGACATCGAGGGGGCACCGGCGTACTCGGATCGGTCCATATTGGATTCGAGGCGTCGGGTGGGGGGCCTGCAGTATCTCGTGGAGTGGGAGGGGTACGGTCCGGAGGAACGGTGCTGGGTTCCTAGGAGGGATATCCTCGATCCATCCATGTTGAGGGATTACAACCGCAATCATCCCACTCGCCCCGCGCCGCGTCCTCCTGGCCGTCCCCGAGGCCGGTGTCGACGCACGGCTGGAGCCGCGCGTCAGGGGGGGTGTACTGTCACGGATTCTGCCGAGGCTGCCCCTCCTCCTTGCTCGGGCAGCTTTCGTCGTTCGTCGTCACCGGAGTACTAGCTGCTGCCGATCTATGTTATATGTTTCTATGTTCTACCTGTTGTGTCAGATTGTTTCACACCTGTTGCCCATCTTGTGATTTTTCCGCCCCTATTTAACCCTGTGGCTCCCATTGTGTTCTGTGCGTGTTTGTTGTTTGTTCGCTGATGTCGTTGGTGAGCGGGTTTATTCCTCCCTGCGTGGAGGCTTCTTGTTTCTTTACGTGTATTAGTAAAGATATGTTTTTTCATTGAGTTCTGTGTCCTGCGCCTGACTTCAGTCTACCGCATACACTGACATCGTGACAGCCCATTCCTCCTGACAGAGCTGGTGTAACTGAGTCAGGTTTGTAGGCCACCTTGCTCGCAAACGCTTTTTCAGTTCTGCCCACAAAATGCTTGGGGTCATTGTCCATTTGGAAGACCCATTTGCAACCTAGCTTTAACTTCCTGGCTGATGTCTTGAGATGTTGCTTCAATATATCCACATAGTTTTCCTTCCTCATGATGCCATCTATTTTGTGAAGTGCACCAGTCCCTCCTGCAGCAAAGCACCCCCACAGCATGATGCTGCCACCCCCGTGCTTCACGGTTGGGATGGTGTTCTTCGGCTTGCAAGCAACCCCCTTTTTCCTCCAAACATAACAATGGTCATTATGGCCAAACAGTTCTATTTTTGTTACTTCAGACAAGAGGACATTTCTCCAAAAAGTATGATCTTTGTCCCCATGTGCAGTTGCAAACCATAGTCTAGCTTTTTAATGGTGGTTTTGGAGCAGTGGCTTCTTCCTTGCTGAGCGGCTTTTCAGGTTGTGTCGATATAGGACTCATTTTACTGTGTATATAGATACTTTTGTACCTGTTTCCTCCAGCATCTTCACAAGGTCCTTTGCTGTTGTTCTGGGATTGATTTGCACTTTTCGCACCAAAGTACGTTCATCTCTAGGAGACAGAACGTGTCTCCTTCCTGAGCGGTATGAAGGCTGCGTGGTCCAATGGTGTTTATACTTGCGTACTATTGTTTGTACAGATGAACGTGGTACCTTCAGGCGTTTGAAATTGCTCCCAAGGATGAACCAGACTTGTGGAGTTCTAAAAAAAGAATTCTGAGGTCTTGGCTGATTTCTTTTGATTTTCCCATGATGTCAAGCAAAGAGGCACTGAGTTTGAAGGTAGGCCTTGAAATACATCCACAGGTACACCTCCAATTGACTCAAATGATGTCAATTAGCCTATCAGAAACTTCTAAAGCCATGACATCATTTTCTGGAAATTTGTTTAAAGGCACAGTCTACTTAGTGTATGTAAACCTCTCACCCACTGGAATTGTGATACAGTGAATTATAAGTGAAATAATCTGTCTGTAAACAATTGTTGGAAAAATGACTTGTGTCATGCACAAAATAGATGTCCTGACCGACTTGCCAAAACTATAGTTTGTTAACAAGAAATTTGTGGAGTGGTTGAAAAATGAGTTTTAATGACTCCAATATAAGTGTATGTAAACTTCCGACTTCAACTGTATTTAGGCTGTTACCGATATGGTAGCCTAATGATAACCTAATTACCAATCTAATATCCTACCCAGGCTAGGGCTGCAGGTTAGCTGAAAGGCCCAGAGGTGATCCTGGTCCGGTCACGTGGTGAGGGAAAACGAGTTGTGATGGCGTCAATCGAACACTGGTCCAGATATGAGTTGTATGCTATAGAACAGGCAAATAGACCTGGGACACCAGGTGGGTGCAGTTAATGATCAGGTAGAACAGCAAACCAGCAGTACTCCAGACATCCAAGCTCGGATTGAATACCTGCTATAGAGAAGAGACTGTTCCTGATATATGTTGGAGGCTATTAGTCTATAGAGGGGCCGGCGTCAGACTGTCTGTGTCTGATGTTGCTGCAATTAGTGTGGAGCATGGCAATAATTAGGTTGAGAATACACACACACTTTCACTTTCACACACACACACACAATTGTGTGCGCGCGGACACACACTCACACACTCACACAAACACACGTGTACATACATGTGGGCACACTGGGCAATACGTGCTGCATTGTTCATGTGTGTATGGAATGCATATGAAGTCTGCAGCCCTGTGGTATGTCATGGTGTATTATGTTTCATAGACATAGTGACAAGGCACAGTGAAAGGTGGACACGGTGACATTTGAGTAATCCAGGTGCTAACTGAAATGTGAACTTCGCCGCCACACAAATAAACCTCCCTGGTCATTTGACATCAGACTTCTCACTTTACCTCATATTTTTGGGATATCAATTCATATCTGGAATATGTAGATATAATTCCCTATAATTGTAGATGCTGCACAAACGGCTTCAACATAGTGTGATATACTGTCTAAAATAATTCAACTCCTAGAGAAAATACATTTAAGCAATAGTGAATCGAAAAAAAGTTCAGCTTTTATAGCAATCAGACACTTTTGGAAAGGTGGATAGATAGATAGATAGATAGATAGATAGATAGATAGATAGATAGATAGATAGATAGATAGATAGATAGATAGATAGATAGATAGATAGATAGATAGATAGATAGATAGATAGATAGATAGATAGATAGATAGATAGATAGATAGATAGATAGATAGATAGATAGATAGATAGATAGATAGATAGATAGATAGATAGATAGATAGATAGATAGATAGATAGATAGATAGATAGATAGATAGATAGATAGATAGATAGATAGATAGATGGATGTAGGGATGGTTTTTAAATGAATGGAGCCCTGCCATAGACATGTGGGAGAGGAAATATGTCCTTCGGCCTGTGAGAATATGTGGCCAGAGACATGGCCATCTAGCCATCTGTCTTCAGATGGAGAGAGAGATTAAGCCAAGGCCTCCACACACCTTATAAATCACACATCATATTATTCCGGTTTCAACACCACTCTCAGCACCCGTCATTCCTATCATAAGTTTCTGTGGTTTCAGAGGCGGCTTGCTATTAATGTTTCTTTTGAATATTGAGACACTATTTGCAGTTCCTCGGTTAGATCTGAGGAGCTCACCTTGTTATTTTTACATGAGACTAAACCAGTCCAGCCAGTCCAGTTCAGCCCTAATTTCTGTACAGTCTATTATGATAGTGCTATTGAACATTGTCTATTGTTACCCAATGATGCAATAGTAGGTATAATACAACAATAACTATACGTACTCTCCTTTTCTTACACAGTAGTAATGGCTGGAAATAAACTAGCTATGTTTGGCCTGTGAGAAAGTCACTCACTGTGTGTGTACTTTTCTATTTAAATCTCTTCAAGTACGCTGAATGATTGCTTTTAACATCCCTTCTCTTTGGGGGATGTCAATGAACGTATTTCTAGTTTATTTTATTACTCTGTCATTGTTTGTTTGGAACTCAATGTCATTGGAGGCTGCTGCCCTGCCTTTCCATGGGGCATGTTGTCAGGCAGCCATGCTATCTGCTCCTGGCTGCGTCCATAGCTCAGGGATGTTATTTGAATTCCCCCTAACCTTGGAGTCCTGCCCTGGCCTGCTTGAGGAAAGATATATCCTACCTCCTGATGTGTTGATTTGAAGGGGGACAGCGTGAGCTGCCTCCGCACTATTAATAATACATCAACATTAAATCACGTGATAAACCCAGAGCTGAGCTGACTCATGATAGACAGCATGCAGGTAGAGCTCACAGCTCACTTTATCTTGAGGGAGATACTTTAGCAATAAGGTCCGAGGGGCTGTAGCACATGACGCAAAGAGGTGTGACTGGAAACAGCTGCTCAATATAACACTTTAGCAGTTTCTCTCTTTAAATACCCTATGGGCCGGTTTCCCAGACACAGATTAAGCCTAGTGCTTAAGACTAAACCCAGAGGTGCCTTATTCCTTTTATAAAACGGTTACCAAATATGACTCCCTGGTCAGGTGACATGGTCAAGAAAAACTCTGGGATCTTTCTAAAGTAGATCATACAATTATGTGACATCTCGGTAAAACATACTTACTTCACAAGTCATTATCATCAATCTAACTTCAATTCAGATTGAGCCACAGATGTGTCACATGGACAAAAGCTATATCCACCCACCCTTTAGTTTACTACATAACAGTACATCAGCCTTGGGGTCGAGTCAACATCCTCATAGGTCATAGTACAACCTGTCAGTTCCTCTCTCTGTTTGCACGGCGGCTGCCATGGCCTCTTTATCTGTAATTATTTACCGTGGTCACATCACGGTGCATGTAGAAAATCTAGTAACGCTATGTCAGATTCCATACACAGGCCAGAGAGGCAAGTGTGTCTGCCTAACTGTCTGCCCCATCCCTTTTTAAACCAACCCCTCGCCTGGATAACTCTGCCATGTGACGTGTCACAGAGACATGCCTGTTATCCCAGTTGGCCTTGGTTTGGGCTTAGCCCTCGAACCCTTCCTGGTGACACACACACATCCTCCTTCGCAGGCTGCCTCACACATACTCCCTCCCTCCCTTTCTCCCCAGACCCAGGCCCAAGCAGATACACTCCTGTCACATGCTCCCAGGCCAAGTCTGTTCTGCTCTGTCCAGCCTGCTGTCACCATCACATCACTGCCTCCTGTCTCTGTCACAGACCCTGCCAGGCCAAGCATTCTAACTCTCTCTATCTTTCTCTCTGTCTATGCCCCCCCCCCCCCCCCCCCTCTCTCTCTCTCTCTCTCTCTCTCTCTCTCAACCATAGATACACACAGACACAGGCACACACGTGCTCTCACAAATTCTCTTTCTCTCACTCTCTCACTTTCTCCTACACACTTCCGGGTAACGCTCTCACTCCTCTCTGTGTTTCAGGGTCAGTATGGAGGAGGCCGACCTGTTGAAGGAGCGGCTCCAGGCCATAACGGTAAAGCTACAAAACAATACATCTTTATTGTTCCATTACACAGAGACAACGGATATTTGGTAATTTTTTGCTGTCGCAGTACCCAAATGATTCCCTATTGTCTATTCATGTGAAAGAAAGAGTAGCTTTTCTGAAAGCTACACATTTGAAAAGGTCAGAGGCATTTATGAAGCTATTTGTGTTGTGATGATTCTGCAAATGAGAATGGATGGCAACGGTATCTAGTAGCTGTGAAAGAGACCTAGCTAATCATCAGGATATCTTGTTTTAGAAGTGAAGGTCAAACACTTGGTGTCAGGAAGTGAGAGTAAACTCATCACTACAGTTCAGTATGTAGTCTGAGAGATCTATAGACCTGGGGCGGCAGGTAGCCTGGCTGGTAGGAGCGTTGGGCCAGTAACCGAAAAGTTGCTGGATTGAATCCCCGAGCTGACAAGGTAAAAATCTGTCGTTCTGCCCCTGAGCAAGGCAGTTAACCCACTGTTCACTGGGCTCTGATGACGTGGATGTAGATTAAGGCTGCCCCCCGCACCTATCTGCTTTAGAGGGATTGGGTTAACTGTGGAAGACACATTTCAGTTGAATGCATTCAGATGTACAACTGACTAGGTATCCCCCTTTCCTTTTCTTTCCCAGTCTGAGTTTCCTGTCTGGCTGTCTTCACACTTCACTGATTTCAGTAAACTTGATTCACTCTAGCTGTGCGTCCACAGAGCTAGCTGTCAGTAGACTAGACTTCATCTGGGATATCCATTCTCCCTGGGGCTTAGTAATACAAGGATCAAACCTGGGACTATTAATAGACAACAATATGTCTGATCACCACACTTTACATTACAGATATGTCTATGCAGTTATAACTTTTCTACAAAAATTAAGACAGAGGCATTATATCTCTCTGATAATGCTAAAAACCATTAGAAAATAAGTATTAGATCTTCTGATCTAATGTAGGAAGTACTGTGTGTTTCTACAAACAAAAAAAATGCTAACCCAGCACTGGATAAATATTGGACAGAACACACAGTGGGCTATTTTGACCCAGCTAGTTGGAATTCCTGAATAACCCAACATGTTGGGTTGTTGGGATTAACTAAACATGGGTTAATTTAAGCATCAGTTGTGTGTTTTTTTGTTTCATGCTGAGTTCACCTAGCAGCTGGGTCTTTTCTTTATATAATCCTTAGGTTATTTTCAGGAGGCGTGGCTTATTAGGGGTGTGGCTTTCAGATAGATCTTATTGGCTACCCGTGAGAGTAAATGCCATTCCTGTTCATCATGTTAAGTTTACATACTGTAAATTATTATTATTTTGTGCATTTTACACATTCTTCTAGAATATTATGAATATTTATTACATATTTTAATAAAGTGGTAATCTATCCCAACAATGGGATTTGCATAGGCTTTTAGGGAACTCATACACTTCTCTAAACCTCATTGAAGCTCCGAAAATGTCAATGTTCAAGCTTAACGTGATTACTATACAACAGAACAGATTAACAGGAATGACATTTACTCTCACGGGTGGCTAAACATTAGTATCTGAAAGCCACGCCCCTACCAAAATACGCCTCCAGTCTTCTGATCTCAATAACCCAGCACCAACAACCCAGCATCAACAACCCAACCTTGCTCTTTTTAAAGAAAAGATCCCAACTAAGTGACCCAACGCCTGCAACCCAGCGGTTGGGTCAACCAAACAATCCAACCATAAAGGGTAGGCCTATACGCATAGGGCCGGTTTCCTAGACAGAGCCATTGAAATAGTGTTTTAGTGCAGGACTAGGCTTCATCTTTGTCTGGGAAACCAGCCCAAAGGGTATTTATAGAGAGAAACTGCTAAAATGTTATATTGACCAGATGGACACTGTGGACAGGTTGTATCTGACTTGCTATGATGTCACAGGCATCTCCCTGCCTGATTGGACACAGTGGGGTGCTGGAGCGTTCCCATTGGTTGGAATTATGAGAATACAATAGCCATGACTAGCTGTAGATTCATTTATGTCTATGAAATGACAAAAACAGGTGAAATCTCTCCATTGACAAAGCCATGCTTGAATGTCTTCACAGGAAAAAAGAAGAGTCCAGGACGACATCGCAAAGAAAAGGAGACAAATTGAGGAGGAAAAATTAAAACTCCAGTGTTTAAAGGTATGTTTTAGTCGAAACTGTTATCTACATTGTTACAAACCCAGTGCATGTGCATTGTATCTGAAGAGAAAAAGACTGGAATGGAATTGAAATATCTACCCGGCCATTGGAACACACACAACAGTTGTTGAGTTACAACACTATAGTTCATGGTGTAACATAGTCTATTGATGGTTTCCCCAAATAGAAAAAGGCCCTTCGAGAGCAGTGGCTGATGGATGGGCTGAGCCCTCAGAGTGAGGAGGACCAGGAGGCCACCAATCTACAGGCCCAGGGCGACCAGGAGCAAACCCTATTACTGCAGAGTAACATTGACAGGTACATCTTACAATGGGATGAATGGTGAGGTGTGGGTGTGTATGTTTGTATGTATGTTTGAATGTGTGTGTGTGTGTGTGTGTGTGTGTGTGTGTGTGTGTGTGTGTGTGTGTGTGTGTGTGTGTGTGTGTGTGTGTGTGTTACTGCTGAGTGATTAACCAAAATGTCTTACTTTTTCAGTAAATTAAACAACCAATTGACCGACATTGGTTCAATTACTTGAGAGAAATTCCATAGAGAGAAATCATATCAAGCACGAAAGACATCACATCAAGAATGAACTGTGGGATGCTGTAGGGAGTTTTTAATAGGGAAATATTCAACCTAGTTCAGCACAGTAAAACTTGGTAATTAACTACAATGACCAGAATCCATTGCGCCTTTTCTTCCCGGCCCCGCACATACAGTATACCCTATACAGATATATATATATATATTTTTAAATATATTTAACTTCACTTAAAATGTATTTCAAATGTATTTCAAATACATGTAGATATATTTGCATCTTTGCTCAGATGCATGTAATGCCTTAAAAAGTATTCCAGAAATACATGCAAATACATGGCCATGACATATCGTCTACAAGGTGGCCAGATGGTTATTATTATAACACAACAATGTAATACACACAAAGGAAAACAAGAATCAATTTCAAATTTCAAGCAATTTATTTGACCTGGGTTCACATTAATAAGCATTTAATTTCACACATCAATGTAAACGTTAAAAGTTAAAAGTTGAAAAGAATTAATATTCCATACATTCATGTTCTCGTCTCATGACATATTCCATATTGCATGGTAGATACAGTGGTTTCTTTAGATATCCTACTTTTGTTGTCAAGCATCACTGGACCATCTCTCGCAACAGACCATTTCTCATGTATTTACACTTGTTCCTTCACATGACATAATATTACTTCATGTTCATATTCCATGCTAGATACAGTGGCTTCATTTGGACTTCAATGTAAATGTTTTTTAAAAGTTAAAAACAATTCATATTCCATATATTTACGTTCTCGTCTCATGACATATTCCATGTACATATTCTATATTCCATGCTAGATACAGTGGTTTCTTTTTTTGTCACGTCTTACTAGACTATCTCACATCTATTCACAAATGTAATCAACTTTCAGCTTGGTGGTTTGCATGAACAAACGTTTACATTTAATTCTGGAAACAGGAATTGCAGTTAATTTACCAAGCGTTTTCATGACAGATTCAAAATAAGATGGTTAGCGATGGTTGAGCAGAAGTTGTGTTTTCCCTTGTAAAATATCTTCCCATATTATAACCCATTACCCCTTTATCGTGTTCACAGAAAATGAAGGTATTCACAGAGAAAATGCTGTGGTCAACATCATCCAAGACAACAGTATAAGAATTGCATTTGTATACACGTGTGTAATTTTCTGAATGTATCACTTCTCCATTTAAAATGACTTTGTTGAAATATTTCACTATTCCTTTCTTTACTACATGTTTGTGCAAAGCGATAAAATACGATTTACTAAGAGTTCGAATTGTAGGACTACCAAGGCCTGTGACACCACTGCAACTACGTGTCACATGTATTAACTGTATAGGTCCTACAAGGAATTCAAATACTTTTGTTTGCATTCTGATGAAGCACTACCAAGTATCTTGTGTCCATAGGCTGGTAAGGCTCTCTGCATCCAAAATGTTTTAAGGATTTGCAAAGCAACTCCTTGAGAGCCCTTGACTATATCTATCAGATTTGCATTATACGACTCAAAAACAAAACTGGAATGAGTCCAGACACGACCAAAATTGCGGAACAGTTTTTGGAAGGTGGAGGCAAAGATGCACGTTAAAAGAAACATTACCCACCCCATAAACACAATGCATTTCTTTGACAAAATGTTCAAGGAAAACTTCTGACTCAGAAATATGACTTTCGGTAATGCTCTCGCCAAGTAGTATAGATACTACTAACCAATGAGTTAAGTAACAATCTGGCAAGATTGACTATATAGTACACTCTTAGAAAAAAGGGTTCCAAAAGGGTTCTTTGGCTGTCCCCATGGGAGAAACCTTTTCGGTTCCAGGTAGAACCCTTTTTGGTTCCAGGTAGAACTCTTTTGGGCTCCATGTAGAACCCTCTGTGGAAAGGGTTCTACTTGGAACCAAAAAGGGTTATTCTATGGGGACAGCGGAAGAACCCTTTTAGGTTCTAGATAGCACCTTTTTTTCTAAGAGTGTACAGGAGCCACATGTACCATTTGTGTGCCTTCCAAAATGTTATTTGGGTGATCGAACTTGGTAAAAGTGAGACGTTGCATTTTGGCTTTATATTCAAAAGCATGTCATCTAGATATTGAGTTGATCTACCTATATATACAGTTGAAGTCGGAAGTTTACATACACTTAGGTTGGAGTCATTAAAACTTGTTTTTCAACCAATCCACAAATTTCTTGTTAACAAACTATAGTTTTGGCAAGTCGGTTAGGACATCTACTTTGTGCATGACACAAGTCATTTTTCCAACAATTGTTTACAGACAGATTCCTTCACTGTAATTCACTGTATCACAATTCCAGTGGGTCAGAAGTTTACATACAGTAAGTTGACTGTGCCTTTAAACAGCTTGGAAAATTCCAGAAAACGATGTCATGGCTTTAGAAGCTTCTGATAGGCTAATTGACATAATTTGGGAAAATCAAAAGAAATCAGCCAAGACCTCAGGAAAAAGATTGTAGACCTCCACAAGTCTGGTTCATCCTTGGGAGCAATTTCCAAATGCCTGAAGGTACCACGTTCATCTGTACAAACAATAGTATTCAAGTATAAACACCATGGGACCACGCAGCCGTCATACCGCTCAGGAAGGAGACGCGTTCTGTCTCCTAGAGATGAACGTACTTTGGTGTGAAAAGTGCAAATCAATCCCAGAACAACAGCAAAGGACCTTGTGAAGATGCTGGAGGAAACCGGTACAAAAGTATCTATATCTACAGTAAAACGAGTCCTATATCGACATAACCTGAAAGGCCGCTCAGCAAGGAAGAAGCCACTGCTCCAAAACCGCCATAAAAAAGCCAGACTACGGTTTGCAACTGCACATGGGGACAAAGATCGTACTTCATGGGGACAAAGATCGTACTTTTTGGAGAAATGTCCTCTGGTCTGATGAAACAAAAATAGAACTGTTTGGCCATAATGACCATCGTTATGTTTGGAGGAAAAAGGGTGTGGCTTGCAAGCCGAAGAACACCATCCCAACCGTGAAGCACGGGGGTGGCAGCATCATGCTGTGGGGGTGCTTTGCTGCAGGAGGGATTGGTGCACTTCACAAAATAGATGGCATCATGAGGAAGGAAAATTATGTGGATATATTGAAGCAACATCTCAAGACATCTGTCAGGAAGTTAAAGCTTGGTCGCAAATGGGTCTTCCAAATGGGCAATGACCCCAAGCATACTTCCAAAGTTGTGGCAAAATGGCTTAAGGACAACAAAGTAAAGGTATTGGAGTGGCCATCACAAAGCCCTGACCTCAATCCTATAGAACATTTGTGGGCAGAACTGAAAAAGCGTGTGCGAGCAAGGAGGCCTTCAAACCTGACTCAGTTACACCAGCTCTGTCAGGAGGAATGGGCCAAAATTCACCCAACTTATTGTGGGAAGCTTGTGGAAGGCTACCCGAAACGTAAATAAATAAATAAATTATTCTCTCTAGTATTATTCTGACATTTCACATTCTTAAAATAAAGTGGTGATCCTAACTGTCCTAAGACAGGGAATTGTTACTACGATTAAATGTCAGGAATTGTGAAAAACTGAGTTTAAATGTATTTGGCTAAGGTGTATGTAAACTTCCGACTTCAACTGTATATATACCATGACATCTCATGATTTTCAATGTTGAACTATAAACTGGTCATGCTTCTGGCAATCCCCAATATCACTTTGTGCAGATAAACTGGGATAGGTCCCTCTATTATGTCAAAGTGTTTAAGCCGAGATAAATTACTGGGGCCTTTAATTCCTTTTACAGCTTTGCCAGACTCTAGTGCTGAATCTATAAATAAATCAGTCTAAGACTGATTTCTGAGTTGACAGTTTTCCTCAAAAGGATATGCACCTTTGCTACTACAGTACCTTTTTGGAGACAAAAAGTGCAGCCAAATGTCCCATTAAACTGTTTAATGTTTTGAAGAGGTCCCATGGGGCGGCGCACAATTGGCCCAGCATCGTCCAGGGCAGGGGAGGGAATGGCCGGCAGGGATGTAGCTCAGTTGGTAGAGCATGGCGTTTGCAACGCCAGGGTTGTGGGTTCGATTCCCACAGGGGGCCAGTATGAAAAAATAGAAAAATAATGTATGCACTCACTAACTGTAAGTCGCTCTGGATAAGAGTGTCTGCTAAAATGTAAATGTAAAAATGTCTGGAGTTACAGACTAAAATTAAAGGAAAGACTTTGCTAGTCACAATTTCACCTTCAGGATTTTTCCATTTGACACCTTGATCTTGCAAAGTAATACATTCAGCTACAAAAGGTTTCAAGTATGTGGCTTTTGGGGCCTAAACCATAAACCGCAGAGAAGGACGTGCTTGTTTCTCAGATGTACATGAAGCTCATTAATAGTACAAAGAAGCGGCCAAATGCTAAATAACGAGGATTTAAAAATTGGAACTCCGTCACAACTGAACTGAAGGGACAGATTATCAGGATAATTTTAGAGGTGACAGTTCCTTTTACATCTTCCCATCCTATATACCATCTATAGAAGCTGGGTTCTCTTTAACTATCACATCTATGCTTTAGATCATTTGCAATCTCAGGTTCCTGCAACATATTCTGAATTTGCTCTTCTAAGGGCAAATATATATTTTTTAAATACCGTCTTTCCGATTTTTCGATTGCCTTCTTACAGCTCCTGCAGTACACCGTCGTATCAGAATGTTCCACCATGCAAAGACCAATTCTCACGCGTAGTGAATTTCCATGTACTGTTTCGTTTCATCAAAATACATGTAAAATAATAACGGAATTACTCCCACCCACAAGATTCATGACTTTGATGATGTCCTCTCGGCAATCATTGGTCAAACTATACTTCAATTTTACAGACAGAAACAGAAGTTCATTTAGTTATTTAGTCTGTTTGGGCTCAGTGTCTGTCTCACAGTCATCTGGGACTAGATCATCTTCTGAGTTGTATTGGAGACCATCTGCCTCAGAACGAAGATCATCTAGATGGGGACGAAGGTCATCCACATGGGTCGGTCCAGCACAGCCTGATTGATGTCCACCCAGATTGCTTTGTCCAGCGCTGAGAGGCACCTTCAATAAAACATCACAGTACTTTACTTTAAATAACATAAAAAACATTTTATTTTGCATTGAAATGTCTTGAACTGGCCACAAGAACACTTTTGACCAGCCAGAGGATAAAACCTGTCATGTGCTACAATGTTTATCCTCTCTCTGACCCTATAGTAACAGTGTTTAGAAAGTTCATGTTTGTTCACCTGTGGATTCCTATAGTAACAGTGTTAGGGCAGATATTGTTTCAGGTACCTGTGTATTTCTACAGTAACAGTTGAAAACATCCTGTGGTGTGCCAGTCCAAATAAAACATGCCCCCCTGTCCTAAATGACTACAGGCCTGTCGAGTTGATTTCACATTATTAAAAATAACTCACTAGCTAAACTAAACTCAGTTGGTAGATTCTCTCTCTGTTGTCTCTCCTCCTTAACCCTGTCTCTTGTCCCTCATAGGTATGTAGATGATGCATTTCTATATCATGTCTGCATAATTAACTGTATGTTACTGTTCATTCATCACCATTACGGCATCCTTTTACCACAGGGGGGCAGAATAATTATGTTCTCTGAAAATGTTGTTTCATATCCCCCATTCAAATCATTGCATATTCTGTTCACTTTATGATGTGACTGATTTAAACTTACCGTAAAGTTACTTCTTTCATTGTGGCCATCTTCATTCATTGTGATGCCAGAATAGTGTCCCCTAAGAGATAATTGACAGTCATTTAATATCATCTTGAACTGAGCCATTCATTCCTTCTACTTATCAGATATAGCTAACATTAATTACAACTAACAATCATCATAATTGTCACTAACAATAATCACTAATTCCACACAAAATGGCGGCACACTTGTAGGCCACCATAACTTGTTATCTGCCAAGCTGTAGCCTTAAATATAAGTATATTGCAATTAGTTATTTACCACTTAAAATATAGATAGCTAGCTAAATATCTTGGTATTAAATCCTACCAAAATCAACAGTCTAGTGTGGTTGAATGTAAATTTTGAACAGCTTCTTGCACACAAAATGTATGCCATGAGAGAGAAATGTACACATTCAACCACACTAGCTAGACTGTTGATTTTGGTAGGATTTAATACCAAGATATTTAGCTAGCTATCTTTAAGTGGTAAATAACTAAATGCAATAGACTTATATTTAAGGCTACAGCTTGGCAGATAACAAGTGTAGCTCAGTTGGTAGAGCATGGTGCTTGCAACGCCAGGGTTGTGGGTTTGATTGCCAGGGGGGCCAGTATGAAAATGTATGCATTCACTTAACTGTAAGTCGCTCTGGATAAGAGCATCTGCTAAATGACTAAAATGTAAAAAAATGTAAATACACAAGAGGGATAGAGACAGTTTGTGAGGTAGCTCTACCTGATTGATAGTTTTAGCAGTCTTGAAAATGCCTTATCTACTTTGAAGAACTACTAAAATAGTGATTTCGGCAGAAAGCTCTGCAGCATGGGCAGCTGTGGCAACCCAATGATCATGGGCTACCCTTTTCGCTAGCCAAGGGGACCTTGGCTCGTTGGGTAGCACAGAGATAGCGTAGATGGTTGTCTGGCAGTCTGGCTGCTACTGCTTGAGCAGAGATGAGGTGACTTTAAGAAATGAAAGAATAAAGTCATCAAATAAAAAAGAAATAATATACATAACAAAAATATTTTATTTAATTAAAGTAATGTGAATAAATTATGGTAAATAAGTGCTAAGCAGTAATGGTAGTCACTACAGCATGGGGGTCCTATGAATTGCTTTAGTCTGTGCTGTTAAGAGACAATGGAATGTTATTAATATTAATGTTATTAATATTTTGCTTTGGAATTTCAATTAAAAAGCAAAAAAACTCATTTCAAGGTCTTTAAATGTAAAAATTAATAATAATCGAAAACCGTGATCATTTTTTAAAAACCGAACCCGAACCGACCTCAAAAAGCACTAATCACTCAGCACTAGTGTGCTAGTGCGTTCGTTCATGTTTGCTTGTGTGTGGCTGAGTGCAGTGCACACATTCACGTGTTAGTGAGTCAAGAGCATACGTTTCTAAGTCAAAGGGCAACACAGGAGATTTCCGAACACTTTCCCTTTCTAGCCTGAGCTACTATGAGTGGGAAACGATTGGAAGGATTACACCAAGATGGTGCTCTTTAACCCACTGCTTAACCCCTGTGAGAGGCTTTGTATGTCAGCCAACGGTCGTACAGATAGTCTTCCCACCCCAACCATTGTTACGTAAAAACCTGTCTACTGTGCTGTTTAAACCAACCCCCTTAGAGAGGATTACTCCCTCTAAGTACCCTTATGCAATAACAATACTAACTTCTAGAGAGTATAGAGTGTTACTCTCTAGTGTTATAGTGTTAGTGTACGTATATACTGAGTGTACAAAACATTAAGAACAACTTCCTAATATTGAGTTGAATTTTTGCCCTCAGAACAGCCTCAATTCATCAGGGCATGGACCCTACAAGGTGTCGAAAGCGTCCCACAGGGATGCTGGCCCATGTTGACTCCAATGCTTCCCACAGTTGTGTCAAGTTGACTGCATGTCCTTTGGGTGGTGGACCATTCTTGATACACACAGGAAACTGTTGAGCGTGAAAAAACCCAGCAGCATTGCAGTTCTTGACACAAACCAGTGTGCCTGGCACCTACTACCATACCCCGTTCAAAGGTACTTCAAACTTTTGTCTAGCCCATTCACCCTCTGAATGGCACATATACACAATCCCTGTCTTAATTGTCTCAAGGCTTAAAAATCATTCTTTAACCTGTCTCCTCCCCTTCATCTACACTGATTGAAGTGGATTTAACAAGTGACATCAATAAGGGATCATAGCTTTCACCTGGATTCACCTGGTCAGTCTAAGTCATGGAAAGAGCAGGTGTTCTTAATGTTTTGTACACTCAGTGTCACTCTAATAACATATACTATATATAGATTTTAGTATAGCTCTCAGAGTATAGCTGTAAGTGCTAATATGTTCTATCAGAGCGAGGCACTGTTATATTTTCTGATGGTAGAACATTAATGGAGAGACGAGTGAACTAGAGTGACCCGTCTCTTGTCTGTCCTGCTATCCTGCCTGTCAGCATTGATGTGATGAGATGGGCTCTGAGCTTTGTTCACTGGACCGTATCAGAGCTGTGTGATAAATCTATGTCCTAAATGGCACCCTATTCCCACCCTTTGGGTCCTGGTCAAAAGTAGCACACTATTCAAAAGTAGTGCACTATATAGAGAATAGGGTGGCATTTGGGACGCAAACAAAAGCACCAAACCAATCTGGAGAGAAATCCTCCTCATCACCTGGAAAAAACAACCTATCAACGATCAGGATGAGGGTTCAGAAATAGACTTTGACCCCTGACCAAAACAATCACATTTAGAAAAACACATAAACAGCCTATCAATATTCACCTTAAGGAGAGTATATCAAAATTATTGGATATAAACCGCATACTGATAAACACAAATTAAATCAAGCAATCTATCTCTATCAAAGAACAAGCATAGTCATTGTACATGTTAATTTATATGCTAAGCTATGAGTGACCGACTACCGATGATTACGGTTGAAATGGATAAGGTAATTTCCATGCAACTGTCAATTTGTTTTTCAGATTTTCATAGGAATACCGTTGCTTGCTGAGCAATTACTGTCTGTTTGGTGTAATTGCGGCTGCTAAGCTGCTCTATGTTTTGCATCCACTTTACAGAATGGAGACGGAAATAGAGGCTCTGGAAACACAGGAGCTGCAGATTTCAGCCAACGAGGAAGTGATTCTGAAGCGACTGAAGGAGGTAGAGAGGACTGCAGAGGACATCATCAAGGTATTGCTCGTCTAATACTAACATTAGACCATTACTTTGTGCTTATATTGTGGGACTTGTATTTACATCCATTATTCTGGTTCTTTGGAGAAGAGCAAGGGTTCATGGGTATTAGGCCTAATGCTTGAATCTTGAGTTTGCAGTGTACTTGGTTTATCATTCTCGTCGTCGACCTCACACTAACATCAATGGGGGGGTGGATAATGTCTAATACTCTGTGTCTATGTCCTTTATGTCTATGGGGAATGGCTTCATTCCAATGAAATGGAGGATATTAATTGAATATGCAGGTAGTGATTTGTGTTAAAGTTGTTGTTTTCACAAAGAGGTTGCTGTGAACTGACTGTGTGGGTGTGCGGTGGTTAGCAAAGGTCTGCTTATAGAGGAAAAGGTGATGCGAAATGGAAGGCAATTATATTGATGGAGGGCAGAAGGTGCCAATGGTCTACTTGCATGTTTTCTGATTCCTTGGATATGGTGTCTAATCACTGACCTGAAACTAACAACCCTTGAGCCGTTTGGAAAGGACTAACGTACTTTCTTTTTCACCTGGTTTGTTGTGATTTTTCGCATCATCCTTTCAGTCGGTTTTGATTTTGAACACCTGTATCTCCACACAGGAGTTAAATGCTGAATACCAGGCAGGTAAATACTTTTGTTGCTCTTGGTGTTGTGCTTGTCTTCCTAACATTATATTCCTATATTTATTCTATATTAACATCTACTGGAGGACTAATGGCATATGTGAACTGACTGGGTTGTTATCTTTACAGACCCGATACAATACATTTACTCACCGATTCCAAATATGCCAGATTTCCAGATGCCAAGGTCCATCACACCTACCAGTAGACCACTGAGGAAAAGTACAAATCCACAGGAAGGACTTGATGGTGAAGAACCAAAGCAGGGTATATAAACAATATACAGTATTCTGAATGCAATATCTGGCATATGTTATTTAGAGTGAAAAAAGTATTTGATCCCCTGCTGATTTTGTACGTTTGCCCACTGACAAAGACATTTTAGTCATTTAGCAGACGCTCTTATCCAGAGCGACTTACAGTTAGTGAGTGCATACATTTTTTATATTTTTTTCATACTGGCCCCCTGTGGGAATCGAACCCACACCCTGGCATTGCAAACGCCATGCTCTACCAACTGAGCTACATCCCTGCCGGCCATTCCCTCCCCTACCCTGGGCCAATTGTGCGCCGCCCCATGGGTCTCCCGGTCGCGGCCGGCTACGACAGAGCCTGGATTCGAACCAGGATCTCTAGTGGCACAGCTAGTACTGCGATGCAGTGCCTTAGACCACTGCGCCACTCGGGAGGCCATGATCAGTCTATAATTTTAATGGTAGGTTAATTTGAACAGTGAGAGATAGAATAACAACAAAAAAATCCAGAAAAACGCATGTCAAAAAATGTTATAAATTGATTTGCATTTTAATGAGGGAAATAAGTATTTGACCCCCTCTCAATCAGAAAGATTTCTGGCTCCCAGGTGTCTTTTATACAGCTAACGAGTTGAGATTAGGAGCACACTCTTAAAGGGAGTGCTCCTAATCTCAGTTTGTTACCTGTATAAAAGACACCTGTCCACAGAAGCAATCAATTAATCAGATTCAAAACTCTCCACCATGGCCAAGACCAAAGAGCTCTCCAAGGATGTCAGGGACAAGATTGTAGACCTACACAAGGCTGGAATGGGCTACAAGACCATCGCCAAGCAGCTTGGTGAGAAGGTGACAACAGTTGGTGCGATTATTCGCAAATGGAAGAAACACAAAAGACCTGACAATCTCCCTCGGCCTGGGGCTCCATGCAAGATCTCACCTCGTGGAGTTGCAATGATCATGAGAACGGTGAGGAATCACCCAGAACTACACGGGAGGATCTTGTCAATGATCTCAAGGCAGCTGGGACCATAGTCACCAAGAAAACAATTGGTAACACACTACGCCGTGAAGGACTGAAATCCTGCTGTGCCCGCAAGGTCCCCCTGCTCAAGAACGCACATATACAGGCCCGTCTGAAGCTTGCCAATGAACATCTGAATGATTCAGAGAAGAACTGGGTGAAAGTGTTGTGGTCAGATGAGACCAAAATCGAGCTCTTTGGCATCAACTCAACTCGCCGTGTTTGGAGGAGGAGGAATGCTGCCTATGACCCCAAGAACACCATCCCCACCGTCAAACATGGAGGTGGAAACATTATGCTTTGGGGGTGTTTTTCTGCTAAGGGGACAGGACAACGTCACCACATCAAAGGGACGATGGATGGCGCCATGTACCGTCAAATCTTGAGTGAGAACCTCCTTCCCTCAGCCAGGGCATTGAAAATGGGTCGTGGATGGGTATTCCAGCATGACAATGACCCAAAACACACGGCCAAGGCAACAAAGGAGTGGCTCAAGAAGAAGCACATTAAGGTCCTGGAGTGGCCAAGCCAGTCTCCAGACCTTAATCCCATAGAAAATCTGTGGAGGGAGCTGAAGGTTTGAGTTGCCAAACATCAGGCTCGAAACCTTAATGACTTGGAGAAGATCTGCAAAGAGGAGTGGGACAAAATCCCTCCTGAGATGTGTGCAAACCTGGTGGCCAACTACAAGAAACGTCTGACCTCTCTGATTGCCAACAAGGGTTTTGCCACCAAGTACTAAGTCATGTTTTGCAGAGGGGTCAAATACTTATTTCCCTCATTAAAATGCAAATCAATTTATAACATTTTTGACATGCGTTTTTCTGGATTTTTTTGTTGTTATTCTGTCTCTCGCTGTTCAAATAAACCTACCATTAAAATTATAGACTGATCATGTCTTTGTCAGTGGGCAAACATACAAAATCAGCAGGGGATCAAATACTTTTTTCCCTCACTGTATATACACACAATGAGTGGCCATCTGCACTCTTTTATAGTCTTTAACACAACGTTACGTCATGTTACAGGTGTGTAGGTTTCAACAAGCAGGATAATGTAATGAATAGATACCCGCACACTGTCGAAAACATAGAAAAAACATGATGATATCTGGAATTATGAAGCACTTCACCTGTACATCACAGTGAATTTTCATGTGATATGGGCCTTTATATGATCATCCTCTGTAAGTGACTCATTTGGATTCCTAGAACACAGATTCACAGCTTGAATCAGGCCTTGACACCTGCTGTTCCAATCATGTCATTCCAAAGCCTGTAATTTAATATTTTTTGCATTGCAGAAATTGGAATAAGTGATATGAATCAGAAAAAATGTAAATCTTTTTTCAGTTGTCAAGGACCAATAATTTGATTATTTATTGAACACATAAATACATGAAAACAGTGTACAGACAGGAGTTATAACCTACTGTACATTTTTGTGGTACATTCAAAATACATTCAGTATTTTATATGAATCATACACCTTGTGTTCTAGTTGTTGTCCATCCTATGTCCTCTCTCTCTCTCCGTAGCTATGTTCGCCATGGAGATCAGTGTAGAGAAGGACATGAGAACAGGAGAGAGCCAAGTCGTGTCCATGGCCACCCTAACCCCTGAAGAGTTCCAACAGAAGGGTGTGATGGTCTACGATGATGGGAAGAAGTCTGTCTATGCCCTACGCTCGGAGGGACTGGTGACCCAGAATGGGGTGGGGGTAGGCGAACTGAGTAACGTTGAGGTGGAGGAGCTCCTGCGCCAGGCTGGCGATGCAAAGGTCCCCACAGAGGTCCAGTACCACAAGCCTGTCTACGCTGCTCCTTACACCAGCAGGCCTTCAACCCCTGCATGGAAGCCTGAGCAGGGACACGTCAGCCCCGGTCCTGCTGGGCCCAATGGCCATCGGACCTCCATTACAACCCCCCATCCTCAAGCTCTGCCCAGAGATGGAGCTCAGAGCAAGGAAGAAATAGCCAGCCCAGCCCCGTCTCACATTCCAAACCTCTACGCCGACAAGCATCTAGTGCAGCCTCAATCACCCCCTCATCAAGGTTTCAAAACTGGACAGAGCCTCACCAATGGTAGCAGTGGTATAGCTCCACACCCAGATAAAAACAGACTCAGACCAGCTATCATCACAGTCCAGAGTTCAGGAGAAAGCCGCACTCCCATACCGCCGATAGAGAATACTGTGACAGATTGGGACAGGCAGTCACCAATCTACCCCAACAGTCGTCAGTCTCCATTCTACCCCAGCAGTCGACAGTCACCATTTTACACCAGTGACAGTGGTGAGTCCTCCTTCAACATAATGAACACCTTGCCACCTGATCTGGACTCTGAACCAGTGACAATGATCTTCATGGGCTACCAGAACGCAGCAGAAGAGGAAGATGAGGAGAATATCCAAGCCGAGCTGGTCGTCATCGGAAACGGTGATGATGATGAAGAAGATGACAACAACGTACCCTCGTACCACCCCGAGGGATACCAAAGCAAGATCTTCCAACCCACAGACAAATGCAACAACAATACAAACTATACTGCAGATTACACAAACTCTGAGAGTCTACTACACCGACCCACATTCACCCACAAACCTGGCAAGCGGAGTTCCGACCCAGAACGACAGCCCCTAGCCATAGAAGAGCCCATGAGTGCAGGTATCAAGACGGGCAAAAATAAATGCTGCTTGTTAAGGGGAGGGGGGGGCTCGTCAATCCCTCTCCCTCTCTCATCAAATGCTAAACTACCCTCTCATCTACACTAACAACCTAACACTCTCTCTCTGATCTTGTGAGCCTTTGAGATCACACTCTAACGCTGTAGCTGCTGCGCCAACCTACTCACAGCCCAAGCATGTAGGGCATTCTCTATCCCCTGGACCCCACGTTCATCCTCTTTTGTCTTCCATTAACAAGATAATAAGGCACAGTTTTATAGCGGTTACCACATCTGGCATTACTTTATGTAGCCTTATTTTAACTATAGTCAGATTTGACAAATGAATGGAAGCTTTAAACTGTTTTGAATCAAAACAATATCGGAGAGATGTTGTCATTTAAATCAGTGTATTACTAACTTGTTTTTTTGAGAGACTTTAGCTCCATCCAGTGGCCATACTGATGAACACATCAACATTTGCTTGGTCATGTTCTGGGTACAGGTGAACTGAATGCCAAAGATGATGATGCTGCTTGTAAGGCAAGCCATTACATTTCTCGAATGAGATGTTCTAATTTTTATATAAGATTAAGTGCTTGGTCATTGCTAATGTATTTGTGTGCTATCTAACTCGACTGTTCTGCAAAATGTCTGCTTTTGTAGCCAAACTAATTAAAACTACCTCATCATACTATCCACTGGTTGCAGTTCTCTCTTTGTCAATTCAGAGTACAATTTCACAGCATGACTAAACTGCTGACTAACTGACTTATACTGGCAATCATACAATACTCTTTCAATATAATGATTTACCTGACTTCAAAGGGTGATTATTTATATATCACCATTTAGTAATGTTTTGGTTTATCCGCTTCCCTGAATCTCACTCCCCATTATTGTGTTGGATTGGTACAGATGTTGAACTATGTTCCATGTTTTTTTAGGTCTCTATTGGCAAGCATGTCCTTGGGTATTTTTCCTAAGCCATCTGAAAAGCCAAGACTGAGGCTGAGGAACATGAATTGGCATATGCTTGAGAAATACTTACATAAGCCTTTTCTTACCATTATATAAGCTACAATTTCGATGGAAAAAATCCCTTCCACCCTACCCATTATTTCAATTCTATTCAATTTCATGGTAAAGAAGAAGTCTTAGAGACAGCAAGACAATGCATACTAATGCATTAGTATTACATAAGGATATTCACACAGGTTGTTCTTCTTATACCATGGAAACCTTCAGGAGAACATTTTATATTACTGGTTTGTGGGATGATTGACTACAATTTAGGAGATAATCAAGATTCTGTCCAAAATATTGAATTTAAACATTGTCAATTTTTCTCCTCCACAGCTTATAAAGTGAGAATGTCAAAGCTAGGGGGGAAAGTGTAACCGGCAAAGTGATTGATTCCCGTCCCTGAAGAATAACGAACAGAAAAGAGTGGTCCTATGGAACAGACCTTTTCTACACACTACTTTGCTCATCAGATACAGGACGTATTCAAAGAGACAGACCACTGACAAGACAGATGGATGATTAGAATTTAATTTATATTATCATGGAAGTGCCAAGATGGTCTATGAATGTGTGAAATCGAAAATATCTGTATATCAATCATGCATTTATGGTATGTCAATGTTTAATTTATTAGGTGTAGTATTCATTCAGCAACAATATTTATTCAAAGACATTTGCTGTTCATTTCTAAAATGGCTGTGGAAGTGTTTTAATGCCAAAGTGACCTACCTTTTGCTGCTGTCAGTGCTTTTACAAAATCTACAATAAGGAATTGATTCCTGAACATATTAATGCCATTGGTAATATTGCATACTAAATTAGAAAATAAAAAGTTGTTATCTGAATAACCAAAGAAAATGTATAACAAAGACTGGGCATAATAACTTTGACATTATGTTTTCTATCAACATGTTATTTCTATGGTTGAGAGTTTGTACATTGATTGACCATACATTCAGTGAAGGGATTGTTATCAATTGAAATAGTCACAAAAGCATATCTGAACGAGATACACACAATCGTCAATTCAAGTTACAGTACACTGTACAAACCTTAGGAAAGGAAACACGAGAAGATTAGAAACACCTGGGAACTTGAACATTAAGTTTCTGGTTTTGACTAAATGCTTCACAGGGTTACCATAGTACAAAACATTAGTATTCTCAACGTTACTCACAGCAGAGAAGTCTTGGGTACACTCTTTATGAATGTGCGACAGTGTGCGTGTGTGTGTGTGTGTGTGTGTTTAAGGGAAAAGGAGAGAGAGACCATCTCTTTGCACCAGCCACACTGCTCTGCTATTGGTTGCTTCCCCTCTACACACATTCATAATCAGAGTTCTAGTCTCTGAGGCTACAGAGAGACAGAGCGCCAGCCTAACACTACTAGCCAAAGCCAGTCTACAATCACCTGCTGGACTGGCACAAGGTAGGACTGCAACAACAATAACACAGACAGAATAGTTTTTCCTTTGTACTGAGTACTGACAGGGACTAGAAATACCAGCTGGTTTTATAGACCAGAGCTGTTATTGCATGATGTAACTTGTATTGGGTTTGCTGCAATTGTCTCTTGTGAAAGTCTAAAAGGGTTATGATGGTGAAAGGGCATCGTATAGACAGTGAACTAAAAGTGGGGGTTGAATTGGAACGTGTTACAGTGTGTGAATGTGTGATAGTTCATTAGATTGGATATAGATCCGCTGAGGTTGGTCAAAGACAGTATAATTGTTGTGATACAGAAAAACAACACAGCTACAGGTAAAACAGAAATACATTATTACAATCTAAACTAAATCAAGTTGTTCTGCCAATATATTTTGATTATATTCAAATGCTGATATTTTATATTTATATTTCACTTTGGACTTTATCAGACTATAACTAAAATCCTTGCTAAATGCATTGATGACGCACAGGTCATTTGAGAGGTTTTGGGTGTTAAATCTAAGTGTGGAGAAAGAGATTGCAAATGTTTTAATTGAATCTTTTACTAAAATGTATTCTTTGATCAAACCTCTGAATGGAAAGATCATCCTATCTATTCATTTATTTTCCATATTTGCAATTTACACAAATAATTATTTGGTGGGTGCTTATATTTGTCCTATTTCACACATGTAGAAAGAAGTGTTTATTAATACTTGTGTGAATCGGATGTTAGATTTTTGCATATCCCAACTCTCCCTGTGTCACAGCCAGGTCTGGAATTATCAACAGCGACCCTGGAGCAATTAGGATTAAGTGGCTTACTTAAGGGCACGTCGACAGATTTTTCATCTTGTCGGCTCAGGAATACGAACTAGCAACCTTTCGGTTACTGGCCCAACGCTCTAACCGCTAGGCTACCTGCTGACCAATTACATGTACATCAACAAGATTTCTTTGTCAATTTCATAAAAGTCACATTCACACATGCACTGCAAATGACAAGGGTAAACGAATAAGAACTCATCTCTCTGTGTGTTTGCCTGAAAGCAGCAGCAGGTGTCCACGCATGTGCGGCATGCATTTCATTACACATGCATTACATTGTGGTGTCTGGGAGTCAGATAGAGATACGAGTTCTAGGTACTTGACTATGCAGATAGCGAGCTGTTGAAGAGGCCTCCATCACCACCACTCCATCTAGTCATTAAAGCCTGGGGAGAAAGCCAGGCGCGCACACACTCTCTCACACACACACACACACACACACACACACACACATCCTCTCTAACCTCCTACTATAGAGGCTGTGACTCTTACAGCTCTATCAAGTGCTGTTGGTAAATTAAAATGATAATTACATCATCCTCACTAGCTAGCAGTGTATAGCAACAAAAGCTCCAAATGTATTTCCATCAAATTAGAACGTCAATACTATTGACGCTAGTAATAGTGAACAAGCTAGCAGTGTAGAGTGTTATCAAAAGTACAGGAACACGCTACATGTATTAATTACACAATCTCCACCAAGAAATCACTATACCACATATTTCCATCAAATTAGAACGTCACTACTATTGATGTTTGTAATACTGAGAATTTGACCTATCAACACCAGAGGACAGATTTCATGTTCTTATTGTCAACGTTGGGTGTTTCAATATGTTAACCTTGGATGAGATTAACATGTATACCTCGCAGGGCTCAAGGTTTCTTAGAAATGTTCTATCACACTAGTTTCCTTCAGGTCATCCTCAATAATTTACATACACTAGATCACTCATAGGGGGGCACTGTGTTGAAGCCACCGTGCCTCCATCTTGGCATTCCCCCGTCGTTGTAAAAATAATTTGGAAGCTAAATGCATTTATTAATGTCTACATTAGTTTTTGCCACATTTTTTCTATTACAGACACTAATGCATACTTTTAAATTATATTATGTGAATTAAACATGAAAAAGAAAAAAGAAAAAATATATTAAAACATTTTCCTTAAAGTCACTTTTTTTTTTTGATTACTAATGTTACTGTCCCCACTAAAACAACAAAATACATATATACATGTAATTTTTGTCCTGTAAACATTTAATTGAAATACTGTAGAATTCCAGTCGCTTCAAAGACTCTCAATGGCCAAGACATAGCATTAGCAATCCAGGGTTTATATACATCATTGGTTGTACTTCATGTTTCCAACCCACGCACACCATGTCTCTTCACCGAGCCTGTTCTGTTCCCAAGCCTCACAGCTACTGTTCCTTTTGCATCGAGAACAGCCTTGAAACTAATAAGCAGAGTGTACAACAGCTTTCTTCCCAAGCATCCTGCCTGCTGCAGGCACTTACGAATGACGCACATTCAAGTGACTTCAGAATTCAACGTGGCATTTAGCTAATGTGTCATTTGGATGATGCTTCGCAAGCTTGGAACACACACAAAAAAAAAAAATATCACAAATGTCACATCCCGCTTTCAATCTCATTCCATGCAGGAAATATCAATTCTATCATTTTAGGGAACAATCTGACCTTGGTCCCCTATTGAGTGGCTTGCTAAAAGTCCATGGATTACACAGGGGCACTCAATGGCCACTCAGTGACTAGGAGTGCACTGGGACACCACCATAACATGTAGCTACATCCGTGATTAGGAAGTAGCCTGAGGAACAACCATCTCCAGCATCAACCTCATCACAATGGCATTTCTGCCAATAGAGTGCCCCTCTAGTCCTTTCAACATCAATACCTCTGATCAGTTATCAATTAGGCTGGGTATTTCTCCCATCACACCACACACAGTCACTCAGAGTCCATGTTAGGTGTTTGTTGTGAAGAGTGTGTTTTGGTTTGTCTGGACCAGTAAGATCAACATGATCTCCTTCTGGCTCATCTGTTGGAAGCTGCTGGTAGGTACCATAGGGTCATGCACATTTTATTCTATTTCTATGGATATGGCGTTCTGTTCCGTTCCAACACCTCTGTTCTGTCTGTCTTTCTGTGTGTGTTTGATGCTAATCATCACATTGACGCTGCATTATTTATTGCATACAGATAGTTAGGACACAACAACTCATGCCTGAGAGCCTGTGAGGCTGTGGTGGAAGTTTGTACACTAGCTGAGCAGAGCTGTGTGCTAAGTGTTATGTCTACTGGGGGTTGCCATGGTGCTCAGCACCTCTCAGTCTTATTTTGATTAGGATGTAAATGCTTTTTGTGTTTGGCTTGATGATGTGCCTATTTCAGACCTTGGATAGAAAGGAACTTTGTTTTATCCATCTGTGTCCTGTTGTATTGTTGCAGAGGAATGTTTGTGTAGCATTTGTGTGGGATTAGATGGTTAAAAATGATGGCGGTGACAGGAAGAAAAGAGAAGAAGATTAGTGGTGCTGTCAACCAGTGGAAATACCTTAAGCCCTGTATCACCTCTGTTGTTTATAGCTACACAATACAGACTGCATTGAACTAGTTATCTGGTTCTGACATAGCAGGAAGAGAGAAATAGCTGGGAGATGTTGTTTAGCTGACAATGGAGGTATGATATGACATTGTTGTGCCTTGCCAAATTATTCCACCTAAGCAAGATTTTTAATGACTAAACTATTACCTCAACACATTCACGGGGAGAATAAATATAAAGTTATAACTATTTTATGCTATTTCACAAAATTTGTTTATCTGACATATTGTCAAAACAACCAAACAAAACAGTTATGACAATAACGGCTAATAACAGTCACAATTCAAATCTTGTTTCACAGTGTTTTTTGTAGCAACAGCTCTATAACAACACAAAGGAATTTGCCTACAGTGACAGTTGTAAAGAAAGACATAGGACAGATGAGGATTATGGTCTCATTATGAATGACTGTTGGCAGTCCTTGCTTTTTGGAGCTGTTAAATACTCTGAGCTTTGGTGTGAATGAGGCTACAGGTCAGGGCTTGATGTGAGCCCTTCCCTGGCGTTGGGCTTGGCAAAGACCAAGTACAGACCCAGGTTGAACATTTAGGTGGCGGTTTCCCGGATAATCTCCATTGAAAATGCTTTTCAGTCCCGGATTACGCGTAATCCGTGTCTGGGAAACCGCCCCTTGATGTACAACACATTTTACACAACGGATAGGATACAAGAGATGTTTTTGATTAGCGGGTGGAATGATGGAGTTAAGATGAGAAGGAAAACACTGTTTCCCTGATTAAATCAAAGCAAGACACCTGACTTGCGTGGTATCATGGATACACTGTATATTCCACTCATAAACAGTCCGTTTTGGTGTTGGCATCTAATCAATGACTGTGTGGTGTGTGAAAAGTAGATGATAATTAAATCACCATCCGTAGGAAAAACATTCTAAACTACACACAGTAGAGTGTGAATAGCATAAATGACAAATGTGACAACATGTAAATACTGTTAGAGAAAATAGCTTATTTTCACAGCAATATCACAGCACAGAGCGAACGCAAATTCACCGCAAACAGTTTCAACTATAACATTTTAAAGAATCATTACATTTCTAAAAGCAAATGAATTAATTTCCTCAGGTGCTTAATTGACTGAAAATGCATGTGGAGTGTGTTCAGCTCAGCCGGTCATGGTCTTTCTATCGAAGCTTTTCCCTCGCTATGACACCAATCAGCAGTGAGTTTCCTGTCTCTCCCATGGTGGTGGGGCTGAGGGGCGACATGGGGACACCACTACCCCTGGGCATGCTGGGGGGGGGGGTCTGCGGATGTACACACACAGAACAGAAGTAGTGTATAATCACACACACACACACACACACACACACAAACACCCACACACTCCTGAGCTTTAGCAGGGGAGGTAAGAGCTAACTGACTACAGGGACAGTCCGCCACAGCACAGCACAGCGTGGGCGATAGCCAATCCTGCTGTCTTATATAAGCCGGAGCCAGAGCCATCTAATTCAGCTGGTACAACTGGTGTTCTGTTCAGCCTCACCGTGGATTAACCCAATTTGTCATTTCACCGCAATAGTACACAAACAACATTGATGAGTCCACCCCTCTGCAATTACATGTGATCCTCTCTGTTTTGTTTTCAATGTGTTTGGTACAAAGTGTAAAGTGGCCATAGATGGGAAAAGACAAGGATTTGCTTGGACAGGTTTCTCGTGTGTTACACAGGATTCAGATAGACTGTAGAATAAGTACTAGACTCAACAGATATCTGCATCATCAAGCTTTTTTTCTCTCCATAAAACAACAAGGATGTGTGACGTTTTGCCATGTTATGAACATATTTCTTAGTGAATACCAATCCCTTTTACCTAGATCAAGCAAAACCTCTTCATAAATTATCTTCTGTCTGTTCTGTGTAATATACTGGTCTCTGTAGTAAGGTGTATTGTTTGGCTGAAAGGAGCTGTGTAGAAAAGGCTTTACCTATCACTGGGGAAATAAGGGGATGATACAACAGAGCAAGTAAAAAGGGGGAGAGAGGGAGAGGAAAAAAGACAAGACATTTAGAAATGTAGGCTATAGAGAGAAAAGAGAAAATGATTTTCATATACAAAGTGCCAAACTCAGCGATACTGCACTCAGTGGGGGTACAACATGTAACAATTCCCAATCTCCCTTACTGACGGGTGAATACATTTTCATTTCTTTCAGAGAGCTACCACTGTGGCAAGTGAGACGGATGGTAAAGAACTGAACGAAGGTTGCAGTAACCCTCAGAATCACAATCCAAACGAACCCAGATCCTTCTCGAAGGCAGTAACCATGGAGACCAGTGAACAAACGGAGATGACCAGCGTAATTGCCTATGAAAAGGAACTCTCGCTCACTGACTCACCTGAAAACAAAAAGGGCTTAGGAGGAACAGAAGAGGAACAAGTCTGTTTAGAGGCTGACTCACTAGAATCCATAGGAAAGAAAGCGCTGTTCGAAATTCTAGCAGATTTACCGGCTAGCATGATCGATGAGCTTGACGGCTTAGGAAACGTGCTCTGCACAGGTAACCCATTTCGAAAGGAGGCTTTGTCTGGCCATGAAGAACTCAACCGCAATGAATCCATCACTTCGTCTGTCTCTGACACACCGTCCAGTGCTGACAGTGTGTATGAGAATGAAGCTCATCGTAAGAGACAGGACACCCAAGAACTAGAACAGCCTGAAGATACTGTGTCCAACCCAGAGGATGGTGAAGATGCTGAGGATAAAGACACAAAAGAGATTCAATATGGCCCATTAGAAAACCCAATCAGTGATGTCCCAGAGGAGTCTTTACTAGAACAGTACATCAGAGAGGAGGTTCTGTCGGATGTCTCCAACGAGTCCTGTCATGGTCTGGACCCAGACGAGGTGGATGAATGCCTGTGTGTTGAGATAGCAGAGGCCTCCTCAGATGATGAGAGTGAAGATGGAGCAAATAAATGGAGGGCGATATTTTCCTCCTCGATCAACCACGAGGACGATGATGACTATCTGGATAGCCTCCAACTGAGCGCACAGGATCTCTTTGTCCAAAAGGTTGAAGTGCAAAATGTTGACAACCACGACGATAACGAGGAGGAAGTTCAAGTGGAGATACCAAGGGAAGAGGAAGTGGAGGTGTTGGAGCAACCAGATTACCTTACTGGTATTGCACAGGAAGTGACATACAACCCTGCAGCACTGCTCCAAAGCCTGTCCAAAATCTCTGAAGACGAGGAGGGAAATGGCAACGGTTCAAGGCACAATACATCTTGCAAGGCAGATCCCAACAAGAAGCTTCCGAAGGACTTCTGCGTTATCCAGGAGACCAAGAGTGAGAACGTCAGCACAGAGCACGTGGACTTCCAGCTGGCCCGGAAACAGTGGAGGGAGATGGAAGAGCAGACCAAGAACCTGGTGCTGTCACCCACCACAAAGCAGGGTGGGCCCCTCACGGGCAGCCACAGCTTCATGTACACCCCGGTCAGGAACATTGACAGGCCCAAGACGAGAGATACGAGTCTGGAGAATTTGGCTCTGGGTGGAGGTGAGTATACCCACACCCAGTTCAGCCCCTGCTCAGAGGACTCAGGCCTGGGCGATTCCAGCTACAGGTCCCCTTATGAAGAATTCCCAGAGACCTCCACCGAGAGGGAGATCCGCCTGGCCATGGAGAGAGAAGACAACTTTAAGCGGGACAGGGGTTTCTCCAATGGGACGAAACCTACAGAATGTGCCCAGACAAATGCCAGGCCAGTCATCTTGCTCCCAGCGAAGCTATGTCAGGAGGTTAACGAAAAGAGGAAGACGTTTGAGAGTTTGGAGGATGGCGGCTGCAAAATACCCAGATCCAAAACTACTCCATCATTCATTATTACGTCTTCACCAGCTAAGGGGCCACTGAAACACGATCTGCCTACCAACAGCATCATTATACTAGAACCAGAAGGAAGTCCAAGACATGGCGCCAGAGACACCTCCAGAGCTAATGAGTGGCACTCGGACGAGACCTCCAACGCCAACTTTATCATCCTGGAGACATCCAACCTGATCATCAGGAGCGCCTCAGAGTTCTGCCTGAACACGGCCTGCGAGCAGCAGGGCCAGGAATGCTCCTCAACGTTCCTCAACAACCCCTTCTTCAAGCTGCGCTCCAGGAGCCAGCTGTCGTTGGTGGACGAGGAGATCAAGATGGTGAAACAGCGCGAAGAGGAGCTCAAGAGAGAAAGAGCGAACATCTATCCGAAGGGGAGGTACAACAACACAGGCCTGGTGGCCGAGAATCTCATGGACAGCTTGTCATTTGAAGGTAAATTTATACAAAGTTTGTCTCATATATTTGGTCAGGAAGAACTTCTGACCCCACTCATAAACTAAGCCGGAACATATTGTGCTTTTGTCTATGAATATCAACCAATTGAAAACATTGTTCTTGACTAATTTTCAGGTGATGCGCCACTGAAGTGTAAGTCTTCGCCATCATCGCCAATGAAAACTGCATTCAAGATGGATCGCTCAGCCCTATCCTGTGATCACAGAGTAAGTGAACCAATATTGTGTTGTGTTATCATGCAACTACTGTAGTCGAGTGTCAATATTGCATTTGATGTAAAGCATGAATATCATTGAAAGAAAGCCACAGGCGCTTTAATCAGGCGATTGTCTCTCAGTTTCCTGAGGTGTACGGAGCCGGAGGAAGGCGTAAGAGTGCCTTGGCGCTGCGCTGGGAGGCTGGGGAGTTTGCCGAGTGAAGATAAGAACAACAGGGTACTACCCGCAGTCGCTGGTGAAAATATTGTCTGTACACTTTCAGCTGAGTTAATAGACTTAATGCAGTGCTACAAACTCATGTTTGTTTCATGTTGCAACATTTAACCACACTTGCTGCTTCTGTAATGTTATCGATTCTCTGGTCGAAGTGCCAGGAAATAGTAGTGTGTGTTCGCCCGCCAAGATGCCTGAATGTTAAATGAATGTAATGTTTAGTCCACAGATGCTAACATTTTATGACATTTTAATGTAAGCAAATCTGAAAACATATTTTGATGTATTGTCTTGGTAAAGGAAAGAAGCTTATATTTATTGTATTTTCGTACTGTGTTTTCCAGAAATATTGATGTGGGCATATAACATACCGTATGATACAATACTATAACATGTTTAACTTGTATCAAAAAATATATTCAATCTGTAGCTGAAATCTGAGATATGTTGAACGGACATTATACACTCTATGTGAAAACATTTTTAACATTCCGTTAAAGCTGGAATGCTTAATGGTGAAACCACCACGTCTGTTTGCGATATTATAACATGGTGGTGGGGCAGCCAGTGGCGCCGTTTCCCCTTATTACAGATTCAATGTTTAAAATAAATAATCTCCAGAATCAAAAGGCATATAGTAAAAAATAATAAAAAACACTAGTGTAATGCTTATTAAAAATACATTTTCTATATTGTGCATTTCCCTACAAATGTCAGATGTTTACAATTTTCAAAGAAGGAAAATGTTGCTGCTTTTAAATAATTATTGAGGCTGAGTATTGAACAAGCTCCATTTTTTGAGAATTATCATTTAACGCTGATAATTGAGTTCATGAATCAAAAAAGTATTGACATTGTTTCATTGCTTTTCATTTCATTAAGTACGTTTGTATGCTTACTTGTTACAGTTTTGCTTATACAAATGACCAGTATTGCTTGCTGGCATTTTCAATTGTGTGAGGAAATTACCTAAAATAAGCCACTTTATAAAATTATTTTGCAGGGGATTTTCCTTGTATTCTTACTGCAAGTGTTCAATAGATTAGTGCAACAATAAATACTGCGTATGAATACATTTGTTCAAAAGTCTTTATTGTAATGATGGGGGGAATGATTTATAATAATAATAATAATAATATGCCATTTAGCAGACGCTTTTATCCAAAGCGACTTACAGTCATGTGTGCATACATTTTTACGTATGGGTGGTCCCGGGGATCGAACCCACTACCCTGACATTACAAGCGCAATGCTCTACCAATTGAGCTACAGAGGACCATTTATAAAGGGGGGATTTATAAAGAGTATCCTAAGATGATGTAACATATTTATTCAAATAAGCAGACAGATGTCGTTCTTAAATACAAATGTTGTTCATCCATTTGCCATTTTTTATGAATAGGTTTCAATATGTTCATTGGAAACTTTAAAAAAGGCAATGGTAGTAGTGTAAAATAGAGCAACATGGCTTGAGTAATAAAAAAACTATACATAATCTATACTATTATTGTCTACAATGACCCCTAACAAGGAGTATGTGATTCCCAGTCACACATTTCTTATGGTGTTTATGAGAACAGACAGAAATCCAACATTACCCAAGAGGAACACAGCAAAGACAATCTTTCTGAATCGAGATACCTGAAAGAAATTGGAGTCAAAATAAAATCACTGTGGGCAAACTTATTATAAAGAACAACACTTCTCAAAAATATAAGAACATTTTTTATATAATTGATACATTTGTTTCAAGCTTACCTTTCTCTGTCTCTCATTATCCGAGTGAGTACCCAGAATCTTTTCTTCGTCCTCAGCAAGAGTCCTCCCTGTACAGAGGTTAGAGATTTACCACAGAGTTCCAGTATTCAATAGAATACATGGAGATATTTGGCTCTGTGTGACTAGTACATCCCTGAAAATAACTATTTTATATACATTTAAACCTTACGGTAAGAGAAATATGCAGACCCCAATTACTGTAATCAAGGAAGACATCTCAACAAGTGAAAACTGATTTTACCTGATTGATTTTACATACCCACATCAAGTCTGTCGTTATAAAGACTAGTGTTTTTTTGTTGACATTTAAACCTGCTTAGCATTCCTGCCCACGCACCAAACAATTCGTTTTCAATTCTCTTCTATGCTTAATGGAATCAGACTGTGTAATTGATTTGTTCCCTCCAAGCAAGACAACAATGATTATTAAACAGTCAAATAATTGCATTGTTATCAAAGGTCTAATTCAGCGGTTCCAGAACCAGGGACATATTAAAAGTTAACAATTGTTGGAAAGGATAGGAAGTGGGAAAGAAAATAACAACACGGAGAAGGTTGCCATTGTCAATAAGAATGTATTCTTAATCGATTTACCTGAATAAATACATCTAATTAAAATAAAAAGAAAGCAACCTGTTACGATGACCGCTTTACTGTGGAACTCCAGTAGCAGCTCTACCAGGACTCCCCAGACTACGCAGCCCGCCAGGACACCAGTGGACCAGGGGCCAGGGAGAAGCAAGGCCTGCTGCTGGATACCTAGGAAGATGGCCACAACTACAACAGGAGAAATACTGGGGTTATGATTGACAAGGTAGAGAAGGTTGTTGCAATCACTAGGTTTGGATACACCATTGTTGCTGTCGTAGTCATTGTACTAAACATTGTTATTATTGTTGGCATCATTATCCGTATATCAAGATAATAATAATCTTCATCATCATGTCAACATTGTTATGTTAGGATTAAGATGAACATCTAACCTGCAAGTATCCGTGCAATAGTGCCTGTTCCCAAATGCATCCAGTTGAATATGTACCTTCTGTGGAAAGACAGTAAAATACAGCACAGTTGATTCCTGGATCCTGCCACACAATATAGATAGCTAACGTGTTTGACGTATCTCAGAAACTGATCACTGTAGGAGGCTTTAGGTTGTACCGTGAGGAGTCTGTGGCAGGTCTGAGGAGGGCCATGATAGGCTGGATAAAAGATAGAGCCATGACAGTACAGCCCAGGTAAGGGTGGGAGCCGGCATGCTGATGGAGACAGTGCAGAGCAACAGTATTACACTACTATGACATTACAGCATTAGACACAGTAGAGGTGAACAACACTATAGGTATCTGAGCAACACTATAACAACACTACAGGAACCTCTGAACAACACTATAGGTATCTGAGCAACACTAGAACACTACAGGAACCTCTGAACAACACTATAGGTATCTGAGCAACACTAGAACAACACTACAGGAACCTCTGAACAACACTATAGATATCTGAGCAACGCTAGAACACTACAGGAACCTCTGAACAACACTATAGGTATCTGAGCAACGCTAGAACCCTACAGGAACCTCTGAACAACTCTATAGGTATCTGAGCAACGCTAGAACACTACAGGAACCTCTGAACAACACTATAGGTATCTGAGCAACGCTAGAACACTACAGGAACCTCTGAACAACACTATAGGTATCTGAGCAACGCTAGAACACTACAGGAACCTCTGAACAACACTATAGGTATCTGAGTAAGACTAGAACAACACTACAGGAACCTCTGAACAACACTATAGGTATCTGAGTAACACTAGAACAACACTACAGGAACCTCTGAACAACACTATAGGTATCTGAGCAACACTAGAACAACACTACAGGAACCTCTGAACAACACTGCAGTAACACTACAGACGAAGATAGAGAGGAGAGGATCAAACCAATGGATCCAGAAGTCCCTGGAAATAACAAGAATTGAACTGGCACACAAGATAGGCTCTCAAAATAAAATACATCTTGGAGTTTTTGTAGTATACTAAATTATAATTGGTCTTCCAGCTGGCTCTGTAGCACTTGAAGGGAAGGGTGACCTCTAGATGGGGAGAATAGCACAGAAATTAAATTATGTATTTTGGCAGGAGGCAAAGTGGACAAAAATTAGACAAATTAAAAGCCTTCCTTAAAAAGATAAACGGGTGCAGATCATTTCAACCATTGATCAATGTCATTCCAACAAATTATTGTTCTCCCATACATGCTTACGCTGAAGGAATGAAAGTTATTCAGCATTGTAAGTCAGTGATAATTGGTTCCTTGGCTTCACTACAGCACTCAACATTCTCTCTCTTGTCCTTCTCTGTCCAGCAGGGACAAAATGACTAAGGCAGACAGACAGCTTGGTGGAGGAGGCAGCATGACAGAAAAGGGAGAACATGACACACTGCTGAGTGGTGATGATTCGGTTCTAAGACAGACATTCGAAGAAATCTGATTCAAAGAAAGACACACAGGCACTCAAGCAGCCAAATTATAAAGATACAATATATGGCCAGCCAGGCAGAAATACACAGACAGACAGATGGAGTGACTGACTGCCAGATGTGTAGGGTGTGGTGTTGACTAAGGGAGGTATTCCAGTCTTACCCTGCTCCAACCACCTCGGTAGATGAAGGGTAGTGAGAATCCCACACAGGTTAATAGCACGGTCAGGATCATCAAGGCTCGGTGCACCTGTAGAGACATTCACAAAATACTACATCACCATCACGAAAATATGGTTGAAATAACAGTTGTTTTCGGGAGGAAATTAGAAAGATAGTGATGGCTAATGCTCAAACAACAAGCCTTAGAATTAACCAAATATATTAATCAAGACATAACACTTTAAACAAAGTCTTTACCTGAAACCATAGCCTGCGTCCAAATAGTGTTGTTTCTGGCCAGTCATGTTTGAAGTAGCGTGCGATGATGACCCCTGTGGTCACTGTCGTCATCCAGGCCACAAGCATAAACACACCTGGGGATACAGAGGGGTATACACTTAGTTCTCTGTGTTTGTATGAGCCAGACATATACTGAAACAAATGTATGGAACTTAGTGTTAAACGCGTGTTATATTAAGTAATGAAATGTATGTATTTGTTGCAACACTTCCTATTCAAACAAGGCAGGTCATAAAAGGCTTATCTTTCTGTAAACTACAGGCTTACCATGGAACTTAATGAGCAGGGGAGACCTGGAGCCAGCTAGATCCTCAGGGGGTCCTGTGATGACGGTCTGATGAGTGGATATCAGAGGCTGATGGTCATGTCTATGGATCACACCTTAAGATGGATGGATGAAGATAATGTCTATGTTCGTTTTTACAGAGTCTGGCACCAACACTAGATCCAGCACTGCCAGTTAAGCATTGTGGTAAATAGATGTTGGAACAATTTACCAATGTTTTATTATTGGCACGTGATTCACACACACATTCACATGGCGGGTATGACTACTGTACTAGATAACCACAGCTTAAACCAGAAAACCCACGTACAAAACAGCAGTGAGCTCGTTCAAAACACTTGGCACAGCTTAGCCCACACCTGAGTCAACAATGAGGGGTTGAGGTCAGGAATGTTTAATCTAACCATAGTAGATGTCAAGTTCAGAACCAGCATCTACAATATATATCTGGCACAATAGGAATAATCAATCATACTTAGGAGACTACAGTATTATACAGTATGCGACCAAAGGCTGGTAAACAAATAGGAAAAGCATGACAAAGACACATGGTCATACCATCTCCAGCCCTCCCGTGGGCTATGAACAGGAAATAGCTCTGGTCCAGGCTGAACCTGCTCGCAATCTGACGGGGGAGGAGTATGTCTCTACGGAAACGACACTGGATGACCCCATCTGCCAGCTGCCAAGCTGTGTCTGACAGAACATTCTAGAGAGAACACAAAAGGTCATAGGTCAAAGATCAGTTAGGTACTACAGATGTCAATCTATGAAACAACCATCTAAAACAAACAACAAGCAACAAGCAAATAACACAACAACAAAAAACATCTACAGTCACAAAACTGTTATTTCATATTTTTATCAGAACTTTGCTAAACATAAATTTTGTGTACCTCAGAGGCCAATTCAGGGTGAGTTCGGCCGGAGGCATAAGCAGCATTGATGTCCACACTGTCCCCATCTCTCACACACAGGTATACATCATCATTCCCCTACACATAAATACACAAAACTCAAATGAGTTACAATTATATTGTAAGGCTTCATAAAACAAATCTCACTGTGCATATGCCATACTGAAATACCATATCATTTAAGTCCACACAAGCTCCAAGTGGTTATAGAATCCTTCTTTGGTAGGCTTTCTGGGGTCATACCAACCATATATTTGTCCAGCGACAGGGCGAAGGACAGGTATCCATCAGCTGGTCCACTGAGCTCAAACAGCACAGTCCGCTCCTCTGGAGTGAAGGAGAGGAAAAAGCACAGAGGGTCTCTATCTGGGTCGCATCCCACAGGGTCACGCAGACAGGACTTACTCCTACCACACCCCTCTGAGCTGAACTGAGGGAGAGGAAGAGAGAGAGGAAGAGCGAGAGAGAGAGGGTTAAACTTTCCATCACCTATCATCAGCCATAATAATCATCCACAGCCTGTCGGTCAGTGTAAACATTATGCTGATTCATCCTCAGTCTCTTCTGTATATACTTAGAGAAAATCCTGGTGGTGAGTGACTCACAGGTCTGGTCAGTACAGACAGAGGTGTAGTCACAGCAGCAGTAGTGGAGGTGGGGGTGGGGGTGGGGTTTGGTGGTGGAACCCCTGTCGCCCCGTTCAGAAACACCACCGGCCCTGGGATCTGCACCCAGTAGACTTTATACTTCTGCACCACTGTGGCCCTGAAACAACAATAGAATGATAATAACATGGTCATTTAGCAGAAGCTTTTTATCCAAAACAACTTACATAACTGTCAGCATTGATAGTGAGTAGTGACATTCTGATTCAGTACAACATCAACAACACATTAGCAATAGAATGGAAAAATAGGACATTTAGAGATTGGCATAGTGAGAATAAAGGAGATAATTACTCACATAAATTGGACGCTCGCTGGGGGGTTTTTTGGAGCCTCCCACAAGGCCTGTATCTCTGTCTTCTTGGATTTGCTGGTGTGGCTTACTGCAGATCCCTTCAAAATGACAGGGTTGAGTATCATACAATAAACCTCTCTCACACAGTAATAACTCTATTGAGGTGTGTGGCTGAGACAAGTAGCATCTTGTATGTTTTAATAATGATATGGCTGGTGAAGGTTGTTGAAGACGGCATGATATTCAAACGCAACCGAATAGTAATTCCAGACAGCCAGAGCTTTACAATACTTAGCTTATGCTTCCAACAATCATGTAGTATGTAATTGAGGTCGGGTAACATCATCTCTACCTGTGTGTGGCCACAATGTAGGAGCTGTGACTCAGAAGGGTTGAGGAGGCTGAATGATCCAACAGCAGGACCGTCTGGGTTCTCAGCATCCCTCGCTTCAATCAGGAAACCTTTGAAGGAGGTGCTCCCAGACATGGGAACAACCAGTAAGGTCACTGGTAATAGAAAGAAAGAGAAAAACTCAGACATTTGTATTTTTCCATTGTCCCAACCCAACAAATATAAAGTAGGCTACCTGTGATATGGTCACCAGGGCTGAATGTGGGTTTGTCCAGGGTGATGTTATAAGGAGCAGGTTTAGAGCTGGAGTCATGGCCATGCTGTGGCATCATATCTCCGCATGCCAGAGACACTTTTCCATTGGCGAAGCCAAAGGCTGTATTTATTAAACACATAGCCACCACCACCACTAACAGGAGATGTGGACCCGGCATCTGGAAAGACAAAACAATACAGAGGTTATAATAAAGGTTATACAAGTTATAAAGATGGCGTTTTATGAGAGTCCAGGGTCATACAAAATACTGTAACTGACTAATGGGATTTTTGGTCATGGGTAGGCCTCTGCTTATTCTGCTTCTCAGCTAGCTTGCCATTTTTATTTATTTTATTTTTTTACAAAAGACAAAATGATTCTTAGGCTACTCAATAGCTCACACATAGGCCTACAGTATTGTGCCAGAGAGGATGGAAAATCATATTGACTTTCTTTGATGGTGCTTTATAAAGAAAGTGGGAAGAGGACAATGTTAGTTGACTTCCGATTTAAAGTTGTGTGAGTATGCGGCCTATCGCCGGCCTTGCACAGTGTGGGCATTCCATTAGGCCTAATTAGGCTAATGTCTCCCTTTATTCTCCTGCTATTGAATTGGTTTGATTGTCTACGTGTTCCTTAAATCTATGCCCATACGTTACCTATTATGCTGGAGGATTACCCCAGTATTTATAACATTATCACCATTGTGGTCGGAGATATGCAAGGAACCATTCACCTTCACCTTGCTTTGTTTGGTTGACGCTCACAGTCATATCAATAATTGCTCTCACACAAGCATTTGATTTTCAAGGTCAGCTAATTATTATGCCTTTTGCAGTATTTAAAAGTAATGTATTTCTAACTGTATAAATGCAAATCAATAGATCATTGTGAGAGAAAAAAATTGGTGTGTCCAATAGAGAGCCATAGTAATGGCGTTTTTTTGTAGGCACTAGCTCTGCGATGGTTCGTTTAACAAAACCTATGGGGAAATTAATGGTTTTTGGATTAACGCTGAAAATAACGTCTGTGGTAAACACAGGCTTAGGAGATCTTATACTTTTTGTTCTATGAGATAATCTTCATCAGCTAATGTCACTATTTGTGAATTTTGAAGCATTTATTTAATTCAGAAAACACAATGCACATAAAGGCTTCATAATTCATAAACGTCATGTTAACTGACTGATATTATCTCATAGAACTAAACGTGTAAGATTTTTGTTAACCTCAGACCTTATATTTTTCCCCCATTCAATTTCCCCATAAGAATGGCTGAATGAACCAGATGTAACTCATTTAAGGTTTTTAGGACTACAAGCTGGCGAGGTCTATGTATACCCAGTTTCAAGGCACCAATTTTTGTGCAGGGGATTAGTTTCTCCCGGTTTGTTATTTTGAGAATATAAAATGTATGAGCTCTGCATTATCTTGTTCTATGCTGATACATTTATGAATGCCATTCTTTTATTATAAGTGTATTGCCAATCTGTATTTAAGATGTCAAATCTCTGGAGTAGTGACTTGGTATGACCCACTCCTTGTAAGAGGGTTAACTGATATTTTTTTCAGACCTAGAGGAAGGGGTTTCCATTTTCCCATCACCGAGTATATTGGATTGTACACGATAGGTGGCAGTAGGCACCTCTAACGTTTGTAAAAAGACGAAGAAGATAGTTCACTGTAAAGAGTATTTGCTAGCCAGTTATAACCTATTCTAGCTTTTCTTGGATCAATTTGGTCAACTGCCTACCACTAACACCTTGCTGTTTCATTTAAGGACATACTGTGACTGATTGATTGTTTTGGTCATGGGTTGACTATTAGGTTTAGGTTTTTTTTATTCTGTTTCTCAGTTAGCTTACCATATAACTATTTGTATTATTATTTTAAGACTATTCTTACTCATCAGCTCACACTCACATCAGTAATAGCTGGTGTTTTATTAAAGGCCCAGTGCAGTAAAAAACGTGTTCCTGTTTTTTTAATGATGTTTCCACACTATGAGGTCTAAATATAAACTCTGAAATTGTGAAATGATCATAATGCCCTTTTTGTGTAAGAGCTGTTTGAAAAAAAGATCCTGGAATTTTAGCCTGTTCAGGTGGGATGGAACTTTTGGCCCACTTCATGACGTCACAATGTGATCTGATTATTTAAGTGATAATGGCAGAGAAGCCAGTGTTTGGAGGATATATTGGCACGGGTGTTGTTAGGCCCGAGATGAAGTCGAGACTGGCCAATAAAACGAAAAGATTAAGATGGGCAGGCTTTTTCTTTGCAACTCTGCCTAGAAGGTCAGCATCCCGGAGTCGCCTCTTCACTGTTGACGTTGAGACTGGTGTTTTGCTGGTACTATTTAATTAAGCTGCCAGTTGAGGACCTGTGAGGCGTCTGTTTCTCAAACTAGACACTCTAATGTATTTGTCCTCTTGCTCAGTTGTGCACCGGGGCCTCCCACTCCTCTTTCTATTCTGGTTAGAGCCAGTTTGCGCTGTTCTGTGAAGGGAGTAGTACACAGCGTTGTACGAGATCTTCAGTTTCTTGGCAATTTCTTGCATGGAATAGCCTTCATTTCTCAGAACAAGAATAGAATGACAATTTTCTGAAGAAAGTTATTTGTTTCTGGCCATTTTGAGCCTGTAATCGAACCCACAATTGCTGATGCTCCAGATACTCAACTAGTCTCAAGAAGGACAGTTTTATTGCTTCTTTAATCAGCACAACAGTTTTCAGCTGTGCTAACATAATTGCAAAAGGGTTTTCTAATTATCAATTAGCCTTTTAAAATGATAAACTTGGATTAGCAAACACAACGTGCCATTGGAACAGAGGACTGATGGTTGCTGATAATGGGCCTCTGTACACCTATGTAGATATTCCATTAAAAATCAGCCGTTTCCAGCTACAATAGCCATTTACAACATTAACAATATCTACACTGTATTTCTGATCAATTTGATGTTATTTTAATGGACAAAAAAACTGCTTTTCTTTCGAAAACAAGGACATTTCTAAGTGACCCCAAACTTTTGAACGGTAGTGTATGTTTCAGTATGAACATCTCCACATGGCCCATCTTCCCTATAGGCCTAGGCCTACATTAAAATGCAATCAAAATGCAAACAATAGAGTTCTAAAAATGTCAAATGTTTTTGTTTTGTCGCTGATGCTGATGCTATGTGTCAGTGTGAATAATGTATCATATTTCCCCCCTTTCAGGGGTATAACATTACAATTGTATATTTTTTTGTAAATCGACTGAAGTGAATGAACCTACAGCAGCCAAGGTGATAATGGCTGGGGTGATTTTTGCTTGTTTCTGCTGTTCTCCAAATAGCATTGTAAAAAAAAAATTTTTATTGTATAGAAATGCAGTAAATGAAACAAAATTTAAAAAATTATCTCCATTCCGGATCTCACTAAAACTCAAACCCTACGGCCCTGGCACCAAACCAGTGTCTACATATCTTAAAACAGCTCATTTCTATGAGAAGAAAGGTCCTATAAAATGCTCCTCTGTGTCATCACGGGGTAGGATTAAACGTTTTTAAAAAAGTGATTTTCAAAACCTGCAATGAGTTTCTAGGAAGAGGGTTCTTGCTTCCCATGATGTAGAACTTGAAAAGTGGTGGACTTGCCCTTTAAAAGGAAAAATCTACTCAAAAACGGTTTATATTTTCTTCATTAGTCCACTGTTGATACAGTCCAAAAATGTTTTGCATGTCAGCAGTCAAGTTTTCAAGACATAGGATTTTCAAGAAGCAAAGTGTAATTTGCCACGTCACCATTTACAATTGGTTCTATCAGTCTGTTACAGATAAAGAAGAACTGAGCTGGCTGTTACAGATAACAACAAGGAGTATTCTCATGACTTGCCCAAGAATGTACTCTTAAGGAGCCTACTCTTACTCCTTAAGGTCCAATGGCCTTATATGTTATTTTCAGAGGTAGACTGGCTCTGGCACCCAAAAACTATCTATACGTGAATCAATTCTCAATTGCAATATGGTTCTAGAAACCTAAAGCCCTTTACTTTCATATCACATCAAAATAATTTCACAAATGCAAAATATACACTTACTGTACACTGTTCTAACCGGCTTCATCACAGTTGCAGCCGACACTATTTATTCAGTTACAACACACTTCTGGTGGCCTTCTTCCATTACACACAGGTGTTTGGAGCATGCTAGATACAGTGCCTTCAGAAAGTATTCACACCACTTGACTTTTTCCACATTTTGTTGTGTTACAGCCTGAATTGAAAATGTATTAAATAGAGAATTTTTTTTGTCACTGGCGTACACACAATACCCCATAATGTCAGTGGAATTATGTTTTTTTAAAACATTTTTACAAATTAATAACAAATGAAGAGCTGAAATGTATTGAGTCAATAAGTATTCAACCCCATTGTTATGGCAAGCATAAATTGCATGGACTCCCTCTGTGTGCAATAATAGTGCTTAACATGATGTTTGAATGACTACCTCATCTCTGTACCCCACACATACAAATATCAGTCCCTCAATCGAGCAGTGAATTTCAAACACAGATTCAACCACAAAGACCAGGGAGGTTTTCCAATGCCTCAAAAATAAGTACACCTATCGGTAGATGGGTAAATATAAGAAAAGCAGACATTGAATATCCGTTTGAGCATCTTGAAGTTATTATTTACACTTTGGATGGTGTATCAATCCACCCAGTCAAATCAAATCAAAAAATTGTTGTCACATGCGCCAAATACAACAGGTGTAGACCTTACCATGAAATCCTTACAAGCCCTTAATCAACAATGCAGTTCAAGAAATAGAGTTAAGAAAATATTAGCTAAATAAACTAAAGTAAAAAATAAAATAAAAAGTAACACAATAAAATAACAATAATGAAGCTATATACAGGGGGTGTGTAAATAGTCCTGGTGGCCATTTGATTAATTGGGGGTAGAAGCTGTTAAGGAGCCTTTTGGACCTAGACTTGGCGCTCCGGTACCGCTTGCTGTGTGGTAGCAGAGAGAACAGTCTATGACTTGGGTGACTGGAATCTTTGACAATTTTTTTGGGCCTTCCACCAAGGAACTTGAAACTCTCGATCCACTCCACTACAGACCCGTCGATGTGAATGGGGGCGTGTTCGGCCCTCCTTTTCCTGTAGTCCACGATCAGCTCCTTTGTCTTGCTCATGTTGAGGGAGAGGTTGTTGTCCTGGCACCACACTTCCAGGTCTCTGACCTCCTCCCTATAGGCTGTCTCATCATTGTCAGTGATCAGGCCTACCACTGTTGTGTCGTCAGCAAACTCAACGATGGTGTTGGAGTCGTGCTTAGCCACGCAATCGTCGGTGAACAGGGAGTACCAGAGGGGACTAAGCACGCACCCCTGAAGGGCCCCCGTGTTGAGGATCAGCGGGGCAGATGTGTTGTTGCCTACCCTTACCACCTGGGGGCGGCTCGTCAGGGAGTCTAGGATCGAGTTGCAGAGGGAGGTGTTTAGTCCCATGGTCCTTAGCTTAGTAAGGAGCTTTGTGGGCACTATGGTGTTGAACACTGAGCTGTAGTCAATGAACAGCATTCTCACATAGGTGTTCCTTTTGTCCAGGTGGGAAAGGGCAGTGTGGAGTGCGATTGAGATTGTGTCATCTGTGGATCGGTTGGGGGCAGTATGCAAATTGGAGTGGGTCTACTATCACTACAAAGTGTATCACTACAAAGATACAGGCGTCCTTCCTAACTCAGTTGCCGGAGAGGAAGAAAACTGCTCAGGGATTTCACCATGAGGCCAATGGTGACTTTAAAACAGTTACAGAGTTTAATGGCTGTGATAGGAGAAAACTGAGGATGGATCAACAACATTGTAGTTACTCCACAATACTAAACTAATTGACAGAGTGAAAAGAAGGAAGCCTGTACAGAATACAAATATTCTAAAACATGCATCCTGTTTGCAACTTTTTGTCCTGAATACAAAGTGTAATGTTTGGAGCAAATCCAATACAACACATTACTGAGAACCACTCTCCATATTATCAAGCATAGTGGTGGCTGCATCATGTTATGGGTATGCTTGTAATCGTTAAGGACTGGTGAGTTTTTCCAGGATAAAAAAAACAGAATGGAGCTAAGCACACGCAAAATCCCAGAGAAAAAACTGGTTCAGTCTGCTTTCCACGAGACAATGGGAGATTAATTCACCTTTCAGCAGGACAATAACCTAAAACACAAGGCCAAATCTAAACTGGAGTTTCTTACCAAGAAGACAGTGAATGTGGCCGAGTTACAGTTTTGACTTAAATCTGCTTGAAAATCTATGGCAAGACCTGAAAATGGTTGTCTAGCAATGATTAACAACCAATTTGACAGAGCTTGAAGAATTTTGAAAAGAATAATGGGCAAATGTTGCACAAGCCAGGTGTGTAAAGCTCTTAGAGACATACTTAGAAAGGTGATTCTAACATGCATTGATTCAGGGGGTTGAATACCAATATATATATATATATATATATATATATATATATATATATATATATATATATATATATATATATATATATATACACATATATATATACATATATTAGTGTTTTATTTTTCATATATTTTTTACAAATGTTACAATTTTCTTCCACTTTGACATTAGAGAGTATTTTGTGTAGATCGTTGACAAAAGAAATATATTTAAAAAATCTATATTAAACCCACTTTGTAACACAACAAAATGTAGAAAAGTAATGTGGTGTGAATACTTTCTGAAGGCACTGTAGCTAATTAACAATGGTGGTCGCCTGTCTTCCGTTTGTTTGTCTTCCATAAACACACCCTGTAATATGGAGATATGACCATGTGGGAACACTAACCCTAACAAAGGTGTGTAGTAATTTAACCTTTTTTTTTTTTATTATTATTATTTATCGATGATATGAAAGATACGTTCCCAAAACCGGAACGCAAGCGATCCGTTTTATTGTTCAGAACAAGCATCGGGGCTCTTAACAAAACTTTCCGCCTCAGAAGACACTATCGACAATAGGCGCTAAAGGTAGTTAGCGTTTATGAATGGGTTAGCTTACCATTTAACTATTTGTATTATTATTTAAGACCAAAAACATATCATACTCACACTCACAACAGTAATAGCGTATTGTGTTTTATTAAAAAGGTGGGAAGAGTGTATGCACTCACTAACTGTAAGTCACTCTGGATAAGAGCGTCTGCTAAAATGACTAAAATGTAAAATGTAAGAGGAAAATGTTAGTCGACTTCCCATTTACAGTTAGTTGGTTCTATCAGTCTGCTGCAGATCAAGAAGAACTGAACAGGTTGTTACAGAAAACGAGTGTTCTCATGACCTACTGTAGTGGCTGTTTGAACTACTAGCTTACTGTTTTTCTAGTTATAGCCTACAGGTCCCAGTAGGGTACATTTAACAATTTATTCAAACATTGTTCAAATATATAAATATACATTTAGACAAATACATAATGTGTAGAGCAATAGCCTACAATATGTAGGGAGGGGACCTATTTTAGCTTGGTTATTATGTCATTGAACTCACACTGTCAATAATAGGCATAATTCTAACTAAGCTAAATTTGGCATTAAATATTTATTCAGATAATCTTTAACATAATTGTTGATAAGTGATTCCATTGTATTCTAAATGTGGTTCAAAATGACATTTCCTTGTCATTGACAGCCCAAACTTAGGCCTACATTATTGGCAAATAAGACCAAAGCGAAGATTCCTTTGGGTAAAATCTGAATGTGGAGGATGGATCATACTAACCTACTGTGCTTACCTGCACACACACCACTGTCAAAACAAATATTTTCTTATTGAGTGTGTTCCCCAAAACTAAAGAATCCAAAACATTTTGCAATGCTCTCTTATAGACGATTTAGTGTGAAGAACAGTAGGCTATATTACCTATTTCAGGACAGTAAGTATGTTTATCTATTTCACTCTTTAAAATGTAACTGAACTTACCTTGTCCCACTCAACTCTTCCTTGTCTCAACTCTTGAAACCAAATTCAAGTCCGTCAGCAAATAGCCAACGAAAAGGGGACTATCCTTATTCAAAGGGAGTGTTGATTGGTTGAGGAGATATAAAGGCGAAGAGTATCTATTATATTGACAAGAGAGCCGAATGACCGCTCTAACAATGGAAATACATGTGCTCAATGAATGACGGCAGGCGAGATCAGGTAGGACCATTCAAGCCAATGAGAGGGCAGATAAGCATTTGAACAACAGGCACAACCTAAGTAAGACCTTGTCTCTTGACAGTTCATTCAAGGTTTTGTATTCTGATCATTACATATTGTAGTCTGTCTGGCTGACACGCGCGCTTCGCGGAGCAGTGCAGAGCTGTTGGGAAGGAAGTTGTCAAGGAAGTGAGTTTGTGTTTATACAGGACCTCCCGCCCTCACTTACCGTCAACCAATCATGTCAATGCGGAGCTATATTAAGCCCTCCGCATTGTTACAACATTTGAGAGGCGCATGGCGATTCAGTAAGGAGCTCAATTTGGCCTATGTGCGCCTTCTGGATACATCGCAATTGCGTCACACCATCGACCAACTTTTTCGGATCAAGCATAAGTTGGCTCTTAGCCTAGACGATAGTGCAGATCAAGCCCACTATCTTAAGAGAGGAAGTGTAAGAGAGAGGCCCAACTCGGCGGAAAATTTGTCGCCCTCCAGATCGTGGCGTTTTTTTCGTTGGTTCGCAACCAAGCAATGAGTTTTTGTATGGAGGTGAATGAGTTTCGAATTTGGTCAACAACAAAAAAAGAATGGCTTGTTTGCTACGTGAGGTTTATTTGATCGAATAGACGTTTTGTGATATTTAAGTTATTTCGAGTGTACTGAGAGATATCTCGAGATGGCTATGCATATTCATGTCATGAGGCTAGTAGCATAGCATCTCTCTATTGAAGACAGGTGTTTGACGTCAACAACCCTCATCGAATATTTAAAGTATTACAATAATGAGATATTTCCACCAATCCAAAGAAAGGATGAGCGGGAGCTACAGCCCGCCGCCGCTTTGTGGACAACGACTCACATTTTTAGGGCTGATAGATATGTATCTTGTCAGTATAATCCACAATCTTTAGCGATCTATAGCTATAGTCTATACTTGATGTTCATTCCCTTGTAATACACTCGTGTCCTTCATGGACCTACTTGTACATAAAGCATCTTGCATTCAGGCCGCAAAGGCATAATTTTCCTCCTTAACTAGCTTTAATGGTGAGATGGTGGAAAGAAACAGGGAAAATATGCGTAGGGTGTAACTGCATACTATTGTCCCGCTTTGCCAACCATAAAGTAGGACAGCATGGAGTAGGAAAAGTGGGACAGTCTTCTAGGCTTTTCCAATAGAGGAAGGAGATCCAGTTTACATTAGGGTTAGGCAGGGCTCTGGTTCTTCATGTACTATATCCTGTTACTTTTCTTGTAGTACTGTTATTAGTACTGTTATTTTAGTGAATTGTATTGTCATTGGGGTACAATTAGGATTATAATAATGGTGTCCCAGTCTACCAAATACCAACTGAAAATACGTTTTTGACTCAGTGTACACAAATGGGTGTGTCATACCTCCTGTGAATATGATGTCAAAAATATTTTTGTGTGTGATTAGGAAACATCTTGTGTATTCAAGAAATTGATCATGTGTTGGGCTAATATGTTGGATAGATGTCGAAAGAGGTTACAGAAGACAGAAATGCAAAACGTGTCCCACTTATTCCGAATTCACCCTACTTTCTTTATGAAACACAATTTTCCACCACCATTTTCTGACAATTTAGGATGTTGCACGCTGTGTTCAGGCAAGGGTGTGCAACATCCAAAATTGTCTGAAAAATGCAAGCTAGCAAGCAAAGCTAAAGGGATTGTAAACGGGTTAGCATAACTAGCCTAACATTTTATTTTATTTTCAATATTATCTAGCAGGCTAGCATTTGAGGCCACCAAACACGCTGGGAACGTATTTCCCCCAACGTTATAATGAAAGGGTGTCTGTCACTCCCAAAACACACGTTTTCTGGAGACTTGTGTGCGGCTTCCTGATGAGGTCACCCACTGTATGTGCTTTTGGTAGGCGCCTAGGCTGAGCTGCGTTCAGTTCACTTGAACGTTTGCTATGAAACACCTGCAAATATACTGAACAAAAATATAAACACAACATGCAACAATTTCAAAGATTTTACTATGTTACAGTTCATACAGTCAATTGAAATAAATACATTAGGCCCTAATCTGTAGATTTCACTTTACTGTGCCATGGGTGGGCCTGGGAGGGCATATGCCCACCCACTTGGGAGCCAGGACCACCCACTGGGGAGCCAGGCCCAGGCCCAGCCAATCAGAATTCGTTTTTCCCCACAAAAGGGCTTTATTACAGACAGAAGTTTACACGTTGTCTGCGGTTGTGAGCCCGATTGGACGTACTGCCAAATTGTCAAACAGGGAAATGGTTCCAATCATTTTTCAACCATTCATTTTTTCAATAGGGGATTTTAGAAACACTTAAAATAAGGGCTGCGTTTCCTGTAGACTTACCCTGGCGTGATGTTTTGATAACTATATAAATCTCTCTCGGACAATTAATTAATACATTAATTTAACACCACAATGGCACGTGAAGGGTATAGCGTAAAGATTAGAGAGTTGCCACACCCCCTGCCACTAAAACAGCTTGGGTGTATTCATTACGGAAACCGTTTACCGTTTAAGAACCAAGGGGAAGCAAACAGAGCAAAATTAGAGTTTCTATTGGACACATTCAGGTAGGTCCCTCCCCGTTTCGTTCCGTTTACTTCACCGATTCTGTTGCAAAACGTTTCCTCTGTTGCAAAACGTTTTGCACAGAAACCGTTTACTTCAAACGGAAAAAGTTTTGCAACGAAAACGAGAGTTTCTATTGAAAATACAGTTAAGTCCTTCCCCGTTTTTTTCAGTTTGCGCTGTTTGCTTCCGTTTGGTTCTTAACGGTAAACGGTTGCCGTTTCATGGCGTAATGAATACACCCCTGATCCTAAGCACACGGAAAAACAAGGTGATTCTCCTTTATCAAAGAAACATGTTACTATTATATTGCAACCATTGTAACATGTACAATCGTTCATAGTTACAATGTGTAGTTTCTTCTACCAGGGCTGAATATATAAATAGAACTCGATATTTCAATACAGCCAAACAGTGATGGTGTTATTTTTAATAAGAGATAAACTATTATTGAACTTACTTATGATGAATGTGGACCCCAGGAAGAATAGCTCCTGCTTCTTCAACAGCTAATGGGGATCTGGATAAAATCATAAATGTTTGTTTTATTTTCACAAGCCATAAACAGGAATACAAGCGACATTTATAGGCTAATGCTTTTCTTTACGTTTAGAGAGAGAGACATTTATGAATAGGCCACAGTGGGCAGTTATGTAAATATGAAACCCATGTACACACATACATTCACGTAGGCTAGCCTAGTGTATAAACGGTGTGCTGCATGATAGCATGTTCTCTCACACGGTGGCGTGTAGGAATCTGGGGGCACCGCTTCCTGCTTGAAAAGGACACCCTAAAAAAGGAACGTCAAAATGGTTCGGAGCAGACAGACCAGACTACTGTTCCTGAATGACATGGAGCGACTAGAGAGGACTCTGTTCCGACTAGAGCAAGGTATGTAGGCCATGGCCATTCAAATCCTGGGCAACTTCACATTTGCAATGGCACATAATAGAAGCAAGAAAACCAAATGTCTGAATGTACAAGTCCTGCGAATTATAGGCTATTGGAAGTTTGTCATTATTAGACAATTATGTTTTTGTTTTGTTTCTTGCATTTGTAGAGTGTGACTCAGCTCAACATTGCTATCTTGCTTTTACTTTACCCCCAGCAGGGATATTATTCCTGCTGTTGAAAATATAGACATTGAAATGCACATGTAGTTAATGGGGGAATGGTAGGCTATGGCATAGGCTGAACATTGATGTGCATTTGACACTTGAGTGAAGTAGCCTATCCTGAAATATTCTAGTGAAAAGTTTGCAGCTATAAATGGCAAGGGAAAAGTCCTTGTGTTCTCTCAGTGGTTTAGCTGTACTGTTTGGCAAGATCAATCACTTGGACAGGCATCACTTCAGACATTGGATTTGTTTTAAAACTGTTTTAATGCACATTTGATTGGCAGGACACCATAACAGCTGCCTATGTGTTTTCCAAGTGGACATTTTTCCATTAGGACATTATTAGTTAATGTATTCACATCAAATCCAGTCATTGTCCAGGGTGAACCTTTCTGATTTCACTGTAGACTCCAGCAGTGCTTTTAGTAAATATCCTGCTTGTGTATTACTTGTTATTATGTAAATATAATGACAGACTATTATTATTATTATTATTATTATTATTATTATTATTATTCTACTATCAGGCTTTGAGCTCCAGTTCCGGCTGGGGCCCACTCTGCAGGGGAAGCATGTGCACGTCCACACTAACTACCCTGCGGAGGGAGAGAAGTTTGACCGGCTTCAGTTCTGGCCTCTGGACTGGATAAACCCAACAGGGAGAGAGGATGACTCGGACAAGTACTGCAAACTGGACCTGCAAGTGGCAGGGTCCTACCAGTATTACTTTTGTGCTGGGTAAGAAAGCACTGTTTGTTGTTCAGAAGAAGTGTACACACATCTAGTTATTTGCAGGTGCAGGGTACAAAATAGATACCCGTTCACAAATTATGTGTTTCAAAAAATTAGAACAAATAAATAACGGAAAAGTGGTGCGTGCATATGTATTCACCCCCTTTGCTATGAAGCCCTTAAATAAGATCTGGTGCAACCAATTACCTTCGGAAGTCACATAATTAGTTAAATAAAGTCCACCTGTGTGTAATCTAAGTGTCACATGATCTGTCACATGATCTCAGTATATATACATCTGTTCTGAAAGGCCCCAGAGTCTGCAACACCAATAAGCAAGGGGCAACACCAAGCAAGCGGCACCATGAAGACCAATGAGCTCTCCAAACAGGTCAGGGACAAAGTTGTGGAGAAGTATAGATCAGGGTTGGGTTATAAAAAGAATATCAGAAACTTTGAACATCCCACGGAGCACCATTAAATCCATTATTTAAAAAATGGAAAGAATATGGCACCACAACAAACCTGCCAAGAGAAGGCCGCCCACCAAAACTCACAGACCAGGCAAGGAGGGCATTAATCAGACAGGCAACAAAGAGACCAAAGATAACCCTGAAGGAGCTGCAAAGCTCCACAGCGGAGATTGGAGTATATGTCCATAGGACCCCTTTAAGCCGTACACTCCACAGAGCTGGGCTTTACGGAAGAGTGGCCAGAAAAAAAGCCATTGCTTAAAGAAAAAAAATAAGCAAACACATTTGGTGTTCACAAAAAGGCATGTGGGAGACTCCCCAAACATATGGAAGAAGGTACTCTGGTCAGATGAGACTAAAATTGAGCTTTTTGGCCATCAAGGAAAACGCTATGTCTAGTGCAAACCCAACACATTTTACATTTTAGTCATTTTAGCAGACGCTCTCATCACCTTCGAGAACACCATCCCCCACAGTGAAGAATGGTGATGGCAGCATCATGCTGTGGGAATGTTTTTAATCGGCAGGGACTGGGAAACTGGTCAGAATTGAAGGAATGGTGGATGGCGCTAAATACAGGGAAATTCTTGGAGGGAAACCTGTTTCAGTCTTCCAGAGCTTTGAGACTGGGATGGAGGTTCACCTTCCAGCAGGACAATGACCCTAAGTATACTGCTAAAGCAGGGGGGGGTGAATAGTTTTTTTGTCTTATTTCTTGTTTGTTTCACAAAAATATATATTTTGCATCTTCAAAGTGGTAGGCATGTTGTGTAAATCAAATGAATCAAACCCCCCCAAAAATCCATTTTAATTCCAGTTTGTAAGGCAACAAAATAGGAAAAATGCCAAGGGGGGTGAATACTTTCCCATGCCACTGTGTATAAGCACTTCATAATAATACATATTAATAATAACAAACCTGCAGGTGATTTTGGGGCTCAACCTCAATAGTCAACCCTTTTATCCCGTACACGTTATGCTATTGATTGATCTCGTTGCCTGTTGTATTGCCTGATGTGGTCTGTGTGATTCCCAGGACTGAAGAGAAGACCGGTAGTGGCTACATAGTGGTGGACCCAGTGCTACGTGTGGGTGCTGATAACCGTGTCCTACCCCTGGACTGTATCGCCATTCAGACATACCTGGCCAAGTGCCTGGGGCCTCTGGACAAATGGCAGGACAGGCTCAGGGTTGCCAAGGAGACCGGTGAGGGGCAGCATGGGATACCATAGCCAGCTGGCCAACGATCAGAAGCATGGCTATTGTCTTCATCAGTATAAATGGGTGTTTCTCATGCTCGGGTTACGTGGTCAGGAAAAACTCCTGACCTCACTCATAAATGTCACATATTTAATTTGGTTTAAATTGCTAAAGGAAATTATTATTTTTGATAGCACATCAATGGTGTTTGCTCATTCTAAATCATGTGCCTGCAGTTCAAAAGTACAGATACTAACAAATACAGAGTTCATCTTTATTGATTCATCGTATAGATTGTGCTGCACGAAGAGTTGTGGTTTGGGGGATCCCCACACAGTTGTTGAGATCTGTTTGGTTATACTGGTGGTCGTTGACCCATTTCTAATATCTGCAAAAATATTTGCAGTGTTTGTCGTTTCTTAAAATCTGTCTGTCCAGACAGGCATTGGGTTCATTACAAAACATGTAACGTACCTATAGCATCATTCTTACTGTGGGTTCATAGATTCACATTTCTCATTCATAAAATTATATTATCATAAACTCTCTCTCTCTCTCTAGGTTATAACATGATCCACTTCACCCCGCTGCAGAAGTTAGGGATGTCTCGCTCCTGCTATTCTCTGGCTGACCAACTGGAACTCAACCCAGAGTTCTCTCCTGAAGGGAAGAACTACACCTGGATGGATGTGGGCAACCTGGTGGAGAAACTGAAGAAAGAGTGGAACATGGTCTGCATCACTGACGTGGTCTACAACCATACAGGTATTGTTTTAGTATATAGTGCACTACTATGGGCCCTGGTCAAAAGTAGTTCACTTTTAAGGGAATAGGGCGTCATTTGGCGCACTCTACACATGAGCATCAGCTCACACACTATCTCGAACAGTAGGATGAATGCATTCCCATCTTGTGAATGGTAGGGTAGTAGGCTACGCATAGGGATACGTAACATACCTATCCATGCTGCCATTTATAGATACAGAGACAGCAGATCTCCTCTCTAAGCTCTTCAGAAGATAGTGTTTCATGAAGAGTTATGACTGTGACCTTCTGGGTACTGGTCCCAAGCCACGGGGAAAGCTTGCAGGACTGACTGATAGTGAAACATGGGTTAGCGAAGTCTCTTCTCAGATATTTAGTAGCTCCCGTGTAGCTCCCTTTTTAAAATAGCCATAATACTCTTGATAATCTTTAGGACAGCAGGTGTATTTAGTGTCCAGAATGTGCAGACCTTTGAAGAGTACATATACCCTACCTACAAATGCATACTTCACAAGTTTAGAATCCAACAGATAACATAAATATTTGCTTATAAATCTTTCATAGTCATGGTGTTGACCCATCATAAAATGCAATGGGGTAAAAATTAAGAGAATACCTGACTTAACATTTCCCATGTTTCTTACCCCGATCACTTTTTAAAAAAAAAGTATTTTACCCACTAAAACAACGATCGAGGTCTGTAGTGACACATCTAGCACTGCGATGCAGTGCCTTAGACTGCTGCGCCACTCGGGAGGCCCAATACAGGGTGTTTTTATACAGCAAAACAAAGAGACCAGCTTAAAAGGAAATGCATGTATATTTATCGAAATTATATAATGAACGTATTGTGACTCATGTCCTTCTAGTAGTCTAAAGGCTATGACAGAGAAACTGGTGCCAGGTTGTAGTGGAGTTTGACACCCATGGCATCTAATCAAGTACAGTGGGGGAAAAAAGTATTTAGTCAGCCACCAATTGTGCAAGTTCTCCCACTTAAAAAGATGAGAGAAGCCTATAAAATCCAGAAAATCACATTGTAGGATTTTTAATTTATTTATTTGCAAATTATGGTGGAAAATAAGTATTTGGTCAATAACAAAAGGTTCTCAATACTTTGTTATATACCCTTTGTTGGCAATGACACAGGTCAAACGTTTTCTGTAAGTCTTCACAAGGTTTTCACACACTGTTGCTGGTATTTTGGCCCATTCCTCCATGCAGATCTCCTCTAGAGCAGTGATGTTTTGGGGCTGTCGCTGGGCAACACGGACTTTCAACTCCCTCCAAAGATTTTCTATGGGGTTGAGATCTGGAGACTGGCTAGGCCACTCCAGGACTTTGAAATGCTTCTTACGAAGCCACTCCTTCGTTGCCCGGGCGGTGTGTTTGGGATCATTGTCATGCTGAAAGACCCAGCCACGTTTCATCTTCAATGCCCTTGCTGATGGAAGGAGGTTTTCACTCAAGATCTCACGATACATGGCCCCATTCATTCTTTCCTTTACACGGATCAGTCGTCCTGGTCCCTTTGCAGAAAAACAGCCCCAAAGCATGATGTTTCCACCCCCATGCTTCACAGTAGGTATGGTGTTCTTTGGATGCAACTCAGCATTCTTTGTCCTCCAAACACGACGAGTTGAGTTTTTACCAAAAGGTTCTATTTTGGTTTCATCTGACCATATGACATTCTCCCAATCCTCTTCTGGATCATCCAAATGCACTCTAGCAAACTTCAGATGGGCCTGGACATGTACTGGCTTAAGCAGGGGGACACGTCTGGCACTGCAGGATTTGAGTCCCTGGCGGCGTAGTGTGTTACTGATGGTAGGCTTTGTTACTTTGGTCCCAGCTCTCTGCAGGTCATTCACTAGGTCCCCCCGTGTGGTTCTGGGATTTTTGCTCACTGTTCTTGCGATCATTTTGACCCCACAGGGTGAGATCTTGCGTGGAGCCCCAGATCGAGGGAGATTATCAGTGGTCTTGTATGTCTTCCATTTCCTAATAATTGCTCCCACAGTTGATTTCTTCAAACCAAGCTGCTTACCTATTGCAGATTCAGTCTTCCCAGCCTGGTGCAGGTCTTCAATTTTGTTTCTGGTGTCCTTTGACAGCTCTTTGGTCTTGGCCATAATGGAGTTTGGAGTGTGACTGTTTGAAGTTGTGGACAGGTGTCTTTTATACTGATAACAAGTTCAAACAAATGCCATTAATACAGGTAATGAGTGGAGGACAGAGGAGCCTCTTAAAGAAGAAGTTACAGGTCTGTGAGAGCCAGAAATCTTGCTTGTTTGTAGGTGACCAAATACTTATTTTCCACCATAATTTGCAAATAAATTCATTAAAAATCCTACAATGTGATTTTCTGGAATTTCTTTTCTCATTTTGTCTGTCATAGTTGACGTGTACCTATGATGAAAATTACAGGCCTCTCTCATCTTTTTAAGTGGGAGAACTTGCACAATTGGTGGCTGACTAAATCCTTTTTTCCCCACTGTATGGTCAGCAGGACTACTGCCAATGCAGTAGCCAGTAGGAGAGGAGAGATTTCCAACCTTCACATCACGTGTTAATGGACAGAGGAAGATGGTAGGTGAACAGCAGGGTATCCTATATCCTTACTAGAGGTACACAATGAAGATACTGATTTAATAACCAAAAATGTTTGACCTCTTGTCATCAAACATACATTTGATAAAATCAATGGTGACAACCATTTGTTATAACACTAACAATAAAAATTAATAGAACAATCATGTGTTGACGTCCATAGCAACAGAAGCACTTGACGATGGAAACTGTCATGAATTGAAACATAATAATGTCACAGAGAGCGCACAGTCAGACAACCACATTTATTACATCCAGTATTAGGCAAAATGTAATCAGAAGCTCAGCCTCACACATTGTGCTGCAGACATGGAGGAGCCATGGTTATCTTACCCCTATCATAAGCATCAATAACTAATGAAGGTGTGAACATGGTGTGGCAGTGTTGCATCCCAAATGGCACCCTATCCCCTATATAGTGCACTACTTTCTGGTCAAAAGTAGTGCACTATATAGGGTGCCATTTGGGACACGGACAGTGTCATGGAGTGATTGAAGTATTCCCCTTTGCGACGAACCAGCCAATCTGACCTTCAGTGTGAACAGAGGCTAAATGCTGACAGAGGAAACTGAGACCATGATGCAAGAGCCACAGCTGCCGCTGCAATGTTTGTCCTATGTAAAGGGCAACACTGTTGGGGTGCACTGCACAACTCCTATTAGTGTTTCTAAGTTTATTGTTCGCTGGTACTTAAGTATGACCCGCAAATGACCATTCAAGCAATGTTGAATGTGCTCCAAATATGTCTTATTCCATGACATTGGAGAGAATTTCCTACTGGGGTTAGATCCATTCTTCCTCTATAATTTTAAACAACTGTTACCTTCTCTCCCTAGCTGTGAGTAAGTGGTTGTGGCTGCACCTACCCACTGGGCACACACTGGTTGAATCAACGTTGTTTCCGCGTCATTTCAATGAAGTGACATCTGTGCTCAGTGGGTAGAGTATGGCTACAACCTAGTAACAGTAACAGCCCCTTCTCTCTCTCTCTCTCTCCCTAGCTGCTAACAGTAGGTGGTTGTGGCTGCACCCTGAGTGTGGCTATAACCTGGTGAACTCTCCTCACCTGAAGCCAGCCTGGGTGCTGGACAGGGCTCTGTGGCACCTCACCTGTGACATCGCAGACGGGATGTACAGTGACCATGGTGTTCCTGCTCACATCGAAAATGAACACCAACTCCACGTGAGTTGGTTTGTGTTAGCCTTCTGTTTTATACTGTATTGAAATAGGAAAATTGTCAATTAAATTAATAAAGAGATCTTTTGAGTTACCCTACTTTCAACCCAAATGTCCCTCTTAGGACAAAGTTGGATTGATTGATTGCCTCCTCTTGTAGATGCTGCGAGGTATCCTGTGGGATGAGATCTACCCCAGGACCAAGCTGTGGGAGTTCTACCAGGTGAACGTGGAGAAGGCTGTGGAACAGTTCAGGAAGCTGCTTCAGGCAGGTGAGGGCTACCAACCACTCAGGATTTGTATTTCAGTGTCATTACATTGAATTATGGTCAATTATGATGTTTTTCATATCTCTTTTGAGCCATCCCAGGAAATCAATTGAAACAAATAATTTGTGTTCCAGATATTGTGCTACCACTGTTGAAGTAGCAATCAGCTCGCACTCAACAATCTGGTGCACTAATCGTGATTGCAATGTAATCCGCTAATATCTTCTTCAGTATTTTTGTGTTTGATGTTTTCTCCCCAGGAGGCAAGGCAGTGAGATTAGAGAATGAGGATAAGAAGCGTCTGAGGATCCTCCCGGACCCCCATTGTCGACGCTTCGGTAACACTGTGGACATGACCTCAGCCTTGGAGACCTTCATACCCAACGGGTGGGTCCGCTTTAGGATACTCCATTACAACAATAGACCTGCTCATAGAGTCACTGCTAACGATGCCGATCACCTTTCTTGTCGCGTATGCTACCTTCAATAAGACAATGACCTTGCTTGTTCACCCATCTTTGCGTCCGATAAGACACTTTGCAAGGGTGCTTTAGGTGCTTTAAACCCATTTGAGAGAAACAGGAATTCTTTGAAGCAATGATCGCAATTTATCTTAACATGGGATTTGCTTTGTCACCACTGTTGGGTCACAAATGCTTCTGTGCCACTCATATAATTTCATGTGTTTGTGTTACAGTAATGAGCCCTCATCCATCCAGGAGTGTTGTAACTGGTTGAGGAACAGACTGGAGGAGCTGAATGTGGAGAGCTATAAGGAGATGCACTACCATGAGGAACAGGCCACCAACTGCATTGTGGGAAATGTAGTGTACGAACGCCTTGCAGACCACGGGCCTAAGTTGGGACCTATCACCAGGAACCATCCAGTGGTGTGCGGATATTTCACCTTCCCGTTTGAGGACAACTTGACCTTTGACCAGGAAATGCAACTGATGAGCCAGACAGACAAAGCGTGTCACTTCCTGGCCCACAACGGCTGGGTGATGTCAGACGACCCCCTGAGGAACTTTGCAGAGCCAGGTCAGCTGATAGTTCTGTTCTAACTATTTCTACAGACCGGTCAAGTTAAACAGATAGAACATGCTCAGTATTCACACACTTCTCTTTGAGAAGTTTGTAAGGACCTTGTGTTTTTACTGACCACTTGTCATTAAAAAATGTAGGGCCCTATGGTACACTAGGATTGTCATATCCAGCCTATGTCAGAAGATAAAGACGTACTTTTCCCTGAGAAATGTGACTATTTTTAATATAAGGTTTAGATATCATTGATTTCAACCTGACTAGTGTGATGGTGTGTAACTCCCCTGTGTCGTCCCTGCCTCTAGGCTCTAACGTGTACCTGAGGAGAGAGCTGATCTGCTGGGGAGACAGTGTGAAGCTGCGTTACGGTGAGAAACCAGAGGACTGCCCCTACCTGTGGGCCCACATGAAGAAGTACACAGAGATCACAGCTAAACACTTTGCGGGTGTGCGCTTGGACAACTGTCACTCCACTCCTCTACATGTGGCCGAGGTACAGTATGCTGATCTGACTGTAGATGCACCATTCATAGCTACATATCCTGGTGAATATTTTCAGTGATACTCTTAGGGTGCGTTCGTAAATTCACTTTGGCTATCTGCTCCGATTTCAGAGCACTCTCGTCTGAGAGTACCAGAGCGCAGAATAACTGATGAATTTACGAACGAGCAACACCCGCTGAATATGACCGGTGTCAGTAAACACCGGCAAAAAAAGTGAAATTGTTGCCAGCAGCACAGTTAGTCACTAACGCTTTATAAAACATAAACTATCTAGCCAGGTCTGCAAGGACGAGTAAAATGGTCAGAGTGAGGTGTTCTCTCATTTGTGTCTAGCAAGCTAGCCAACTTTAGCCAGTTAGCTTGGGTGCTTGACTGCCATTGTGAAGTCAGAACGCTTGGATAAACTCTACTCCTTGGCCAGATCGTCCAGTGTGCACTCTGAATGCTCTGAGATTGAAACGCTCTGAATTTACGAACAGACAATCTGACAACGCTCTGAATTTACGAATGACCCAGAGCGCGCTCTGACACACTGGAGGCAATTTAACAACGCACCCTTGGTCATGTAGTGTATGTGGACACCTGCTCGTCGAACATCTCATTCCAAAATCATGGGCATTAATATGGAGTTGGTCCCCCCTTTGCTGCTATAACAGCCTCCACTCTTCTGGGAAGGCTTTCCACTAGATGTTGGAACATTGCTGCTGGGACTTGCTTCCATTCAGCCACAAGAGCATTAGTGAGGTCGAGCACTGATGTTGGGCAGTTAGGCCTGGCTCGCAGTCGGCGTTCCAATTCATCCCAAAGGTGTTCGATGGGGTTGATCAGGGCTCTGTGAAGGCCAGTCAAGTTCTTCCACACCGATCTCGACAAACCATTTCTGTATGGACCCTGCTTTGTACACGGGGGCATTGTCATGCTGGAACAGGAAAGGGCCTTCCCTAAACTGTTGCCACAAAGTTGGAAGCACAGAATCGTCTAGAATGTCATTGTATGCTGTAGCGTTAAGATGTCCCTTTACTGGAACTAAGGGGCCTAGGCCGAACCATGAAAAACAGCCCCAGACCATTATTCCTCCTCTTACCAAACTTGGCACTATGCATTTGGGCAGGTAGCGTTCTCCTGGAATCCGCCAAATCCAGATTTGTCCGTCGGCCTGCCAGATGGTGAAGCATGATTCATCACTCCAGAGAACGCGTTTCCACTGCTCCAGAGTCCAATGGCGGCGAGCTTTACACCACTCCAGCCGACGCTTGGTATTGCGCATGGTGATCTTAGGCTTGTGTGCGGCTGCTCGGCCATGGAAACCCATTTCATGAAGCTCCAGACTAACAGTTATTGTACTGACGTTGCTTCCTGAGGCAGTTTTGAACTCGGTAGTGAGTGTTTCATCCAAGGACAGAATATTTTTACGCGCTTCAGCACTCGGCGTTCCCGTTCTGTGAGCTTGTGTGGCCTACCACTTTGCGGCTGAGCCGTTGTTGCTCCTAGACTTTCCACTTAACAATAACAGCACTTGCAGTTGACCGCGGCAGCTCTAGCAGGGCAGAAATTTGACCAACTGACTCGTTGGAAAGGTGGCATCCTATGACGGTGCGACATTGAAAGTCATATACACTGCTCAAAAAAATAATGGGAACACTTAAACAACACAATGTAACTCCAAGTCAATCACACTTCTGTGAAATCAAACTGTCCACTTAAGAAGCAACACTGATTGACAATAAATTTCACATGCTGTTGTGCAAATGGAATAGACAACAGGTGGAAATTATAGGCAATTAGCAAGACACTCCCAATAAAGGACTGGTTTTGCAGGTGGTGACCACAGACCACTTCTCAGTTCCTATGCTTCCTGGCTGATGTTTTGGTCACTTTTGAATGCTGGCGGTGCTTTCACTCTAGTGGTAGCATGAGACGGAGTCTACAACCCACACAAGTAGCTCAGGTAGTGCAGCTCATCCAGGATGGCACATCAATGCGAGCTGTGGCAAGAAGGTTTGCTGTGTCTGTCAGCGTAGTGTCCAGAGCATGGAGGCGCTACCAGGAGACAGGCCAGTACATCAGGAGACGTGGAGGAGGCCGTAGGAGGGCAACAACCCAGCAGCAGGACCTCTACCTCCGCCTTTGTGCAAGGAGGAGCAGGAGGAGCACTGCCAGAGCCCTGCAAAATGACCTCCAGCAGGCCACAAATGTGCATGTGTCTGCTCAAACGGTCAGAAACAGACTCCATGAGGGTGGTATGAGGGCCCGACGTCCACAGGTGGGGGTTGTGCTTACAGCCCAACACCGTGCAGGACGTTTGGCATTTGCCAGAGAACACCAAGATTGGCAAATTCGCCACTGGCGCCCTGTGCTCTTCACAGATGAAAGCAGGTTCACACTGAGCACGTGACAGACGTGACAGAGTCTGGAGACGCCGTGGAGAACGTTCTGCTGCCTGCAACATCCTCCAGCATGACCGGTTTGGCGGTGGGTCAGTCATGGTGTGGGGTGGCATTCCTCCATGTGCTCGCCAGAGGTAGCCTGACTGCCATTAGGTACCGAGATGAGATCCTCAGACCCCTTGTGAGACCATATGCTGGTGCGGTTGGCCCTGGGTTCCTCCTAATGCAAGACCATGCTAGACCTCATGTGGCTGGAGTATGTCAGCAGTTCCTGCAAGAGGAAGGCATTGATGCTATGGACTGGCCCGCCCGTTCCCCAGACCTGAATCCAATTGAACACATCTGGGACATCATGTCTCGCTCCATCCACCAACGCCACATTGCACCACAGACTGTCCAGGAGTTGGCGGATGCTTTAGTCCAGGTCTGGGAGGAGATCCCTCAGGAGACCATTCGCCACCTCATCAGGAGCATGCCCAGGCGTTGTAGGGAGGTCATACAGGCACGTGGAGGCCACACACACTACTGAGCCTCATTTTGACTTGTTTTAAGGACATTACATCAAAGTTGGATCAGCCTGTAGTGTGGTTTTCCACTTTAATTTTGAGGGTGACTCCAAATCCAGACCTCCATGGGTTGATACATTTGATTTCCATTGATAATTTTTGTGTGATTTTGTTGTCAGCACATTCAACTATGTAAAGAAAAAAGTATTTAATAAGATTATTTCATTCAGATCTAGGATGTGTTATTTTAGTGTTCCCTTTTTTTTTGAGCAGTGTATATAGATATAGAGAGATCGATAGAGTATGTGTTTTTCTTAAGTCAACAATAGGCAGGTTTCCATTGACCCATGTTTATTCGATAAAAGCAATGTCGGCCAAAAATTGTGTAGTGGAAACGGTAGATCTAAGATACATTTTCTAAAGATCGACAACATTTTTATCCGTTCGATAAGGGTGGATTTCTCTTTTGTCTAGCTTTCTTTTATTGTGACAAATGATGATGGAAACTGTTTTTCGGATAAATGATGATTGCTGAATCATTTTGAAGGTACGCGGAGCAGGTGATGTCACCACGTAACTATAAAGCTCCACTGCACATTTAATTCTAAATGTCAGTTGCATGCAAAATCAAAATTTTCAACTAGGCTATAAAAATAATGTTGCATTCTATCCATGCTGGCTTTTGCGGGCTGGCTACCTGAGACATAAAATAAATAGGTGGGAGGACATTCAGGCTGTCGGCAATTTATTAATGCACAATCTGCCTAAATGGGTAATGGAAACACTTTAACCACTCAAGTTTTTATTCGACACTAGGGTTTTGTTAAAATGTTTTTTTTTTAGGTGTGACGTCATTATGTCCAGCTGTTTTTATCCACACAAGATTAGTTAAATGGAAATTCACCCTAGCAGGAAATTGTCGCATCTATACTGAACAAAAATATAAACGCAACATGTGTTGGTCCCATGTTTCATGAGCTGTTGCCAGAGAATAGAATGTTTCTTTCTCTACGATAAGCTGCCTCCAACGTCATTTTAGAGAATTTGGCAGTACGTCCAACCGGCCCCCCAACCGCAGATAAGGATTGTCTGAGACCAGCCACCCGGACAGCTGATGAAACTGAGGAGTATTTCTGTCTGTAATGGCTGCGCCCCTACTCAGTCATGTGAAATCTATAGATTAGGGCCTAATGAATTTATTTCAATTGACTGATTTCCTTATATGAACTTTAAATCAGTGAAATTGTTGCATATTGCCTTTATATTTTTGTTCAGTATATTTTCTATGCAAACTTTCTAAATGTCGAGAAAAAAACATAGCTACTATCCTCTTTTTATTGCTCAGGGCAAAACTTTAAAATCTCTTCAGAAAGTTTTCTAGTCTCAGAATGTGTGATTCTATTTGCTGTTCCTGCCCTCGTGTATACAGTACATTCAGAAAGTATTCAGACCCCTTGACTTTTTCCACATTTTGTTACGTTACAGCCTTATTCTAAAATTGATTAAATATGTATTTCTTCTCATCAATCTACACACAATACCAAATAATGACAAAGCAAAAAAAGGTTTTTTGAAATGTTTGCATATTTCTATAATGTTATTGTGTAGGAAATTATGACACTTTTCATCATGCATATAAAGGCTTTATGAATGCTACATGTCACCACTCTTAAGTAAAGTGTTACCTTGTGCTCTGTAGGCGATGCTGGCAACAGCCAGGGCGGTCAGACCTAACCTCTATGTGATAGCTGAACTCTTTACGGGCAGCGAGCTGATTGACAATGTGTTTGTAAACCGCCTGGGGATTACCAGTCTGGTCAGAGGTACTGCTACTGCCCTGTTGCACTGTAGGACTGTGCGAACTGGACTGATGCGTTGTTCTGACTGAGCATGACACTAAATATGTGTCTTTGTCTTTTATGTTTTCTTTCTTTCTTTCTTTCGATCATCTTATTCCACTCTTCTACCATGGGCTTACTTTGAATCTGACATTTTCATCATACTTATCCTGTTCACATTTTTTTTTTACAAATCCCAAACCCTGAAATATAACTATATTATTCATTATCACCATCTCTTCATTCATTAAAATATTTACTACCTTTCCCAACACTACTTTCCTGTTTTTCCCACCATTAACCTTTTCATTGCATGGTAATTGACACTTTGCATGTCCCCCCTCTCCTCTGTGTGGGTTGTTTTCATATTTACCCTCTTTCTTGCCCAGCCTGTACCCCTTCACATCTCTCCTCCTCTCTCGTCTCATATCTATCTCTTTCTAAATCCCCTTCTCTCCTCTGTTCCTCCTATATTTTCTCATCTCTATGTCCAAACCCTCTCTCCTCCCTTCCCCCACATGCCCGTCTTGCATTGTGTGCCCTGGCGCTGGCCTGTGTGTTGTGGTGTGGGTGGCCTGTGCTGTATGTAGTACATGCTGGAGAGAGCTCGCCAGCTGAAGCCTGACCTGTATGTGGTGGCTGAGCTGTTCACGGGCAGCGAGGAGCTGGACAATGTCTTTGTCACTAGACTGGCCATTACCTCCCTCATCAGAGGTAAGAGCCTGGGAAATGCACAAATGGCACATAATCTATAGCCTGACTGCCAGTCTATTTGTGCAATCACGCAAACTCCTTGACAGTGAGCAATGGAGTTGACAAGAGCACAAACAGATCTGAGACCAGGCTACACATCTGGTAGAAATAGAAAAGTAAATGTTTTCTGTTTTGCTTCAACATGTGGCATGGATATGCGTTAGTGAAGTTGGTATTGGCTTTGTTCATGGTATGAAATGCCTTATGAAATATTGATACACAGGAAACTGAATGAATCTGCAATTGATCGTCTCTTGGCTAAAAAGTACTGTTGGTGGTAATATTTTAAAGTAAACTATGAAATCATTAACAAATTCAATCAGCCAGGGTTATTTGTTTTCTTATAAATGACTGCAATGACCATATTGGCTATAACTATTTGCCTGTTCTACAATAACAATATAATCTGTCTCTCTCTGTCTTCCTCAGAGGCTATGAGTGCAGGGGACAGTCACGAGGAGGGCAGGCTGGTCTACAGGTTTGGTGGAGAGCCTGTGGGCTCGTTCGTCCAGCCCAGCATCAGACCTCTGGTGCCCTCTATCGCCCACGCCATGTTCCTGGATGTTACCCATGACAACGAGTGCCCTGTCCAGGTAGTTTGCAGTATGTAGCTGGGATTACCCATGACAAGTCCTCTATTCAGGTAGAGTACAGTATGTACAGTTGAAGTCGGAAGTTTACATACACCTTAGCCAAATACATTTAAACTCAGTTTTTCACAATTCCTGACATTTAATCCTAGTAAAAATACCCTGTCTTAGGTCAGTTAGGATCACCACTTTATTTTAAGAATGTGAAATGTTAGAATAATAGTAGAGGGAATGATTTATTTCAGCTTTTATTTCTTTCATCACATTCCCAGTGGGTCAGAAGTTTACATACACTCAATTAGTATTTGGTAGCATTGCCTTTAAATTGTTTAACTTGGGTCAAACGTTTTGGGTAGCCTTCCACAAGCTTCCCACAATAAGTTGGGTGAATTTTGGCCCATTCCTCCTGACAGAGCTGGTGTAACTGAGTCAGGTTTGTAGGCCTCCTTGCTCGCACACACTTTTTCAGTTCTGCCCACACATTTTCTAAAGGGTTGAGGTCAGGGCTTTGTGATGGCCACTCCAATACCTTGACTTTGTTGTCCTTAAGCCATTTTGCCACAACTTTGGAAGTATGCTTGGGGTCCTTGTCCATTTGGAAGACCCATTTGCGACCAAGCTTTAACTTCCTGACTGATGTCTTGAGATGTTGCTTTAATATATCCACATAATTTTCCTTCCTCATGATGCCATCTATTTTGTGAAGTGCACCAGTCCCTCCTGCAGCAAAGCACCCCCACAGCATGATGCTGCCACCCCCGTGCTTCACGGTTGGGATGGTGTTCTTCGGCTTGCAAGCCACACCCTTTTTCCTCCAAACATAACGATGGTCATTATGGCCAAACAGTTCTATTTTTGTTTCATCAGACCAGAGGACATTTCTCCAAAAAGTACGATCTTTGTCCCCATGAAGTACGATCTTTGTCCCCATGTGTAGTTGCAAACCGTAGTCTAGCTTTATTATGGTGGTTTTGGAGCAGTGGCTTCTTCCTTGCTGAGCGGCCTTTCAGGTTCTGTCAATATAGGACTCGTTTTACTGTAGATATAGATACTTTTGTACCTGTTTCCTCCAGCATCTTCACAAGGTCCTTTGCTGTTGTTCTGGGATTGATTTGCACTTTTCGCACCAAAGTACGTTAATCTCTAGGAGACAGAATGCGCCTCCTTCCTGAGCGGTATGACGGCTGTGTGGTCCCATGGTGTTTATACTTGCATACTATTGTTTGTACAGATGAAGGTTGTACCTTCAGGCGTTTGGAAATTGCTCCCAAGGATGAACCAGACTTGTGGAGGTCTACAATTTTTTTTCCTGAGGTCTTGGCTGATTTCTTTAGATTTTCCCATGATGTCAAGCAAAGAGGCACTGAGTTTGAAGGTAGGCCTTGAAATACATCCACAGGTACACCTCCAATTGACTCAAATGATGTCAATTAGCCTATCAGAAGCTTCTAAAGCCATGGCATCATTTTCTGGAATTTTACATTTTACATTTACATTTTAGTCATTTAGCAGACGCTCTTATCCAGAGCGACTTACAGTTAGTGAATACATATTTTTTTTATACTGGCCCCCCGTGGGAATCGAACCCACAACCCTGGCGTTGCAAACGCCATGCTCTATCAACTGAGCTACATCCCTGCCGGCCATTCCCTCCCCTACCCTGGACGACGCTGGGCCAATTGTGCGCCGCCCATGAGTCTCCCGGTCGCGGCCGGCTGCGACAGAGCCTGGATTCGAACCAGGATCTCTAGTGGCACAGTTAGCACTGCGATGCAGTGCCTTAGACCACTGCGCCACCCAAGCTGTTTAAAGGCACAGTCAACTTACTGTATGTAAACTTCTGACCCACTGGAATTGTGATACAGTGATTTATAAGTAAAATAGTCTGTCTGTAAACAATTGTTGGAAAAATGACTTGTGTGATGCACAAAGTAGATGTCCTAACCGACTTGCCAAAACTATAGTTTGAGTCTCCCGAGTGGCGCAGTGGTTTAAGGCCACTAGAGATCCTGGTTCGAATCCAGGCTCTGTCGTAGCCGGCCGCGACCGGGAGACCCATGGGGCGGCGCGCAATTGGCCCAGCGTCGTCCAGGGTAGGGGAGGGAATGGCCGGCAGGGATGTAGCTCAGTTGATAGATCATGGCGTTTGCAACGCCAGGGTTGTGGGTTCGATTCCCACAGGGGGTATGAAAAAAAATAATGTATGCACTAACTGTAAGTCGCTCTGGATAAGAGTGTCTGCTAAATGACTAAAATGTAAATGTTAACAAGAAATTTGTGGAGTGGTTGAAAAACGAGTTTTAATGACTCCAACCTAAGTGTATGTAAACTTCTGACTTCAACTGTATATTACCCATGACAACGAGTGTCCTAATTAGATAGTGTACAATATGTTGCTGGGATTTGACAACATCCCTATTTATACTGAACTAAAATATAAACGCAACATGTCAAGTGTTTGTCCCATGTTTCATGAGCTGAAATGAAATACCCACATTTTTTTACATAAGCACAAAAGCTTATTTCTCTCAAATTGTGTGCACAAATTTGTTTACATCCCTGTTGGTGAGCATTTCTCCTTTGCCAAGATAATCCATCCACCTGACAGGTGTGGCGTATCAAGAAGCTGATTAGATAGCATGATCATTACAGAGTGCACCTTGTGCTGGGGACAATAAAAGGCCACTCTAAAATGTGCAGTTTTGTTACACAACACAATGCCACAGATGTCTCAAGTTTTGAGGGAGCATGCAATTGGCATGCTAACTGCAGTAATGTCCACCAGCGCTGTTGCCAGATAATTTAATGTTCATTTCTCTATCATAAGCCGCCTCCAACGTTGTTTTAGAGAATTCGGCAGTATGTCCAACCGGCCTCACAACTGCAGACCATGTGTATGGCGTCGTGTGGGCAAGCGGTTTGCTGATGTCAACGTTGTGAACAGAGTGCCCCATGGGGGCGGTGGGGTTATGGTATGGGCAGGCATAAGCTACGGCCAATGAATACAATTGCAATTTATTGATGCCAATTTTAATGCACAGAGATACCGTGACGAGATCCTGAGGCCCATTGTCGTGCCATTCATCCGCCGCCATCACCTCATGTTTCAGCATGATAATGCACAGCCCCATATCGCAAGGATCTCTACACAATTCCAGGAAGCTGAAAATGTCCCAGTTCTTCCATGGCCTGCATACTCACCATACATGTCACCCATTGAGCATCTTTGGGATGCTCAGGATCAACGTGTTCGACAGCGTGTTCCAGTTCCCGCCAATATCCAGCAAGCCATTGAAGAGGAGTGGGACAACATTCCACAGGCCACAATCAACAGCCTGATCAACTCTATGCAAAGTGCAAATGGCGGTCACACCAGATACTGACTGGTTTTCTGATCCATGCCTCTACCTTTTTTTTTGAAGGCATCTTTAACCAACAGATGCATATCTGTATTCCCAGTCATGTGAAATCCATAGATTAGGGCCAAATGAATGGATTTCAATTGACTGATTTTCCTTATATGAACTGTAACTCAGTAAATAAAGTATTTGAAATTGCTGCGTTTTTTATATTTTTGTTCAGTATAGATATTAATGATATGACGTAGTATATGATATGCTTTATTCCATTTCACAGCTTTTCCTAATAACTAGATTACTGTCTAGTGTACATGTTCCCTATGTACAGTGCATTCGGAAAGTATTCAGACCACTTGACCTTTTCCACATTTTGTTACGTTACAGCCTTATTCTAAAATTTATGAAATTGTTTTTTTTCCGCCTCATCAATCTACACACAATACCCCATAATAGAAAACTGAAATATAACATTTACATAAGTATACAGACCCTTTACTCAGTACTTTGTTGAAGCACCTTTGGCAACGATTACAGCCTCGAGTCTTCTAGGGTATGACGCTACAAGCTTGGCACACCTGTATTTGGGGAGTTTCTCCCATTCTTCTCTGCAGATCCTCTCAAGCTCTCAATTCTGGAAGGTTCTCCTATCTCCACAGAGGAACTCTGGAGCTCTGTCAGAGTGACCATCGGGTTCTTGGTAACCTCCCTGACAAGGGCCCTTCTCCCCCGATTGCTCAGTTTGGCCAGGCGGCCAGCTCTAGGAAGAGTCTTGGTGGTTCCAAACTTCTTCCATTTAAAAATGATGGAGGCCACTGTGTTCTTGGGGACCTTCAACGCTGCAGACATTTTTTGGTACCCTTCCCCAGATATGTGCCTCGACACAATCCTGTCTCTGAGCTCTACTGACAATTCCTTCGACTTCATGGCTTGGTTTTTGCTCTGACATGCACTGTCAACTGTGGGACCTTATATAGCTCAGTTGGTAGAGCATGGCACTTGCAACGCCAGAGTTGTGGGTTCGTTTCCCACGGGGGGCCAGTATGAAAATGTATGCACTCATTAACTGTAAGTCGCTCTGGATAAGAGCGTCTGCTAAATGACTAAAATGTAAATATAGACAGGTGTATGCCTTTCCAAATCATGTCCAATCAATTGAATTTACCACAGGTGGACTCCAATCAAGTTGTAGAAACATCTCAAGGATGATCAATGGAAACAGATGCACCTGAGCTCAATTTCGAGTTCATAGCAAAGGGTCTGAATACTTATGTAAATAAAGTATTTCTGTTCTTTTTAAACCTGTTTTCACTTTGTCATTTTGGGGTATTGTTTGTAGATTGATGAGGAAAACACTGGATTTAATCAATTTTAGAATAAGGCTGTAATGTAACAAAATTTGGAAAAAGTCAAGGGGTCTGTATACTTTCCGAATGCACTGTATGTATATAGTAGTGTTGTTGATCGATGTTGTGACTGTATGTGTTGATGGTGTTATTCATTTACTGTTCCTCTTCTGTGTTGTAGATTCGCTCTGCGTACGACTCCCTCCCAAGCTCTGCTATCGTCTCCATGGCCTGTTGTGCCACAGGAAGTACTAGAGGATACGACGAGCTGGTCCCTCACCAGGTAGGAAAGATGGCCATGATTATCAAAAGTGTGTGTGTTTGTGAGTATGTCATAAAGTGAGTTCACTTCTGATACAAAACTGTAAGCTAAAATCTCTTCTATTTTCATCTCGTCTATATTGAAACTGCTGACAATGTATGAAACGGACAGTGTTTAGTTCTAAGTTTGTATCCAACTTCCTGTGTGTTCTTGTGCAGATCTCTGTTGTGAAGGAGGAGCGCTTCTATCCCAAGTGGAACTCGGAGGCCAAGCCCTCCTCTGCAGGAGAGGTGAACTCCCAGAGTGGTATCATTGCCGGGAAACTGGCCCTCAACAAGCTACACGAAGAACTGTCCTCTAAGGGCTTCTCGCAGGTCAGATGTACTTCTAAGATCCACTCAGAGACATACACTGGGCACTTAGCCATGGGTACGGATGGGCAGCCAGCAATATGTCTTTGGACTGGTTTCCCAGACCCAGATTTAGCCTAACCCTGGACTATAAAGCATGCTCAATACAGAATATCTATGGAAAGTGCTTTCTAGTCCAGGACCAGGCTTAATCTGGGCCATGGAAAACGGCCATCCAGAATTTGGACTAGGGGAACTAAACTGAATTCCTCAGGAAGGGACTTAACCTGAGAGAAGCAGAAACACTTTTGAGGGAATATTGAATTGTAGAGTTGCAGAGTAAGTGCTTCTACTGAAGAACACAACAAATAAGTGTGTGTTGCAGGTCTATGTGGACCAGGTGGATGAGGACATAGTGGCAGTAACCAGACATTGCCCCAGCACACACCAGTCTGTGGTAGCTGTGTGTCACACTGCCTTCAGGAACCCCAAGACCTATCAATATAGACAGGAGGTGCCCCCCATGTGCATCCCAGGTACAGCACCCCAGTGGCCCTCAGTCCTACTCCTGGAGAGCCACAGTCAAAAGGACAAAAGCCAGCAGTACTGTGGCTCTCTAGGAGCCAGATTGAGTATCACTGCAGTACACCATCAATCACTAATCATCCTGATATCACTTCCCTTAGTAGTTTCCATGAAAACCCAGATCAGGTCAGTGTCGACTGTGTTCTCCTGCAGGTAAAATAGAGGAGGTGGTCCTAGAGGCCAGGACTGTGGAGAGGATCGCTGGGTCGTACCAGAAAGACAGGAAGAGCATCAACGGTCTGCCTGACCACACGGTAGAGATCAGAGAACATATCCAGGTAACACGATAACAGCACCATGGGAGTACAACTTTACACCCCAGTTTAGAATACGAGTTACAAGCTTATCTCTCTAGTCTATCATTCCCCTCTATTGAAAGAAGTGGGCCAGGATTTGCTCAGGTCACAGAGTTAGCCATGTTTGTTTTCTTGTTGATTGGTTATGGTAGTCTTGTACACACTTGGTAAATTACAGAGTATAGTGTAGCACAAAACAGGTTTTGTTCTTGGGTCACTTCAGTCTAAACACCTGTGTATGAGTTCTATTTCTTTTGTAAGGTACTGGTGGTCTATAATCTATTTCTACTCCAACTGTCTTGCAGCTACATGACAGCAAGATTGTGAAGCAGGCTGATGTCATGTGTAAGGGCTGCAGTGAATTTGTCCAGGAGATTGAATTTGAACACCTCACCCCTGGTAGTGTGATTGTGTTCAGGTAAGAATATAAGAACACACTGTCCTATTGCGATTATTCCAGGTGCTGTATGTGTCTCCAGGTGCTGTATGTGTCTCAGAGTAGGAGTCTCCCGTGTGTCCATACAATATGTATTATGATCTAAAAGCAAAAAACGGATCCTAAATCAGCACTCCTACTCTGTAACCCATGTTCTTTGTCCCCAGGGTGAGTCTGGACCCCAAGTCCCAAGAGCTGGTGGGGGTTCTGAGGAGACACCTGGTCCAGTTCAGTGACCATTACAAAACGGGCAGTGTGCCTGACAACGACGCCCCAGCCATACTCACTACTCCACTGGCAGCGTACGTATACTCAACATGATTTTTTTACTTTTGTGAGTAATCTCAGCCCATATCTCAGCTAATCTCTGACCCATGCATTGTAACATGAGACATGTTAACTAATTAAGCAACTGCTATAAGACCTTTCATAGGCTGTCTTCTACTAGTAAATGTTAATCTAGCCTACTGTTAATCTTCCTACCTGTCTGCTCCCTCCCAGTATTATGTCCAAGGTGACCCTGGCGGACATTAACGTGCTGCTGTTCCGTTGTGACGCTGAAGAGCAGGAGGACGGTGGAGGCTGCTACAACATCCCTTCCTGGATGAGTCTCAAGTATGGAGGGCTGCAAGGTACAAAACAAGGAGGGGGGGGGGGGAAAGGTCGCGCTTCAGGGAAATCCATGACTCCTATTGCATATTGCATATTGCAGTGTTGCTCAACCGTTTTGTGCCGGGAACCGTAAAACGATGATCTTCCATTTACCAGTTGGGACTGCCAAGCTACCCTTCCTCCTTTTTAAGGACTAATTACATTAAAACTAGCACACATTGAAATTGATAAATGTATACATGTATGATGAGTTTGTTTGTTAGATGTATAGACCTCTTTTGACACTCTCAGGTCTGATGTCGGTGATGGGGGACATTCGTCCCAAAAACGACCTGGGCCACCCCTTCTGTGACAACCTGAGACAGGGGGATTGGATGATCGACTACGTCAGCAACCGGCTGGTCATCAAGGGAGGAGCACTGGGCGAGGTAAGACATGACAAACCTCACAATGGCTGCATCCCAAATGGCACCCTATTCCCTATGTAGTGCACGTGGCTCTGGTCAAAAGTAGTGCACTACCGTATATAGAGAATAGGGTGCTATTTGGCACTCAGACCTGGTCAAGATAATGTCTAGTCCTTTGGGTCCACTTTCAAAGGTTTTTGAGAGCCATGGTCATTTTTCAATTGGAACTTTACAGGTCCTTACCACTCATACTTGTTGTATTGCATTGATTAAGTATATTTAGCCTGCTAACTGGCCATAGACAAACAGAGTTTGCAGTTAAGTGATATGATGTCTCGTGTTGTCCCTCCAGGTAGGCAAGTGGTTCCAGGCTATGTTCACCTATCTGAAGCACATCCCTCGCTACCTGGTGCCATGCTACTTCGACTCCATCATTGTTGGGGCCTATACTACCGCCTTGGATATTGTGTTCAGTAAAATGTCAAAGTAGGTTGAATAACAACCAGCTATTCCTATTCATTAATTAAATAGAAATGTGAATTTGTCAATGAGTATAGTAGTACATTTAATTTTAATGCTGTTCTGAATGAAATGTGAAAGCTTGAAATCGTTCCTCCAACTTTTAAATTAATGACCTTGGGCAGTCCTTCAGCTTGTCATCTGTGTGTTTGTCCTCTGGTTCTCTAAGCTTCATCCAGACTGGTTCCACCCTGGTGAAGCAGTTAGCTCTGGGCTCAGTACAGATGTGTGGTGTGGGTCTGCACCCCGCTCTTCCCCCCCTCGCACCCACGCTGCATGACGTGCCCTACCGTCTCAACGACATTACCAACGAGAAGGAGCAGTGCTGTGTGTCACTGGCTGCAGGTAAGGTATTTAATTCAATTCAATACAACTTTATTCTGGGCAATCCCTACTGGGGAACGGCCTATCAGTCTATACTCTTACAGACATACAGATACACCCACACACTTTAGCTCCCTCCCTCTCTCTCTCTCTCTCTCTTTCTGTTACTGGTTGGCTAATAGTTATGTCTGTCTGATGTCACAGGTCTTCCTCATTTTGCGGCTGGGATCTTCCGTTGCTGGGGCCGGGACACATTCATCGCCCTGCGAGGTCTGATGCTGGTGACAGGAAGACACCTGGAGGCTAGGTACATGTCACACTCTCTGGTAGAATATCGGTGTCCAACCTGATGAATGGGTATATATTTGTCCTTTGAAAATAATATAGTAACAAGGAAGTAAGAAACTCCAGGACACCTGTGGTCTTGGATGCTGCCAAACAATTGAATGGATTTCACACCACTGTTTTGGTCGACCATCATCAGAGTTATAAAGATAAATCCTTGAATTAATGTGTCTGGTATCTGTCACTGTTTTCCACAGAAACATAATCCTGGCTTTTGCTGGCACCCTGAGGTACGGCCTGATCCCCAACCTGCTGGGACAGGGGACTGACGCCCGCTATAACTGCCGTGATGCAGTATGGTGGTGGCTGCAGTGCATCCAGTACTACTGCAACATGGTGCCTGACGGAGTCAACATCCTCATGTGCCCTGTGTCAAGGATGTACCCCACCAACGTGTCTGAGCCACAGCCCGCTGGAGCCTGGGTGGGTACACACAAACTTACACACACACACACACACACACACAATCCACAGCCCGCCAGTGCATGAGTAAGGGCCATGGTGGTCTCGCTTGGCCACCGCAATACTTTGTCTGGCTCATGAGACTAGGGCATGTCGGGGGTTAAACAGCTTGGTTAGAGCAGCCTATTGAGATTTCATACTCTGTGTAGATCTGAAGATGCAGTAAAAAAAAAAAAAAAAAAGTTTATTGTTTGAAGTTCAAACAAGCACTTTTAGACAGGACAGTTGGACTTGTTTTATCAATTCCATTTAGTCATTCCTTATTGACTGCCCATATCAAATTGTATCTGTGAACCCTGCAGATCCAGCCCCTGTATGATGTCATTCATGAGGCGATGACACGTCACATGCAGGGCACGGAGTTCAGGGAGAGGGACGCTGGACCACAGATAGATCGCAACATGACCGATGAAGGCAAGACACACACAGACATTACACACACATGCAAATCTGGAGGCATGATTGATCAGCTATTTACATGTTTTATCATAACGATTGTCTTTCCCTACCAGGGTTTAATATTGAGGCCAAGGTGAATGAAGACACTGGGTTTGTCTATGGAGGAAATCGTTTCAACTGTGGGACATGGATGGACAAGATGGGAGAGAGTGACAAGGCTCATAACAAAGGAATCCCAGCTACACCTAGGTACTGTACTGTTTTCCTCTCCTTTGGTAAAGAGTTTCCTAGTCTTCACTCAGTCTAGGACAATTGTAGTATGTGCAGTGCTTGTTGTTTTTTCCCCTTGAGTTAAGTGTTTTCACAATGGTTTGTGTGTGTGCGTGCCTGCGTTTCTTCCAGGGATGGCTCTGCAGTGGAAATAGTGGGTCTCTGTAAGTCCACTGTGCGCTGGTTAGTGGACCTTCATACGCACGGCTTCTTCCCTTACGCAACCCTCACCATCCGTAGAGAAGGTACGTTCTGGAATAAACCCAAATCTCCATGTTTTTCCCAGCTTTCTCACATCCTCAAGATTTTTCTAAAATTAGACCATTACAACAATTGGTATACTACTACTTAGTATTTTCAGATGTTGAAATCTGTATTTTAAACAATATACCTCACTAGAGTTTTAAAATTGTTGTATTTTGTTAGTAGTGAAGCTAGACATATCTGTTCTGTTCTAGGTCGTAACATCTCTGTGCCCTATGAAGAGTGGAACAGAAAGATCCAGGAGAACTTTGAGAAGATGTTCTACGTGTCTCACGACCTTCAGGACTCCAATGAGAAACACCCAGACCTGGTGCACAAGAGAGGCATCTACAAGGACAGCTATGGGGCCTCCAGTCCCTGGTGTGACTACCAGCTCAGGCCTAACTTCACTATCGCCATGGTGGTGGTAAGCACTGTTCCTTTTTACTGCCTCATTAGCCTTGTAACTAATGTCGTAGCGTCCTGTCCAAGGAGTGTACTACATCAAACTGCCTCACGCTAAAGAAACAGGAAGATAGGCCCCTGCCCTATGGGCCGATCTGGCACTAAGGCTTACCTACTTACTTCATCAGTGTTGTAAAGTTACTACAGTGCCTTCATCCCCCTTGGCGTTTTTCCTATTTTGTTGCATTACAACCTGTAATTTAAATGGACTTTTATTTGGATTTCATGTAATGGACATACACAAAATAGTCCAAATTGGTGAAATGAAATGAAAAAAAGTACTTGTTTCAAGAAATTCAAAAAAAAAAATACTAACTAACTAATTATGTGACTTCTGAAGGTAATTGGTTGCACCAGATCTTATTTAGGGGATTCATAGCAAAGGGGGTGAATACATATGCACGCACCACTTCCACACAGGTGTACTTTATTTATGTGTCACATGATCTGTCACATGATCTCAGTATATTTACACCTGTTCTGAAAGGCCCCAGAGTCTGCAACACCACTAAGCAAGGGGCACCACTAAGCAAGGGGCACCACCAAGCAAGCGGCACCATGAAGACTAAGGAGCTCTCCAAACAGGTCAGGGACAAAGTTGTGGAGAAGTACAGATCAGGGTTGGGTTATAAAAAAAAATATCAGAAACGTTGAACATCCCACAGAGCACCATTAAACCCATTATTAAAAAATTGAAAGAATATGGCACCACAACAAACCTGCCAAGAGAGGGCCGCCCACCAAAACTCACAGACTAAGCAAGGAGGGCATTAATCAGAGCGGTAACAAAGAGACCAAAGATAATCCTGAAGGAGCTGCAAAGCTCCACAGCGGAGATTGGAGCATCTGTCCATAGGACCACTTTAAGCCGTACACTCCACAGAGCTGGGCTTTACGGAAGAGTGGCCAGAAAAAAGCCATTGCTTAAAGAAAAAAATAAGCAAACACGTTTGGTGTTCGCCAAAAGGCATGTGGGAGACTCCCCAAACATATGGAAGAAGGTACTCTGGTCAAATGAGACTCAAATTGAGCTTTTTGGCCATCAAGGAAAACGCTATGTCTGGGGCAAACCCAACACCTCTCATCACCCCGAGAACACCATCACCACAGTGAAGCATGGTGGTGGCAGCATCATGCTGTGGGGATGTGTTTCATCGGCAGGGACTGGGAAACTGGTCAGAATTGAAGGAATGATGGATGGCGCTTAATACAGGGAAATTCTTGAGGGAAACCTGTTTGTCATCCAGAGATTTGAGACTGGGACAGAGGTTCACCTTCCAGCAGGACAATGGCCCTAAGCATACTGCTAAAGCAACACTCGAGTGGTTTAAGGGGAAACATTTAAATGTCTTGGAATGGCCTAGTCAAACCCCAGACCTCAATCCAATTGAGAATATGTGGTATGACTTAAAGATTGCTGTACACCAGTGGAACCCATCCAACTTGAAGGAGCTGGAGCAGTTTTGCCTTGAAGAATGGGCAAAAGTCCCAGTGGCTAGATGTGCCAAGCTTATAGAGACATACCCCAAGAGACTTGCAGCTGTAATTGCTGCAAAAGGTGGCTCTACAAAGTATTGACTTTGGGGGGGGTTCTTTTTGCATCTTCAAAGTGGTAGGCATGTTGTGTAAATCAAATTATACAAACCCCCAAAAAATCCATTTTAATTCCAGGTTGTAAGGCAACAAAATAGGAAAAATGCCAAGGGGGGTGAATACTTTCGCAAGCCACTGTAAGCTAGTCAGTGCTCTGGTTAACCCTAACCCTCTCAATGTGGGGGAAGAAAAGGTTTTCACACATTTCTGTCCCTAATAGCCCTGCTGCTGTAAGACAGGTCTCTGGCTAACCCTAACCCTCTCAATGTGGGTGTACTAAGGTTACCAATGTATTTGTGCTGCTGAACATTATTTGAGTCTTGCAAACCAATTTACTGTCAAAATGTATCACTTTTACAAGTTGTCTTCTTAGGTCGAGTATCTCAGCTCTGTGTGTACCTTCTCTCTCTGTGTTCTCCAGGCTCCAGAGCTGTTCACAGTGGAAAGGGCCTGGGAGGCACTAGAGATGGCAGAGAAGAAGCTGCTCGGCCCCCTGGGAATGAAGACATTGGATCCAGAGTGAGTGGCATGCTTCATCCATACCCTCATTTACAGTAACACAGTCACTCTGTTGCTTTATTTAGACATCGGAACAGCAGAGAGGGTAGAGGACAGATAAAGAGGATCAACAGTTAAGAAATTGGTGGCGCATCAGGGATTCATTCTGAAGTAGTCTGTGTTACCTACTAGACTAGACCAATGATGGATACAAACTCTGGATTGCTGATGCTATGTATTGGCCAATGAGAGGCTTTGAAGCCACCTGCCACCATATTGGTACTCCTCACAAGGAGCAGTCCTCCATAGGAATGAATGGTATTCTACAGTATTCCAATTAATTGTTTCAAGGACAAAATTACATGTATTTAAGTATTTATTTATTGTAGTGGGGACATGTAGTAACAGTAGTACTCTCAAAAAAAATACTTTAAGGTAAATGTTCAGTTCACGTAAAATAATTAAAAAGTATGTATTAAGGTGTTTGTAATAGAATATATTTTTGCAAAAATGAAGACATTACTAAATGCATTTTTATAGCTTCTCAAATATGTTTTACAATGGTGGAAGATTAGAAAAATGGGTGTACAGGGCTTCAAAACATTGCCCCCTGTCAGTCACCTGGATTTCCCAAACTCGGTCGTCCTGACCCCAAGGGGTGCACGTTTTGGTTTTTGCCCTAGCACTACACAGCTAATTCAAATGATCAACTAATCATCAAGCTTTGATCATTTGAATTAGCTGTGTAGTGTTAGGGTAAAATACCAAAATGTGCACCCCTTGGGGTCAAGAGGACCGAGTTTGGGAAATCCAGGTCTAGTCTAATGATGTGTATGTACCCTACATGACTGACAGGGGGCAATGTTTTGAAGCCCTGTACACCTGAGTTTTGGAAACGCTGGACTAGACCCAGATCTGGCACTACAGTTGTCCCACAGTTAACGTTTTCTCTCTTTCTTTCCCCTCATAAAGTGACATGAAGTACTGTGGTGTCTACGATAATGCTCTGGATAGTAAGAATTTCAATGTTGCTAAGGGCTTCAACTACCATCAAGGACCTGTAAGTAAATTTATTGCGGCCCACATAAACATTTGTCAGTAGACAGGAACTTTATGGCGACTGTATGGTAACCATATGGTAACCACTATGGCAGCGTATCCCAAACTAGGGGTCGTGATCCCATGTGGGGTCGCCTGGTTTGAAAATGAGGTTGTCAGAGAAACTTGGGTCATAGAACCGCGGTTATGTAAGTAACATCCGACATCCGCTAAATGCAGTTGTGACAAATAGAATGGTTTCAACTTTTGAACAGTTGGAGCTACCATGCATTCAGAAAGTGTCCAGACCCCTTGACTTTTTCCACATTTTGTTACGTTACAGCCTTATTCTAAAATTGATTAAATAGTTTTTTTTCCCTCATCCATCTACACACAATACCCCATAATGACAAAGCAATAACCGTTTCTTATAAATGTTTGCTAATTGATTTATTTTAAACCCGGAAATATCACATTTACATAAGTATTTAGACCCTTTACTTAATACTTTGTTGAAGCACCTTTGGCAGTGATTACAGCATCAAGTCTTCTTGGGTATGACACCACAAGCTTGGCACACCTGTATTTGGGGAGTTTCTCCCATTCTTCTCTGCAGATCGTCTCAAGCTCTGTCAAGTTGGATGGGGAGCGTCGCTGCACAGCTATTTTCAGGTGTCTCCAGAGATGTTAGATCGGGTTCAAGTCCGGGCTCTGGCTGGGCCACTTAAGGACATTCAGAGACTTGTCCCGAAGCCACTCCTGCGTTGTCTTGGCAGTGTGCTTAGGGTCGTTGTCTGAGGTCCTGAGCGCTCTGGAGCAGGTTTTTATCAAGGATCTCACTGTACTTTGCTCCGTTCATCTTTTCCTCAATCCTGTCTCCCTGCTGCAGAAAAACATCCCCACAGCATGATGCTGCCACCACCATGTTTTACCGTAGGGATGGTGACAGGTTTCCTCCAGACGTGACGCTTGGCATTCAGGACAGACAATTAAATCTTGGTTTCATCAGACCAGATAATCTTTTTTTTTTCATGGTCTGAGAGTGGTGCCTTTGGCAAACTCCAAGCGGGCTGTCATGTGCATTTTACTGAGGAGTGGCTTCCGTCTGGCCACTCTACCATAAAAGCCTGATTGGTGGAGTGATGCAGAGATGGTTGGCCTTCTGGAAGGTTCCCCCATCTCCACAGAGGAATTCTGGAGCTCTGTCAGTGACCATCAGGTTCTTGGTCACCTCCCTGACCAAGGCCCTTCTCCCCCAGTTGCTCAGTTTGGCTGGGTGGCCAGCTCTAGGAAGAGTCTTGGTTGTTTCAAACTTCTTCCATTTAAGAATGATGGAGGCCGCTGTGTTCTTGGGGCCCTTCAATGCTGCAGAAATGTTTTGGCACCCTTTCCCAAATCTGTTCCTCGACACAATCCTGTCTCGGAGCTCTACGGACAATTCCTTCGACCTGATGACTTGGTTTTTGCTCTGACATGCACTGTCAACTGTGTGACCTTATATAGGCAGGTGTGTTCCTTTCCAAATCATGTCCAATCAATTGAATTTACCACAGGTGGACTCCAATCAAGTTGTAGAAAACATCTCAAGGATGATCAATGGAAACAGGATGCACCTGAGCTCAATTTCGAGTCTCTGAATACGTATGTAAATAATGTATTTCTGTTTTTTATATTTAATACATTTGCACAAATTTCTAAAAACCTGTTTTCGCTTTGTCATTATGGGGTATTGGGTGTAGATTGATGAGGAAATGTTTTCATTTTATCCATTTTAGAATAAGGCTGTAACAAAATGTTGAAAAAGTCAAGGGGTCTGAATACTTCCCGAATGCACTCTATATGCTATTATGACCACATTCCTGAAAGCTTAGACTCTCAGGAATATGGACGTTCTTTATTCCTCCACGATCCTCACAAGCCATGCAGGACTCGTTAGAACAGTGGACAGGACCAGGCATCAAATCAGACTGGGTAAAAAATAACATTGAAAGCAATGATGATAGGGATTGACATTATTGTCTGAAAGGCACTAGCCTATCGTCAAAAATAGCCCCATAGCATCAAAAATCCACCATATTTTACAGTAGATCTGGGGTTCTATTCTGCATATGCTTCTGGTTTTCAACACCTAACCCACCACTGGTGTGCTTGGCCAAAGAGCTCTATTTTCATGTCATCGGTTGATCAGATGACATGAAGAAAAAAGCTCTTTGGCCACACGCACACCAGTTGTGGGTTTGGCGTCGAAAAACTGAAGCATATGCAGAAAAGTACCTCAAACCTACAGTAAAATATGGTGGTGCATCATTGATGTTATGGGGCTATTTTGCTTCCACTGGTCAACGGCATCACGAACTTTACCAAGTACCAGGAGATTTTAGCCAAAAACCTGGTTGCTTCTGCCAGGAGGCTGACACTTGGCTGCAAGTGGATCTTCCAGCAAGACCATAACCCCAAGCACACATCAAAATCCACAAAGAAATGGTTAATTGACCACAAAAGCAACATTGTGCAATGGCCATCTCAGTCTCCGGACTTGAACCCTATTGAAAACTTGTGGTTTGAATTGAAGAGGGCGGTCCATAAGAGCAGACAAAGGATATCACGGATATGGAAAGATTCTGTATGGAGGAATGGTCTAAGATCATTTCCAATGTGTTTTCCATCTCATAAAACATTTTAGAAAAAGGCTCAGTGTTATCCTCGCAAGGGTAAGGTGCTAGAGTATTAAACTATATTTTTAAGAGTTTTTTTATTACTTATTAAATTCTATCTCTTTCTCTGAGCAATCATATTAGTATGAAATAATATAATATATATTTTTTTTTTTACATACAATATAGCTCAGTCCAAACTAGTACAGGCTTAATTGAATGAACAATAGAAATGGAATGCAATATGACATTTTATTAAATAGTTTGGAGAATGGCTGTGTCTCGGAGGCAAAATAATCGGAGCCAGATGATGTGATGGCAGGTCTCCCCCATTGGGAGAAAGGAGTTCCAACGATGGGCCTTATAAGGTTATTATAGCTGGTGGGGAGGGGAGGGTTCTCAGTAACTTTTGCAAGTTTGACATTAATACATCTGAATATTTACATCCATTGGTTGAGAGGGAGAAAGGTGATAATTGCGAGACTGAGCCCATAGGTTAAAAAGCAAGCGTGAGTAATGTGTATTATTGTGCCGTGCTCATAGGTTACAAGGTAAATAGGTGAATGACATTCCCCACGTGGCTAATGGGAAAGAGAAGGAGAGATAGACGCTATGCTGATGATAATGTTTGTAACCTCTAACATTCCCAATATGCACATAGAATAGGAAACGATGTGAATTCTATTATTGTTACGGTGTTAAGTTAAAGTGAGCATTCAGACCAGCCTTACTGATTTGAACTTTCTTTCGTAAACTACATTATTTGTATTATTTATTTCATACAGTCTTTTTTTTGCTCATCATTATCGAGGGTGCCACTAATTATGGACCTGACTGTACAATATTACGTGCCTTTCACCTACACATAGGGGAGGAACCAGAAAGATCAGTACTGGAATTCTTTGTATTTTGGTTGTTCACAGCAGGCCGACTGCCATAAATGCCATAAATTATCTGTCGATGGGGAGGAACCACAAAGATCAGTTTAGGCTACTAGAATTATACAAAAAAACTAAATCGCCTGCCAAATGGTGCAACCTCTGAGCAGTCTTAACTTGTTTGCCTGCTCTGTTCACTTGCCCCGGGCAATAGGTCAACCCTTAATGTCAGTACCTGGATGTTCTTTTCTACACAGAAAGTCATCAGGTCAACACTGGAAAGTGATGTTTTCAACTAAAATCATGGAAGCGGGGTATGGAAGAAATCTTTCCCTAATGAAAGCAGTTCAGCCAAGCCTGAATTCAAGCAATAACGACACAAAGTTTACAAGTGTTTTGTATTATAACTGGATTATAGCTCCTCTCTAAACGTTGTCAACTCCATTACTCAAAAGTTACTTCAATCAGTGAATGCTAACGATGGCTAGCTATTCTACCAGTCTGTCTTAATGAGTGTTAGCATGCTAATAGCACACCATGTACACAAAAATGTATATTTTTAAGGGGTATGCAGTAGGTTGATAACGATATCACCAAAGTATGTTGTATCAGACATTTCAAATAACATTTCCAGCTAATGAGGAAACAGTCATGGTATTTAATTTAAGATAATGAACAAGATTTTAAGCAGTATGAAAACATTCATTAACTGTAAGTCGCTCTGGATAAAAGCATCTGCTAAATGATTACAATGTAAATGTAATTTAACAAGACATTTGGGCTAATTTGAATGGGCACCAACAGCAGATTGAGGGGACGTTTACATCCATATCACAGTACAACCCACGTGATTACATGAAACATAACTCTGTGAGGGTCTCCTACACAATTATTGCTTGATGATCTTTTGAATTTCCCAATATGTTTCTGATGCATTTCAGCCATTTCAAGCCATACTTCCTTCAGCTTTAAGATACTTTCAATGTAATGTCAGACTGATTTGTAATAGACTGTCAAGGCCCCAAATAAAAAAGTAAACATTGGCTGCTGATTGTATCACGATTTTTGCATGGTGGGGTCGCGATTTATGTATTTATATCAAAATGGTGTCACGGGCCAAAAAGGTTTGGGAACCCCTGCACTATGGTAACCATAAATGTGTGTTTCCCTCTCTTAGGAGTGGCTTTGGCCAGTAGGCTATTTCCTACGAGCCAAACTGTACTTTGCCAAGAAGATGGGGCCAGAGATATACGACAAGACTGTGTACCTGGTGAAGAATGTCCTCTCTAGGCATAACATCCACTTGGAGAGGTAAAACACAAGCACAACGACTTGTTAAGTGACTGCAAACACTATCATGTTCTTAATTGTTTTAACTTTTAACTTGTCATACTTTTTTTTTTATTGGTTCACTCAATTTATATGATTGATTATAAGTGTCACATAATCAATATTGTCTTTTATCACCCACCAGATCGTCTTGGAAGGGTCTACCTGAGTTGACCAATGAGAATGGCCAGTACTGTCCCTTCAGCTGTGAAACTCAGGCCTGGTCTATCGCCACCATACTGGAGGTTCTGCATGATCTGTAGATGGAGAATATCATATTTTCTTCATCAGTTTTCAAAAATATTTCCTTTATGCAGTATTTTCAGTGAAGCCATTTTAACCATTATCACATAGCCACATGGTTCTAGCTATGGTATCTCTACAAAACTGCCTTAAACAACATAGACTCCTAAACCTCTTTGTTACATGTGGATATTATGTCAATGTGTGTTTTCATAAATGTGGCTTGCATGTTCAATGTAGTCAATACATATTTAATTGCTTTAAAATTGTTTAGACTATTCAGTACTTTCAGAAGTAGTTAGTTCTGCACTCTCATCCCTGCAGGGGTGAATTGTCCCGTCTTCCAGTTCTAAATGCTGTCTCATACTATATATATTTTTTTGTCCTTGTGACTGATGAGATGTTAAACTGTGAATCAGAAATTTGAATCATATCCACCACAATAATATGCTTCACATGCTATACCACCATAATAAAAAATTACCAATTCACATTTTTGTTCCAGTCCAAACTTGTATGGATCACAATAGTAGAAATGAATCATATTAAGTAATGCTCTCTTGCTGTTTTCTGCATAGTCATGATTCACCCCCTCTTTTCTGCAAAGTCATGGTTCACTCATCTCCTATTATTGGAAGACCTCCCCCTCTTTTCTGCAAAGTCATGGTTCACTCATCTCCTATTATTGGAAGACCTCACCCCCTACGGATTCTTACATACTGGAAGTGGCATTGCCCAACGTACTGACATTAGCTGTGTGGAAACAAAGGAGACTCAACCAACAACAGCACAGTTTATCTGTATGACTTGCATCCTATCTTTCTCTGTGTCTGTATATTAGTAATCATTACAAAAAGGAAAACACTCTTGCATAATTCCAGTCATCCTCTTTGTTACCTTTGTCATAGATTGGTGGTCAATTGTATTCAGGCATAATGTGCATTTCAGTGAATTGTTTTGTATTTTTTATGTTCTACTACCTAATGTTGGGAATAGCAAGGGACCCACTTGGCACAAATGTCAGTTCAATGTCTAGTTTTGATTTACATTTGATTGAGTTGTTAACTAACGTATTCAATGTGAAATCAACCAAAAATATCACCCTGTCATTGGATTTAGGTTATATTTTGGTGTAAAAATACAAAATTCTCTTACATTGATGACTTTTTGCAAATCCAATCAGTTTTCCACGTTGATTCAATGTCATCATATTTTTATTTTATTTCATGAAACAACGTTGACTCAAACAGTTATGTTCCATCTTCTGAGGACACAGTTTGCCTTTCTATAGCCTAGGCTCCAGGCTTCGCTCACATTGTCTTTCTATTGTCACTAATGGGAAGGGTGGGGGTTTCAGCACATACAGTGGGGGAAAAAAAGTATTTAGTCAGCCACCAATTGTGCAAGTTCTCCCACTTAAAAAGATGAGAGAGGCCTGTAATTTTCATCATAGGTACACGTCAACTATGACAGAAAAAATGAGAAAAAAAAATGAATTTTTAATGAATTTATTTGCAAATTATGGTGGAAAATAAGTATTTGGTCAATAACAAAAGTTTCTCAATACTTTGTTATATACCCTTTGTTGGCAATGACACAGGTCAAATGTTTTCTGTAAGTCTTCACAAGGTTTTCACATACTGTTGCTGGTATTTTGGCCCATTCCTACATGCAGATCACCTCTAGAGCAGTGAAGTTTTGGGGCTGTCGCTGGGCAACACAGACTTTCAACTCCCTCCAAAGATTTTCTATGGGGTTGAGATCTGGAGACTGGCTAGGCCACTACAGGACCTTGAAATGCTTCTTACGAAGCCACTCCTTCGTTGCCGGGCGGTGTGTTTGGGATCATTGTCATGCTGAAAGACCCAGCCACGTTTCATCTTCAATGCCCTTGCTGATGGAAGGAGGTTTTCACTCAAAATCTCACGATACATGGCCCCATTCATTCTTTCCTTTACACGGATCAGTCGTCCTGGTCCCTTTGCAGAAAAACAGCCCCAAAGCATGATGTTTCCACCCCCATGCTTCACAGTAGGTATGGTGTTCTTTGGATGCAACTCAGCATTCTTTGTCCTCCAAACACGACGAGTTGAGTTTTTACCAAAGAGTTCTATTTTGGTTTCATCTGACCATATGACATTCTCCCAATCCTCTTCTGGATCATTCAAATGCACTCTAGCAAACTTCAGACGGGCCTGGACATGTACTGGCTTAAGCAGGGGGACACATCTGGCACTGCAGGATTTGAGTCCCTGGCGGCGTAGTGTGTTACTGATGGTAGGCTTTGTTACTTTGGTCCCAGCTCTCTGCAGGTCATTCACTAGGTCCCCCCGTGTGGTTCTGGGATTTTTGCTCACTGTTCTTGTGATCATTTTGACCCTACGGGTGAGATCTTGCGTGGAGCCCCAGATCGAGGGAGATTATCAGTGGTCTTGTATGTCTTCCATTTCCTAATAATTGCTCCCACAGTTGATTTCTTCAAACCAAGCTGCTTACCTATTGCAGATTCAGTCTTCCCAGCCTGGTGCAGGTCTACAATTTTGTTTCTGGTGTCCTTTGACAGCTCTTTGGTCTTGGCCATAGTGGAGTTTGGAGTGTGACTGTTTGAGGTTGTGGACAGGTGTCTTTTATACTGATAACAAGTTCAAACAGGTGCCATTAATACAGGTAACGAGTGGAGGACAGAGGAGCCTCTTAAAGAAGAAGTTACAGGTCTGTGAGAGCCAGAAATCTTGCTTGTTTGTAGGTGACCAAATACTTATTTTCCACCATAATTTGCAAACCAATTCATTAAAAATCCTACAATGTGATTTTCTGGAGAAAAAAATTCTCAATTTGTCTGTCATAGTTGACGTGTACCTATTATGAAAATTACAGGCCTCTCTCATCTTTTTAAGTGGGAGAACTTGCACAATTGGTGGCTGACTAAATACTTTTTTCCCCCACTGTATGTCCTAGGGAGAATCTCAATTGCATACTCCTCGCGCCCTCTCTCCTCACCTCCTCAAAACCCATTGGCTGAGAAAGCCAGAGGTCCCTCCCCTCTGAACTTCTCCAATGGATTTTGAGAAAGAGGTTAGGACAGGGGATGTGAGAAGTATGCAATTGAGATTCTCCCCTAATCTCGTTCACCAGACACTTATTATGTCCAGGCCTGCATCCAAGTATGTCTGCAGGGCAAGGTGAGGAGTAGCCTTCCACTTACTGGAATAACAACATCACTATCCAATGGTAACATAGGCCTGCTATTGGAAGTTGGTATAAAGTGAATAATAATGTTATTTCAACAATTTATAAATAAATCATATGAAGTAATCCTCTCTTGCTGTTTTCTGAATAGTCATGATTCACCCCCTCTTTTCTGCAAAGTCATGGTTCACTCAATACCCTTTAGTGTCATGAGCTGATAGTAGATACATTTAAATGTATGTAGGCTATAACAAATACTGTATATAAATATGTAATATGTCTATCTAAATACTTATAAACGGTTCATTAATAAGTATTGTATTTATTTTAAATCTGTTTTACTGTATTCTTGTAATAAAGCCCTTCTGAATCTCTTTAAGTTGGAAAGATGCCATGTAGACTAGCTGTGAAGGAGAGGCTCCTTCACTAGACACATCATTGGACTCTTTTTAAATGTGTATGAAAGGTATTTATTTAGAGCAAGTGTAATTGTATATTTTGTATTCATTCATCAACATTCAAATCCTTCCATACGCAGTGCTTACTATCAGTCCCAACTGTCAACAGTTAAAGTAATATAAATGTCCAGTTAAAATGTCACTGTTAAAAGTTTGTATATAACTCATACCCAAATAATGTTGTTGAGTCGTCCTATACTCGTATTTGCGGCCAAAGCATTAATGAGATTTTTTTTATTTATTAAACCCCACCTCGATTGCAAACAGTTTTAAAGATAGAACTTGATGTCATGTTGGCTCATTGGCTGAACTGGCCAATCAGCGGTCCTCTTGGATCAATATTTTGATGATGGTGTACAGTCGTGGTCAAAAGTTTTGAGAATGACACAAATACTAATTTTCACAAAGTCTGCTGCCTTAGTTTTGATGATGGCAATTTGCATATACTCCAGAATGTCATGAAGAGTGATCAGATGAATTGCAATTAATTGCAAAGTCCCTCTTTGCCATGAAAATGAACTTAATCCCAAAAAGAACATTTCCACTGCATTTCAGCCCTGCAACAAAAGGACCAGCTGCCATCATGTCAGTGATTCTCTCGTTAACATAGGTGAGAGTGTTGACGAGGACAAGGCTGGAGATCACTCTGTCATGCTGATTGAGTTAGAATAACAGACTGGAAGCTTTAAAAGGAGGGTGGTGCTTGAAATCATTGTTCTTCCTCTGTTTACCATGGTTACCTGCAAGGAAACACGTGCCGTCATCATTGCTTTGCACAAAAAGGGCTTCACAGGCAAGGATATTGCTGCTAGTAAGATTGCACCTAAATCAACCGTTTATCGGATCATCAAGAACTTCAAGGAGAGAGGTTCAATTGTTGTGAAGAAGGCGTCAGGGCACCCAAGAAAGTCCAGCAAGCGCCAGGACCGTCTCCTAAAGTTGATTCAGCTGTGGGATCGGGGCACCACCAGTGCAGCTTGCTCAGGAATGGCAGCAGGCAGGTGTGAGTGCATCTGCACACACTGTGAGGCGAAGACTTTTGGAGGATGGCCTGGTGTCAAGAAGGGCAGCAAAGAAGCCACTTCTCTCCAGGAAAAACATCAGGGACAAACTTATATTCTGCAAAAGGTACAGGGATTGGACTGCTGAGGACTGGGGTAAAGTCATTTTCTCTGATGAATCCCCTTTCCGATTGTTTGGGGCATCCAGAAAACACCTTGTCCGGAGAAGACAAGGTGAGCGCTACCATCAGTCCTGTGTCATGCCAACAGTAAAGCATCCTGAGACCATTCATGTGTGGGGTTGCTTCTCAGCCAAGGGAGTGGGCTTACTCACAATTTTGCCTAAGAACACAGCCATGAATAAAGAATGGTACCAACACATCCTCCGAGAGCAACTTCTCCCAACCATCCAAGAACAGTTTGGTGACGACCAATGCCTTTTCCAGCATGATGGAGCACCTTGCCATAAGGAAAAAGTGATAACTAAGTTGCTCGGGGAACAAAACATCGACATTTTGGGTCCATGGCCAGGAAACTCCCCAGACCTTAATCCCATTGAGAACTTGTGGTCGATCCTCAAAAGGCGGGTGGACAAACAAAAACCCACATTCTGACAAACTCCAAGCATTGATTATGCAAGAATGGGCTGCATCAGTCAGGATGGGGCCCAGAAGTTAATTGACAGCATGCCAGGGCGGATTGCAGAGGTCTTGAAAAAGAAGGGTCAACACTGCAAATATTGACTCTTTGCATAAACTTAATGTAATTGTCAATAAAAGCCTTTGACACTTATGGAATGCTTGTAATTATACTTCAGTATACCTTAGTAACATCTGACAAAAATATCTCATAACACTGAAGCAGTGAACTTTGTGAAGACCAATACTTGTGTCATTCTCAAAACTTTTGACCACGACTGTACTCTAATGCCATTCTGTTGTTGGGGTACGCCCATACCATTCCAACACAGAAAAGCAGCTTTTTAGCATATTTAATTACCATTTTCTGGAAGGAAAGCTATTTCACTCATAGAAATCTGGAAACACTGGACAGTTACTTTAAGTGTTTAAATTGTCTTCATTTTGATTGCCTCAGTTTTGCATGGCAGGTAACACTTCAGGTGTACCTGATTATTTAATTGCTCAAACCAGATTGTGAAATGGGTGTTTTCAGATTGTTATATATCAGGGCTCTCCAACCTTGCTCCTGGAGAGCTACCATCCTGTAAGTTTTTCCTCCAAACCTAATCTAGCACACCTGTTTCTAATAATGACCTTGTTGATAAGATTAATCAGGTTAGTAACAACTGGGGTTAGAATTAAAACCTACAGAAGGGTAGGTCTCCAGGAACAGGGTTGGAGACCTCTGTGTAGGGTGTCCTTATCTGAAAGGTGAGCTGTTGTTTTATCACCAAATAGGCCTACTGCCAATCGATTTTTTTATCTTGCTCTTTTAGCACAATACATTCAGTATTTTAATTAAGTTGACTCAGTGTACTTGTAATACATCCCTCATCTCCTTATACCCAGATGTATATTAGCAACCGTTATCTTCTCTAAAATGTGGTGATTTATGTAGAAGAAAATTGTCATGAAACAAACATTCTGAGCCAGAACTAGAGGTATTTTTGTAAGTGTTACAAACACGCATTTGCAAAAACGCTTGGGTCTCACAGGGTTAATTGCATAACGCGACCGCCGGACTTGACACACTAGTATCCAGAAGGGAGGTCCTCTCTCTGTCTAAACGTTAACCGCACACAAGGCACTAAACTAGAAATTCTGCCCCTCACCCAAACTCCACAACTTGTTGACTCCGGTACGCCACGCTCTCCATCAGGCTATTCTTAATTATTTTTTCGTTATTATTGACTCAAGATGGATCGATACATAATGATTATCGCGTGTGTTCTGCGGGTGGTGCGGTGCTACAGCTCCGGAGCGGTGACGGAGGCGTGTGACCATATGAAACCGCAACACTCCGTAGGCGCGCAGCAGAGCCCTGCTCCATTCTCTGTCGCCACTGACCGGTCCAGCTTCAAGAAGGGCGACGAAATCACAGGTGAGAAATCATGTTTTTAATGTTTTTTTTTTTCTATTACTGCAGAGTTCATGCAGTGATATTGAACACTCACCACTATAGTTTATATTAATATTATGTTTAGGCTGTTATGGGTAGATATATTCAGTCCATATCTACTTTTCAAAGATGTCTCCATTTTCTATGGTGGTGTAACTGGTGTTTTTAAATCAACTACACACTGTGTTAACAGTCCAGCTCCTGGCAGATGCCACTCCATTCATTGGGTTCATGTTACAAGCCAGAGCAGTTGGTGGAAGCAGTCCTTTGGGATCCTTCACTGTAACAAGTGGAGAGGCACAGCTCCTCACCTGCAACGGACTACCTGTGAGTCTATTCCCATAGATTGTATAATTCCATTTAATTCTGTCTATTCCCACATGGCCTATAGCCTGTTTTGCTGTTATGAGTGCTACAGTATTACATATAACATTGAAACAGTAATGTTTTTTTTTTAGATCTTATAGGCCTAAATGTATTTGGGATGTATGAAAACAACTCTATTTACAGAAACTGATCAATTATCCTGTTCCTGCAATCATCTTTCCTGCATTCGACCCCAGGAAGGCAAAATATTTTTGGCCATCTCAGATTGTATAGGCAATCCTCACATAGAAACTTAATTTGGGAGGAAAGATGATTGACATGCTTTTTACATTTATCACAAACCCTTTAAAAATTGCCACTTTAGGCCCTTTTTAGACCTAAACATGCCTCCTGTAAGACCCTAAGGGCTCCCGAGTGGTGCAGCGGTCTAAGGCACTGCATCTCAGTGCTTGAGGCATCACTACAGACCCCCTGGTTAGATTCCAGGCTGTATCACAACCGGCCGTGATTGGGAGTGCACAATTGGCCCAGTGTCGTTTGGGCGGTGTAGGCCGTCATTGTAACTAAGACTTGGTTCTTAACTGACTTGCCTAGTTAAATAAAGGTAAAATAAGATCGGTGAACCATACATGATGCAGACATCTTGGTGTGATTATACTCCTAACAGTGTCATCTAAAATATGGAGTATGTCAAGATTCTAAAATATTTTTCACATTGAATAAATTAACATCCAAATATATGAATATCTTAAAAGCACCCTTTTTGATTTTGCTTATTTTTTTAAACAATTTACTCTTCAAACAGATCACATTTTCAGTGGGCTCTGTTACTTCTGAAGGATTGCACATTCAGCAAATCAATAGCAGAGGGAGTTCCCTTTTAATCATTTTTCCCATTCACTGTGTTGGTGGTGCTCATAAAATGTATCATAATTCAGAGGTTGCACCACAAGTCTGACAGTGGTGTGGAGACCAGGTTAATCTCCGAAACCTAGTTGTAGCAGGGACCTTTTTCCTGGGGCAAGTGAACTGAGCAGTTGGGCATGTGGAGCCTGTTCTATAGTCGCCCCAGGTGTTTTTTTTTTTTTTTTACTGAAAACAACAACTGGGAAGAATTCCAGTAAGCCTAAAACTGAGCTTTCTGGTTAATCCACATTGTTTAAGTGAAAGACTAACAATTTAAAGCATGTATGGGAGCCGGGCAAGTTGAGCCTGCTCTGTGGTTGCCCCATGGAAAGTGGAGAGTGCACTCTGTTCTCTTTAGACATGCATCTTTTGAGATTTTTTTTTTTTGAAGTTGCAAGTTTACATACACCTTAGCCAAATGCATTTAAACTCAGTTTTTCCACAATTCCTGACATTTAATCCTAGTAAAAATTCCCTGTCTTAGGTCAGTTAGGATCACCACTTTATTTTAAGAATGTGAAATGTCAGAATAATATTGTGTGTATTAATTTTATATATGTAAAAAAAAAAATACACTAAGGAGTATGACACCATGTTGTCTGTATAATGTACGATTCACAGATCATAGGGTCTTACAGGACGCATGAATAGGTCTAAAAAGGTTCTAAAATGGCCACTTCATCATAATAGTTTGATACAAATGTAATAAGAATATCAAACAGCCCTCCTCCCAAGTAAATTTCTGTGAGAATTACCAGACATATTTTTTGGCCTTCCTGATGTGGAATCACCCTGTTGCATCTGAATAAAGCCTAACTAAATCTTCGTGGATCCTTTTTTTTTCCTGTTCCCAGAAGTCTGCAATTTCTCACACATCAGCTTCACCTAAATTCTCCATCCAGGGAACATGGAGGGCCCCCATATCAGATGACCTCAACTCTATCCAATTCAGGTGATTCATCCATCCTGTAGCTCCTGAACCAGAATGTTCACTTCTTATACCCTCTGGTCCGGTTTCCCGGACACAGATTAAGCCTAGTCCTGGACTAAAAAAACAACTTTCAATGGGGAATCACCATTGAACATGCTTTTTAGTATAATACTAGGCTTAATCTGTGTCTGGGAAACCGGCTCTTGATATTGTTTTACTATTTGTTCTGCCAGTGTATCCTTTGTAAAAGATTTCGACACCTTCTGGGTTGGCGTGAGAAGTTCTCCAGTCACGTTCAGCGTCGCTGCTGCAACCCCAGCGAACAGCACATCCACACCCAGCACATCTACCACTTCCGCCTCATCCACAGCAGTATTTCCATCGCAATCCTCAGTACGTATGGTGATAGCTAATAGTACAAATATGTTTCATTTAAAACATCGGTCTTAACAATGTATCACACGTGTAACTGACTCTCTGACAATATTTTCATATTAGATTTTCAAACAATTAAATATATTTGTAAGCACTACATCAGTTGTCCCAAAGTGCTTTACAGTAACATTGATTATGTTTGTAACAGTTGTCCATCTCGAGTGCTGGATGTGGCAGCAGTAAGGTCTGTTTCAGCCGACCTCTGAACTGTAACCCTGGGGTCAGCCCAGACTGTTACTTCCTGTCTGCGACGACCTCTACCAGGGATACAGCCATCCAGTTGGAGATGACCGGCCCTTCAGACGGCTACATCGCCATCGGCTTCTCAGATGACCAGACGATGGTAACGCTCACTGCCTACAACCTGCCCTCATCTAGCCTGGTACTCCTAATGGTCCAACATGTTTGGTTGGCATGACAATGACCATTAGGAGTTGGCAAGACTGCACTAATGTATCTGGGACCAGGCTAGCACTCAAACCATTTTCAAATGAAATGTGTTCTTTTTTCATTTACATAAATGTAACTGGACTGACTGCCTCTAAATTTGAATGAGCAAATTCAACAGATGTGACTTGATTGTGTTCCTCTAACATTTTCTTCATCTTCTCATAAGGGAAATGATGACATCTTTATTTGTGGCCGGGACAGTAACGGGATCATCCAATTGCAACACGCCTATTCAACAGGAAGAACGCGACCAGACATGCGTCCTCTGGTATTGAACTTCTCTCGCTCGTTATTATGGCATATGAATGGCGTACGTGTTTGCATAATGCCTAATAGGGTTGGGGTCCATTCCACTGAAAAGCAATGAGGACAATTGCAATTGGGACTGAAATTTCTGTTCCTGACTTGACTGAATCGAAATGGAATTGACCCCCAACCCTGATGCTTAATAAATCATAAAACAATCTGTATTGATGCAAATGTTTCTTGTTTGTCCTTCTTGTAGGGAAATGTTTCTGATGTTAAATCCTCAATGAAGGATGGTATCATTAGCTGTTCCTTCACGACTATGAACCCCGTCTCAACTCAACGATCCATACGGTCCAGTTCCCCCTACTACCTCATGTTTGCTCAAGGACCAACCAGTAATGGTAGAGTATGAGACAATATGTACATGTGGGGGGCGTGCTTGTAGTATATGGCCAATATACCATGGCTAAGGCACTCCGCGTTGTCGTGCATAAGAACAGCCCTTAGCCGTGGTACAGTATATTCGGAAAGTATTCAGACCCCTTCTTCCACATTTTGTTACGTTACAGCCTTATTCTAAAATGAATAAAATAATTATTCTTTCCTCAATCTACACAATACCCCATAATGACAAGGCAAAAACAGGTTTTTAGAAATGTTTGCAAATGTATTAAAAACAGATACCTTATTTACATAAGTATTCAGACCCTTTGCTATGAGACTTAAAATTGAGCTCCGGTGCATCCTTTTTCCATTGATCATCCTTGATGTTTCTACAACTTGTCAACCTGTGATAAATTCAATTGATTGGACATGATTTAGAAAAGCACACCTGTCTATATAAGGTCCTACAGTTGACCGTGCATGTCGGAGCAAAACCCAAACCATGAGGTCGAAGGAATTGTCCGTAGAGTTCCAAGACAAGATTGTGTCGAGGCACAGATCTTGGGAAGGGTACCAAAACATTTCTGCAGCATTGAAGGTCCCCAAGAATACAGTGGCCTCCATACTTCTTAAATGGAAGAAGTTTGGAGCCACCAAGACTCTTCCTATTGCTGGCCACCTGGCCGAACTGAGCAATCAGGGGAGAAGGGCCTTGGTCAGGGAGGTGACCAAGAACCTGATGGTCACTCTGACAGAGCTCCAGAATTCCTCTGTGGAGATGGGAGAACCTTCCAGAAGGACAACAATCTCTGCAGCACTCCACCAATCAGGACTTTATGGTAAAGTGACCAGACGGAAGCCACTCCTTAGTGAAAGGCAGATGACGGCACACTTGGAGTTTGCCAAAAGGCACCTAAAAACTCTCAGACCATGAGAAACAAGATTCTCTGGTCTGATGAAACCAAGATTGAAATATTTGTCACGTCTGGAGGAAATCTGGCACCATCCCTATGGTGGTGGCAGCATCATGATGTGGGGATGTTCTTTAGCGGCAGGGACTGGGAGACTAGTCAGGATCGAGGCAAAGATGAACGGCGCGAAGTACAGAGATCCTTGATGAAAACCTGCTCCAGAGCTCTCAGGACCTCAGACTGGGGTGAAGGTTCACCTTCCAACAGGACAACGCAGGAGTGGCTTTGGGACAAGTCTCTGAATGTCCTCAAGTGGCCCAGCCAAAGCCTGGACTTGAACCTGATCTAACATCTCTGGAGAGACCTGAAAATAGCTGTGTAGCAATGCTCCCCATCCAACCTGACAGAGCTTGAGAGGATCTGCAGAGAATGGGAGACACTCCACAAATACAAGTGTGCCAAGCTTGTAGCGTTATACCCAAGACCACTCAAAGCTGTAAAAGGTGCTTCAACAAAGTACTGAGTAAATGGTCTGAATACTTACGTAAATGTAATATTTTTTTATTTTTAATAATTTAGCTAAGATTTCTAAACCTGTTTTTGCTTTGGGGGGAACAATTTAATCGATTTTAGAATAAGGCTGTAACCTAACAAAATGTGGAATGTCATGGTCTGAATATTTATGCACGCTCAAGTTCTTTTTTTTTTTTTTTTTACATATTTATTGTTTCACAAAATATTTTGCATCTTCGACGTGGTAGGCATGTTGTGTAATTCAAACGATACAAACTCCCAAAAAATCCATTTTAATTCCAGGTTGTACGGCAACAAAATAAGACAAATGGCAAGGGAGGTGAATACTTTTGCAAGCCACTGTATGTGTCAATGTTATTCTCTTTCTCTTGGGTTGACTTTGACAGGGGAAATCAGGCATCATACAAGCACCTTCATCAGTGACACTAAGGTGGATGTTTCAAGACCTCAGCTTGTCACCAATGCAATCCGCCCCCCTATTATAAAAGCACATGGTAATGTTACTGTTGTCCTAGTGAGAAGAGTTTGCATGCATAACCTCAAACATTATTGCAATACACTGATTATAACTACAGATACTAGCATATTGATTATCCTGTTGCGCTTCAGGTGCCCTGATGTTGATAGCGTGGATGACCACCGGTAGTCTAGGAATGATCACAGCCAGGTATCTGAAAGGTGTGGCCAAGGGGAAAGGATGTTGTGGGAAAGACGTTTGGTTTCTGGTGAGTTTCTGCTATACTGTCCCCAATGTGTTAGTGTAAAGGTGTTAGATTGTAACCTCCCTCCTTAGCTTGAAATGTCTCCACCCCACTGCTATCGAATCGGTGCCTTTTCTATAGCATGATTGGCTAATTGTGTCAAGCGGGCTGTCACGTGTTTCCGAGGCCAGGATCCGAGAACTCCCAATCACAGACATCTGAAGCTATACTGTTAAGCCAACACATTGACGGCCGTCACATTAGTACGTCTAGATCAAGGTTTCTTAAACTATGGGTCAGGACTTAGTGTGGGCCCTGGGCACGTGAGAAGTGGGTCGCGAGTTATTAGAATACATCTCTAATCACACACTATTTATTTTTAAGGCGAGGCACCACACCCTCATGCTTTTAAAAAAATAGTTTCCCTTAGATATAACACAATGCACTTTTACCAGTTGACTATAGATGCCAATATGATACTTTTGTGTATTGCAACTTTTCTGAAATATTGTATGAAAATATGCAATATAGGCAATATTCATTTAAATATTTGCATATACCGCGAATACATTTTTCTGGACACCTTAATGAAGTCAGACACAATTTTCGTTTCATTAAGACACTCGAGGACCGGACTTGTATAGAGCAGATTGTGGATATACACGGAGTATACAGAACATTAAGAACACCTGCCCTTTCCTTGACATACCCTGACCAGGTGAAAGATATGATCCCTTATTGATGTCTCTTGTTAAATCCACTTCAATCAGTGTAGATGGAGGGGGGAGACAGGTTAAAGGAGGAGACGATTGAGTTTCCTGTGTGTATCAAGAATGAGCCACCACCCAAAGAACATCCAGACAACTTGACGCAGCTGTGGGAAGCATTGGAGTCAACATGGGCCAGCCTCCCTGTAGAACGCTTTCGACACTTTGTACATCCTGCTCATAAAAATAAAGGGAACACTAAAATAACACATCCTAGATCTGAATGAATGAAATAATCTTATTAAATACTTTTTTCTTTACATAGTTGAATGTGCTGACAACAAAATCACACAAATTATCAATGGAAATCAAATGTATCAACCCATGGAGGTCTGGATTTGGAGTCACCCTCAAAATTAAAGTGGAAAACCACACTACAGGCTGATCCAACTTTGATGTAATGTCCTTAAAACAAGTCAAAATGAGGCTCAGTAGTGTGTGTGTGGCCTCCACGTGCCTGTATGACCGCCCTACAACACCTGGGCATGCTCCTGATGAGGTGGCGGATGGTCTCCTGAAGGATCTCCTCCCAGACCTGGACTAAAGCATCTTCCAACTCCTGGACAGTCTGTGGTGCAACGTGGCGTTGGTGGATGGAGCGAGACATGATGTCCCAGATGTGCTCAATTGGATTCAGGTCTGGGGAACGGGCGGGCCAGTCCATAGCATCAATGCCTTCCTCTTGCAGGAACTGTTGACACACTCCAGCCACATGAGGTCTAGCATGGTCTTGCATTAGGAGGAACCCAGGGCCAACCGCACCAGCATATGGTCTCACAAGGGGTCTGAGGATCTCATCTCGGTACCTAATGGCAGTCAGGCTACCTCTGGCGAGCACATGGAGGAATGCCACCCCACCGCCAAACCGGTCATGCTGGAGGATGTTGCAGGCAGCAGAACGTTCTCCACGGCGTCTCCAGACTCTGTCACGTCTGTCACGTGCTCAGTGTGAACCTGCTTTCATCTGTGAAGAGCACAGGGCGCCAGTGGCGAATTTGCAAATCTTGGTGTTCTCTGGCAAATGCCAAACGTCCTGCATGGTGTTGGGCTGTAAGCACAACCCCCACCTGTGGACGTCGGGCCCTCATGGAGTCTGTTTCTGACCATTTGAGCAGACACATGCACATTTGTGGCCTGCTGGAGGTCATTTTGCAGGGCTCTGGCAGTGCTCCTCCTTGCACAAAGGCGTAGGTAGCAGTCCTGCTGCTGGGTTGTTGCCCTCCTACGGCCTCCTCCACGTCTCCTGATGTACTGGCCTGTCTCCTGGTAGCGCCTCCATGCTCTGGACACTACGCTGACAGACACAGCAAACCTTCTTGCCACAGCTCGCATTGATGTGCCATCCTGGATGAGCTGCACTACCTGAGCCACTTGTGTGGGTTGTAGACTCCGTCTCATGCTACCACTAGAGTGAAAGCACCTCCAGCATTCAAAAGTGACCAAAACATCAGCCAGGAAGCATAGGAACTGAGAAGTGGTCTGTGGTCACCACCTGCAAAACCAGTCCTTTATTGGGGGTGTCTTGCTAATTGCCTATAATTTCCACCTGTTGTCTATTCCATTTGCACAACAGCATGTGAAATGTATTGTCAATCAGTGTTGCTTCCTAAGTGGACAGTTTGACTTCACAGAAGTGTGATTGACTTGGAGTTACATTGTGTTGTTTAAGTGTTCCCTTTTATTTTTTTGAGCAGTGTAGATTTGTCCATTTGAATGTGGTTAAAATTCATTAAATTGACTGATAAATAAAATATACATTTACAGTAAGTTTTGAATTTGTTTTCTAATATTAAAGGATCAAACGTAGATTCAATATGTCATTTCAGCCTGTGGTGCCTCGCCTTAATTTGGCTCGTTGTAAGACTATTTGGATGGTACATTTCTCATTGGTTGACAAAGTTTTAAGAACTGATGGTCTAGATTTTATTTGGTGGCATGTTCTTAGTACTAAATAATGCCACATAATCTGTATTTATGTTCCTCAGGCGCACGTGTTTCTTATGACACTCACTGTTGCTGCCACCATCATTGCCTTCATTTTGTCCTTCTCACATGTTAGAGGCTGGAGTGGGGTATGTATCATAAACCTTTGATTGCGCCTGTACATTATTAAAACAAACGTCCAAGTTTTAATAGCCAATATGTTTTCTGAATGAAGGTGACAAATGCTGTGTATCCTACAGTTTTATGTTACTCAAACAAACCTACTTCATTATGGAAGGCTCAGATAATTGAAATGGTTACGAGACAATGTTTGAGGCCAGTGTGTTTATAGGGAGCCCATCCTGTGTTGGGCTGCATCCTTATGATCCTGGCCTTCTTCCAGCCGACCGCTGCCATGTTCCGATGTGGACCTCAACATCACTGGTAAGGTATCCATAATCATACCTCATGTATGTGCGTTTACTTCTGTGTAATAGTTTATAGACCAAATGTGGCCTAATTTTCTCAAGGAGTTAATGTATTTTGTGTTTTTCACAGGCGATTCCTCTTCAATTGGTCGCATGCTTTGAATGCAGTGGCGATTAAAGTTTTAGCTGGTAAGGAAATTTTACATTTACATTTTAGTCATTTAGCAGACGCTCTTATCCAGAGCGACTTACAGTGCATACATTATTTTTTATACCCCCCGTGGGAATCGAACCCAAAACCCTGGCGTTGCAAACGCCATGCTCTACCAACTGATCTACATCCCTACCGGCCATTCTCTCCCCTACCCTGGACAACGCTGGGCCAATTGTGCGGAACTGTGATCATAATAGTTTTTGTTGGTTTTTATTTGCATAGTACAAAGTACTGTATCTTCTCAGCTAATATATGTCAAACATGTTTGTTGTTGCTCTATGGCCATGTTAGTAATTGTGTTGACATTTTCTTCCAGTGGCGGCAATATTCACTGGGCTGTCATTGATTGACAGCTCTGAGGATAAGTGGCTTTTGAAGGTGATGGGTGGGTTTGTTGGATGGGAGGCAACACTGTACATCCTGCTAGATGTCCACATGCGCTGGAAGCGCAATGGTGAGAAAATACATTATATCCATTATTATTTAGTTAAATTCAGGTTAATGATATACAATCCCCTACAATATTGAGCAACCTAATATTGTGCATCTGTTAAGGAAATATTTATCTGCCATATTTAACTTTTTTCGGCCTCTTGGCCTTCATCAAAAGCTCTGACAACGGACAATAGGCGACAAGTACGCTTGAATAAACAAGTTGATACCAGCAAGAGCAGTGTACAGGTTTCTCTTTTCTTAAATACTACACAACTTTTTTTTTGTTCTTATAGATAACAAAGAGGGTGCTTCTGACTCGGTAAGCTGAATACCACCATTGAATCACATTTTCAATGTACTTATTGCATTTGTGATTTGTTAAGTGACACATTCTTAACTATTCTGTCACGGTTCGATTTTACTTTTCATTTCTCCCCACAGGCATGCATGGAGTTGTTGCTCCTGGTCCTGTTTTTCCTAGGAAATATGGCCTTTTTGGTGGCACTACTTGTTGGAATTGGCATGTCATGAAGAGCTGCTGAGCAATGGACAGATCTGTCATGAGATTTCTATAACAGCTCACTTTAACTGTATTTGAAATAGTTTTATATTGTGTCGAAATGTTTTATAACGTTCTGCTCTGAGAATCATACCATAAAAAGGTGTGATACCTCTTGTTTACACTGGATAAAACAGTATTTTAAACTGACTTCAACCATAATGTTTGAATTACATGTTTATCATTGTGTTAACACTGTCCAGTGACTTATAATAAAGTGATTGTTCAAAATGTGTACCAAATGTGTACTGGGTAGGCAACGTCCCTCCTCCAAGGTGGATGGCAGTGTTGAGTCCAGACTCATTCTGGTCGATGGCTTGCTAGCACCAACGATGATGTCGAACAAAAGCCAGCGGATTCGAATACTTTTTTTGTTCGAAGCCATTTTGTCAAGGAGACGAGGCGTGCACTCCGGTTGCTTTTGTCCTTTTATTTGAGTTCCTTTGTTAAATAATAATCAGTCAAATAAAGAGGCAAGGCATTACATCGCCGAGGTATTTCATCTCCACAAAGTTATCGTCCTAATATCGCATGTCCTCTATTCAGAACCTCCAATCTTTTGGTAAGTAAAAGCGCAAATTCTAGCTTGCTAGAAAGGCTAACGTCAATTATGACTTGCTACGGTAGCAACTAACGTTAGAAAATATACATTTGAGTATTCTTGACGGTACAATTTACCTAAGGTTGTTTTGAAAATAAACAGCTTAATAAAATACGATTGCCCAGCTAAAGTATTGTAAGCTAGCTAACATTAACTAGCTAGTTAGCGCCAGCTTTTAGCCACATAACTAGCTAACGTTGGCTGGCCAATTTCCCATGGTAACTGCTGAACTAAGTTATCTACCGTCACATGCTAGCTAACTAGGCGGTGCCCTGGTAAAAAAACAATCTGTTTAATTACACGTTAACGTTGGTTAGTGATATGTTATCCATGTCTAAGCTCCTATCGTATTGGGTGAAGGTGGATGTCTGTCTGTAAACGGGGCCAAACGACCAACCACCTACCTAAATGTGGAATCCAAGCTAGCTAACGTTGGCTAACTAGCATCTAACGTTAATAGATTACAGTAGTAGCCAGCCAGGACGAGATAAAGTAGTGTTTCTAAGTAAAATCACATTTTTTACAGAAATATTAAAACAGTGCAGCATATTTGTGATGTGATCTGACACCCGCCACTTAATTTAGCCTAGCATGAGTAGCTAGTTAAACGCGCAGAATTTTAATCTGGGCTTTTTCCTCCTCCTCCCCTCCCCCTCTCGCTTTTCAGATCCCTTTGCTGATGCAACCAAGGGTGACGATTTACTCCCGGCAGGGACCGAAGATAAAATCCACATAAGGATACAGCAACGAAACGGACGCAAGACCCTAACCACTGTGCAAGGGATCGCGGCCGATTACGACAAGAAGAAGCTTGTGAAGGCCTTCAAGAAGGTGATGATGTTGTCTAGACTTATTGTGAGAGAGAAATGAACATGTAACATGTTTTTACCTGCTTTGTTTAATATTAATAGTTAACAATTATACTGTTCTACTAATACATTGTTTTTGTAAAGGGATGGTTTCTACTCTAGCTCCCTGCAGCTAGTCTAGGCATGTGGTCAAGGACATGGGTTTCACTGGAGATAGGGCTATCTGGAGCTGACAATTGATTTATGAATGGTTTGGTGATAGAACCTACAGCATGCATTCCATAGAATGAATTGGTGTTTGTGTAATGTAAGGTACCAGGGAGAGATGGCTCGGGTATGGATAATGTTGATAAGAACCTTGTCTTGGGGGCCAACCCCTGGTTTCCATACAATGAGAAGTCTTCACTGCAGATACTGTCTGCTGTGAATTATTTATTTATTTCATACAAATCCAAACCTTTTGACTCATTCCACACATCTACTGTTTGTCATGTAGACTGATAGGGTGTATCTTTGCTATAAAATATATTTGTATTGTCTGTATGTCAGAGCTCTCGGCCCAACACTTGAGTGTTGGGTCGACCAGCCCCACTTACTGCCCTATTAATACGTTTTTTTTTAAATAAAGTAATATCCTGATTGGTAATTGACCTTGTCTCTCCTCATTATTGATTAGAATTTCCACAACAGTATTCAAGTTGCATTTTTCTCATGCAGAAGTACAGAGAAATGCTTAACTTGCAAGCCTACAGTGAAATATTCAATATAATGAAATAATTATAAAAATAAGAGGAAGCTGTACCAAATGTGTAGGGATACTGGAGTATTGAGGTATGTGTAGGCAGGGATTAGCATGAGTAAACTTTTGTTTACATCCATATGTAATGACAAGCAACATTCATTTCTCAAAGTGCATGATGCTGAACCTTTATGGTCTATGGCTAATACCCTTTGCAGAGTGGAAAATCTATTTGCAGTGTCAATAGGTCAGTTTTATTCCATAAGCCCCCAGTTATCACTGAGGAATTCACTGGGGTTTTCTTCTCCCTTCCCCCATCCACACACAGGATGTAGCTAGCGAGTGATTAAAAGGGGCTTTGGGCTAGTTAGTTGGATGGTGATGCACTGAATGCTATGGGGAAGTTTACTTAGCCACATGCCCCTCCTTTCAACCTCCTTATGTCTTAGTCTATTATTTAACTGGCTGTTCTCAGATGACTCAAATTGGAATAAATGTGTTACAAAACAAATACACAAGACAATGTTTGTTTACTACTTCAACTTTTCATGCAAATGTCAGCTAATTTACACTAAGCATGTTGTGACTTACTGGGGTTGTCTCTTTGTGCCTGACAGAAATTTGCCTGCAATGGTACTGTGATTGAGCACCCGGAGTACGGTGAGGTCATCCAGCTACAGGGAGACCAGAGGAAAAACATCTGCCAGTTCCTCATGGAGGTGAGCTTCTCTCAGATTTGTGGTTGTCTTACCTACACTAGTTGAATGCACTGACTGTAAGTCTCTCTGGATAAGTAAATGTCTTCAAGTTATCAGATGTTAGGTACTTTGCTGCATTTCACACAACTTGGTCACACACACACTACCGGTCAAAAGTTTATACAGAAGATAGCCCTATTTGATAAAAGACCAAGTCCATATTATGGCAAGAACAGCTCAAGTAAGCAAAGAGAAACGACAGTCCATTACTTTAAGACATGGTCAGTCAATACAGAACATTTCAAGAACTTTGAAAGTTTCTTCAAGTGCAGTCGCAAAAACCATCAAGCGATATGATGAAACTGGCTCATGAGGACCGCCACATGGAATGGAAGACAGTTACCACTGCTGCAGAGGATAAGTTCATTAGAGTTACCAGCCTCAGAAATTGCAGCCCAAATAAAGTAACAGACGCATCTCAACATCAACTGTTCAGAGGGGACTGTGTGGTTGAATTGCTGCAAAGAAACCACTACTAAAGGACACCAATAAGAAGAGACTTGCTTGGGCCAAGAAACACGAGCAATGGACATTAGACCGGTGGAAATTTGTCCTTTGGTCTGGAGTCCAAATTTGAGATTTTTGGTTCCAACCGCACGCGGTGCGGGGGAATGGATAATATCCGCATGTGTATTTCCCGCCGTAAAGCATGGAGTTATGGTGTGGGGGTGCTTTGCTGGTGACACTGTCTGTGATTTTATTTAGAATTCAAGGCACACTTAACCAGCATGGCTACCACCGCATTCTGCAGCGATACGCCATCCCATCTGGCTTGCGCTTAGTGGGACTACCATTTGTTTTTCAACAGGACAATGACCCAACACACCTCCAGGCTGTGTAAGGCCTATTTTACCAAGAATGAGAGTGATTGAGTGCTGCATCAGATGACCTGGCCTCCACAATCCCCTGACCTCAACCAAATTGAGATGGTTTGTGATGAGTCGGACCGCAGAGTGAAGGAAAAGCAGCCAACAAGTGCTCAGCATATGTGGGAGCTCCTTCAAGACTGTTGGAAATGCATTCCAGGTGAAACTGGTTGAGAGAATGCCAAGAGTGTGCGAAGCTGTCATCAAGGCAAAGGGTGGCTATTTGAAGAATCTCAAATATGAAATATACTTTGATTTGTTTAACACTTTTTTTGGTTACTACTTGATTCCAAATGTGTTATTTCATAGTTTTGATGTCTTCACTATTATTCTACAATGTAGAAAATAGTAAAAAATAAAGAAACCCTTGAATGAGTAGGTGTTCTAAAACTTTTGACTGGTAGTGTACACTATAGTACTTACGCATAGTCTAAAATGAATACTGCACAGAAGAACAATAGACAAACCAAACTGTAGTGCAGCATTACCTAAGTTGTGACAATGTTTTGATTCTGAGGTGGAACATAACCTAGAAAGACTCTTGTAGCCTCTTTTCTAAAAAAAGGCAGCCAGTGGTGCAGAAAAACATGATGCTGGAATCCTTAAAGGGGTAATTCACCCAAATTATTATAAAATGACACTTGGTCCATGATTTGTTTAGTTTCCCTGGCACGGTTTCCACATGCAAAAGTTTTAGCATTTGTGGCACAAATCCCACTGAAGTCATGGGACCGATATTAGCCTTTTTCGTCCAAACAATCCGAAATTATCTAAAATTGATTGTGAAGCTCAGTCATGTGTAGATGTTTTCTACATGATGTGCAAAAATGCTAATATCTGTCCCATGACTTGGGCTTTTTTCCACTGACCATCTCTGGCCTCTGTTGTGTAGTCACTAGGACTGTAACCTACTAGCTGTTCCTATTGTTATTGTGTCTTGTGGTCTTATTGTTAGTGTGTAGCCTAATTTGTGTCGATTTTCCTCCCCAGATCGGC